AACAGTAACTGGGAGTCCACTGCAATGTAGTAATCCGTTCAAATAAAGTCACATGCCTCAGTTAGCACGCTCATTATGTCACATACCAGAGCACTGTATGCGATTCCTTGCTTCGTATAATTGCTTATTAGCTGGAGTGCCATTCAGCCCTTTGAGGCTTTGACACACTGGGTACATAATTGTGTACACTATTTATTTTTGATATTTGTATCAACTAGGGGCTCAGAAAAAGCGAGATATATCGAGCTTCAGATGAAATGAAGCTCCTGCATAATAAACTTGTTTTCATTAAATTTTGTTTGGTTGTGTGTTGTGGCATATGATCACTTTGTTAAAGGCACTACCACGTTCGACGAGTAATTTGATGTGCTGCATCCTGCGAGCCATGTGGAAAGTATGGTTTTCATTTGCTGAATATGGACATAATGAAAAATTGATTTGCACAATATTTCTAACCTGAGAATTTACTCTAATTATGCCAAAACAGAGCATTGATTGCTTCATGGCAAATACATATATTTGATTACAATCTAATTAGGATTAGTTACTATAACAGACACAAATTAACACATTGACATTGTTTTGTGTTACAATAGACTACCAAGTGCCTTCAAATGACGTATCTATTTGCCACACTTTCAGACAGTTCTCCATAGGTGCCATATGAAAGGGTAAGAATCGCCACTTAATGGTGTTCTACTGTACTATGCAGCAAGCAGCCCGTTGGACGCCCATCAGCTCAGTGGCAGTAGACTATGTGCTATGTTGAAGCTTTGCATGGTGCCCATTTCAGGTCCATGAAAACTGCTGGGAAGGAGATCTGCATGACAGTGCTATCAGCATAAATATGCTGTCACTGGTGCCGTTAATTAGGGAGGCGATCGCCGGGCTAATTCCAAGGGCCGAAGTATCGGCCCCCCGAACCGCACCACGAAAGCGTGGACAATTTAGAGGTGGTCCTATTTGGCGCGCCAGCGGACGCCGGCTGTGGTCCAAAGAACAAGTCAGAGCCGAGAGTTGATAAACAAAACAAAATTATATTCTCGGTTATGGCAGATCAAAACAATACACAAGTATGCACACTCGACAATAGTTGAATACAATGTGTCACCAATCAAACAATGTACTACACAGTACAATCAGCCACACTCGAAACAACGGACACAGACAACAATACGCACTACAATGCAGTTGCATGCATTGAACAACCAAGACACTTAAAGACTAAAGAGTTAGAAAACTTATTCAGTCCAAAGTTCTTGGAACAGAAGTCTGAATGATACTCTTCTGAGAATCACTCACTCAAAGTCCAGCGTTGTTGTTCCGCTGCCCCTGAAGTTTCTCTTCCAGGAAACCTCGCCGAAGTTTCTCTTCCAGGAAACCTCGCGTCTTCAATTGGCCACTCTTCAAGCTTCAAACTTCTTCGCCGGAAACACGTTGGCTTCACACACGCAGCTGTTGCCACGCGTCTTCGCTCGATAGCGGTAGACACACGCTCTTGCCTGTAGCTCGAGCCTTCACCCCTCAGGTGGAAATCCTCTTCTTCTCCTCCTTTGTCACGGAAGACAAAAGGCTTCGCCCTCAAGGCGGAACACCCTACATGCTCTGGCGCATACTTTCTTCTTCTCCTGCTTTGTCACTAAGGACAAAACCTTCACCGACAGACGCGGCGGGATACCCTACGCATTCTGGAGTTAACTTCCTTCTTCCCCTGATCTCCCATCTCGGCTGCTCGATTAAATACCTTCCGCGCGAGATTCCAGAAAGTTCTCATCATTTCGTCGGCGCGATACGCAGCGAAGACTGGGGGAAAGGGCGAGACGATACGGGGGCCGTCCGCGACGGATGACTCAACTCGGCATCACCACGCCCCTTTCCATCGAGAACTCTCTAGGGCTTGCTCGGCCGCCGATGCGAGGAGGTTTCGTCGGCGAACCTACGCTTCCGAGGGGAGAGGGACGCGTGCCCGGGGAGTCTTTGGATGCTTGGTTTCTTTTTTTTTTTTATCGTTGACCTCGCGGCGTCACTCCGGCGTTTCGTCGCGAGAATTTGGCGGCGCGCCCTTTTTTGAGCCCTCGTTTTGTGACATATGCTGGACTTTAATGTGCATATATGTGGGGCGCTAATGCGGAAGCACAAACCTTGGTCAGCTCACATTTGCCTTCAACATGTGCCACTACGAGTACATTCGAGACCATAGGTTGGTAAACTCACTCAGATTCAGATTGAGCCATGAGTCTGAGTGAGCGCGCTCGAGTAATATTTTGGGGAGTTTAAGTCCGAGTGAGTCCGGTTGAAGAAAATTTTCGTGAGTGCTAGTCTGAGGGAGTTAGGCCCAGGAAAATTTTCGTGAGCTAGTCTGAGTGAGTTCCACTTTTTTTGCCAACCTATGGTCTTATCTACTCATATTCAGCACTACTATCAGTCTTGCCTGATTCACGTTTACACTCACATCTACTCACACGCATTCCAAAGCCGTGTCGTTCATACACCATTTCAATATGTATTGATTAAAGGCGCGGATTACCTAGGGGGTTCCTAGAGCTATTCCCCTCCTCTCCTCCCCGCAAACTCTTCCAGGGAAGTTCTTGATAAATATTTCGTATGTTGTCATTTCTTTCACATGACCTTGCTGGTTTGTGAGCACTCGTAACTCGCTTTCGAAGGTACTACATCAAAGGGCACCAAGAAGAGCACCGATTACGTACGGGAAATATTGCTGTTTAAGAGCATTGACACCATGGCCGAAAGAGCTGATTCTAGGCTAACAGACTCGTGAGTCGACTCATTCAGGCCGAGCTGTCATTTTGAGTCTGAGTAATGTTTTGGCGAGCTTGAGTCCGAGTGAGTCTAAGTGAGCCTGACTCAGGAAAATATTGGCGAGTCTACGTGCAAGTGAGCCCTACGGGCAAAATATATTGCATGAGTGAGTCCGAATGAGCTCCACAAGATTTGCCGACCCATGTCAGAGACAACTGAGCAGGCACAGGGACTATCCAATGGGTGTTGAAGGAATTCAAGGACCAAACATAAAGAAGGCCACCTATCTCCACATCATAAAGAGAGTCTAGTGTACCTTCAAGAAGAAATTTATGTATGATCTTTAGATCCAAGAAAAACACTTTTACAACATTGCTGATGTCCTTTTTTTTCTGGTTATAGACGGCAGATCTGTGATGCCGTCAGTAAAACAAGTGTCCGCTGTGGGGAATGGAAAAAAGAGCTTATAGTGTGTGATTTTAGGTCTGTTCAACCTTACCAACTGTCTCTGAACAGATGGGCTCTTAGTTCCAAGGTTAAGTGATGCATCCAGCATGCCCGTCCTTGATTGCTTTGCGTGAAAGGCAAAGTTGACCTAGCACAGAACACCTATATACACCTTGCAGTGAGTAAGAGCAGCTTACAACAACACACTCTGTTTTACTTTTCCTTGTTAATGGAGCCGCACATCTTTTCTGCATCAAACAAACATTTTATTACAGAAATTCGCAGCAAAATGCCTATGCAGCTGCTGTGGTATGCTACATCATTTAAAGTTTAGAATATTTTACTAAAAATACTCGACAGATTAAGTTGGGCAAAAGTTGTAGAAGCCATATGGCCAATGCACATGCAGAGTTAGAACAAGCAAGCATCGGTAACTAATATTTGGGTATAACGACAATATTCTCACGTACCATATGAAAACGATATGGTTATTTGACTTAGTATAAATCCCAATGATCAGGTTGCATGTGTGCGCAAGTAATCAGTTGCATATACTCAGAGGGTTTCGTACAATAATACTCTATGAGTATATGCAACTGTTGACTTGCGCACACATTTAAACTGATCATTGGAATTTATACTCATTCAAATAACCATATCGTTTTCATATGGTACGTAAGAGGCAGTACTGCAGGAAACTGTATGCTGATACTATTGAAGTTAAATTATATATGTACAAGGTCACACATCTGCTGCGAAGTGAAAAAGAAACAAGCGAAGTCGTTTCTTTTTATATTTCTCACTCGATTCTGCCCTCTCCCTGCCCCACGCGCGTACGTGCACTCTAAAGCGGCGACCCTTTCGAATACATTTTCGACATCAGAAGACTTTACTGACAACACGCGACAAGAAGATGAGGCGAGGAGAAACAAACATATTCAATTTCACGCCCACGAACGCTCATGCGTGCACTGTCACCGTGGCGTTTTTTTCCATTCCACTAATACCCCATTCCGCTAAGCGTGCGCAGCGCCCACTGGCTAGCACATTGTCTTTCGAACTTCTAGCTTTCCTGTGCTAGCCACCCTACCTATGCTTCCACGTTAGTATCCACTCCACGCAACTGGATGAAGGAGGATGGTTAAAGCAATTATAGCGCGAGAACAGAACGACCACATAGCGCTCGTCTCGTCGTTCTGTCATGTCATACAAACTAGCCCAAACCGCCACACTTCTAGTGGAGGAAGGAATGAAGTTTTTCCCTTCCTCTATGTTCACAGCCTTCTAGATTCCTTTTGCCCGTCGGATTATCGGCGGTCACTTGAGAAGCGGCCGTCGTCGGAATTGCAGTAGTGGCGCTACTTTAAGTAGGGTTGTATTCAATTGAGTTTTTACGTTTTGGAGCTTATATACTACAAAATAACAAAGTAATTTTAAAAAGTTGCAAACGCATTTATAAATAATTACAGTTAACCCTACGTAAGTGACGTCGCCAGAGATGACGGGCGTTTTGCGCTCATTAAGCAGGCAACCGGTTCAATTCAAGACATGGCCTTCTAGCCACCCTAACATGGCCTCTGAAGTTTGCGAACGTTAACGTTGCTAATCTTAAAGGCTTAGCACAAAAATTTCAACACGTAGGTAGCGCTGTCATAGATGACGGGCGTTTCGCGCTCATTCGGCAGGCAAAAAATATATACATATATAGGAGGCCTTCCACCGTGATAGGAGGCTATGCTGTGTTTCACCTGCTTCTTCCACTGGGCTTCTTCCACTTCCGTCCTCCACCCAGCACTCTCCATAACTCTCCCCCTCATTTTTGTCAACAAACATGGCAGCTTGCGTGCCTACATTTCCAAAGCGATGACTCTAGTATTTCGCTTCTTCTGCCAAGCAATGTGCTTGTGTGTAATGAAAGTATAGAGAGTATTGTGGAATGCACTATTTCACGCCGACAGTCTGTCGGTCAGCGCTCGTTTGTGCAGCATTTGTGACCGCTTTCGTGTTTATTTTGATCAGCTCCGGCAACCCCTCGTCTCGACGTTCATACCACTGGGTGCGTCTGAAGCCTGCTAACGATTGGCAGAAGGCGAAAGGACATCAGCTGGCCCATGCATCGCTGCCGGCGAGGTATCGTGCTTCCAACGGCACCGAAAACGGACACCAAAGTGAACTGGAGCCCGCGACCGTCGAAGACTTCGACATTAGCGGTTCGGACGTTATCGTCCTCCTACAAATACAAAACGCCGGTGCTAATTTTTTAGAACGTCGATTGATCGAGGACCTTGTGTTACAAAGACCTTGTGCGTGCCGTAGAGGTCGAAAAATTTGCCACTGCTACAGACCTCACAAGCGCAGTTCGTGGCTCTTCAGTAGGTACACGCTGGGATGGAAATGCGGCGTCCATCCGGACTGGACCGAACTCAATAGCTGTGTCGATCGTGTGCTCGACGAGGACGAAGGAGTCCCGACAAAACGCAGGTAAGTGCAGAGTGAAAATAAATGATATTCTTTGTGAGCGTAATGCATTTCTGCGTTTACGAGATTTCATAGCCGCGAAGAAGTGAAGTGCTGCAGTTAATTACTTTTTTTTGTTTTTAAGAATAGGAGTGGTGAAAGGCTATGTTCTCAGCATTTTCGCTTCTTTAAGTATTACTTGTCAGGCGCGACTTTGTATATCTTGTATGACTGTTCGCTTGTAAATGAGCGTGCTAATGGTTGCAATAATATGCAGGTTGTAGCGTCATGTGCATGGGACACCCATAATATGTTTATGTTAACATAAAAAAATATTAATCATGAGAGCAGTTTACGGGATTATAGTTTTGGTGCTCTCGAATATTACTCGAAGAAATCAAGTCAATCAGTGAGTCTCTCTCAATGAAATGAGTGTAGGTCTAGTGACATTAATTAGCTTTTTTTTACTAGTATGGAGTGTTGCCAGTTTTCTGCTGATGTGTTTATTTTTTGTTTATTCCTCAGATACTTTTACATAACAGTGCTGAGAGACCCCGTAGCTCGGTTCCGCAGTGAATGGCGACGATTCCACCAGAATCGAGGTTGGCATGGCTCCCGGCCTCATCCTCACTTTTGCTTGGACCAACCGGTGTCGATGCCTGCTCCCAGTGTGTGCTTCGAAGGAAGAAGACCCGAAAATATAACCTTTACCGAGTTTGTATCCTGCTCGGCAAACCCCGCACTTAACCGGCATACACACATGCTTGCGGACCATGGTCTCATTGATGGGTGTCCTCAAAATGGTTCGGTTGGAATGTTGCTCACCAAGGAAGACCGTGACTTGGTTCTTTTGACAAGTGCAAAGAAAAATCTCGAACACATGGCTTTCTTTGGCCTGGCAGAATTCCCTCGTCTTTCAGAGTCTCTTTTCGAGGCCACATTCAAGCTGAAGTTTCGCAGAAGGGCAAGGCCACGTAAATTTCTGCGTGGTCGGATGATGGGACGCGGCCGCGTGGTACCTTCACCCGGTGAAGTTGAACAGGTCACAGCTGCCAATAGTTTGGACATCGAATTGTACAACTATGCTAAGGAGCTTCTCTTCACAAGATTTCATAAACTGAGTGACAGCGATCCAGCTGTAGAAAAAGAGAGCAACAATGTAGATTCCGACGATGACGAGAACTGGGCAGAAGAGGAGGACTTTTTTGATAACATATAGCAATATTTTACTTTAACACCCGAGGTCATCGCAGCTACATAGTTGGTCTATCCCTATGTGTTAGTACGAAAGAAGAGAAATAGATGAAGGGCTCATGTCTTTGATAGACGCAACCTTATGTGTTAATGTAAAACAAAGAGTGTTCCTAGCTGATGACCTTCATTGAATGATCAGCCACCCCATCCCCTGTGCATGTATGCGCCAACTAGCCCATCTTTCTACCGTCGGAACCTACAGTTCTTCAGCAGAAATTTGTGTCAGCAGCTCTCTTGAAACAGCCATTAATGTTTGTAAATTGCAGCTACATTTCTATTGTTGCAAGCTGTTATTACTGTGTTAAGTGCAGCTTTTACAGAAGCGCCATGATGAGCAACTTATGCGGGTAATGTTGCAGTTTTTCCTGTGCTGCACCGGAGGCTAATACCACAGATTTTGTTTGAAGCAGCTGCTGCAGCCTGTGAATGTGTTTGCCGTGTTGCACAATCAGGGGGGAACCTTGGAGTGTATGGCCACTTACTGTAGTGCTGATACAAAGTACACTGGGCTGTCACAACACCTATTTATGAATATCGATGTATATACTCACACTGGCATATGGTTTATCCAGCCACTATCATCACATCTTTGCTTTTGACGTGTCTTGGACGTTCCTCACATTGCTGTTGTGTCGTAGGGGAAAACAATACAAGTTGTTACCATGCATAGTATGGTGCCATAGAAAGAAGTGAATGTCGCTGTTTGCTGGTGTATAAATTCACTAAGCTGTAAGCTTATATTTACATTTTGAATATTTATATTTTGATTTTTAGTGCCTGCACCGCTGAACTTGCGCTGCGAAATCTGAACATTGCATGCACAGCCGTGAACCGGTTCCAATTGGTGCAGGTGAATTGAACAGACCTCCTAGTTTGTCTTTTTATTTTAAATCAAGACAGAAAGATACCCCAGCACACCAAATCTGCCATACTAGCATCTTTCTTTTTGTTCTTACTGTTGTATCAGCACGTGGAATTCCCCCATGAAAGTCCATTGTTCAAGTCATGAAAACATGTGTTGGCATTGAATTTTTACAGATTTACTGATACATACAATGCTCTGTGTCAGGCCTGGATGTTGCTTTTGCAAGGGCCTTTATTTCATCGTCACGAAATGCTTTCACAAAAGCCTTTATATAAAGTGTCCTTCCAATACAGTGCATTCACACGGTCAGTATATATTCATATTCTGCAAGTGTGGTTAGATGGGCCAGTTAGCAAAACATTCACCTTCTGTGTGTGAGGCCCCAGGTTTGAAACCCAGCACTGCCAAAAGTGCTTATTATGTGTTGTTTTGTACATTATTTTTTCATAACAATTAGTATTGATAACAAGAATAGGGATGGGCTTGGCATGGAAGTGCTTACACATTTAAATCTTTGTAGTGAAATCACAGCGCTAGAACGACATCACAAAGTTTAAAGTATATTTCATTATTTACACTATTGTGGCATAGGAAGCAGCTCAGGTTATGGGTGAGCAGAAGTGTGGGAGCAGCTGCTCTCCAGAATTTTTAACCTGCCACGCCGTCACCACAGCTGCAAGGCCTAGAACCTATCCGTCTACAAAGTTTGCCAAGTTTAGTCTTTGGGTATCTCAAGGACGCAATTTAGTTGATATTTTCGAACAAAAATAGAATAAGTTTGAGAAGATTTTATAATCTGGTGATTTTATAGTGAGCTACTGCAGTAACCAAAATTCTAAAGGCAACATGAAGTTTCACTTAGTCTAAGTTGGTTAAAAATTGGCAGTATGCTGTGGTCAAGCGAGCATTTCAAAACTCCAGGGCTCGTTGTTATCTAATTTTATTATAAGCATACTTCAAAACAGCGCCTAAGTACATGACGCGTGCTTCTTTATGGCTGTAGTGTATGATGTGCGAATTTGCCGGCAAGTCGCCCCAGTATTCTTCAGCATGCCATGGAAAGTCGGCGCAACTTCAAATCTTGAAGATTATGTCTGTGCATAACTTTAGATCATTTATGCATCATTTCAGATGAGCAGTAGTGTTATTTTATGTCACTTCAGAAATTTGAAAAAGTCTACATTGGTTAACCTTTTGTGATACATCTACTCATATTTCTAGTGTAAAATATTTCCATGAGGCTGCTATATATTTGCACTGTTTGAAATAAAGCTTTTCACATGCAGCTGATAATATAAGGGACGTTACCAGCCTGTCATTCCTTTTTGCTTCTTTTCTAACTTATAAAACCTCCTTTCAGTGTAGTGGCAACTTGTGCAGTGGTTTTTACACTCCAAATTATTGTCTTAGTGTTCTATTAAACAACTATCTCCTAAGATGATGCTGCTGTTGCTATCATATTTGTTTTAAGTGTACCTTTTCTGATAAGGAACTTGTGTGGCTACTTTAAGAAGTGTAACCCACAAGTAGAAAGGAGCTACTGTTCTCTTATTTGTATTTATAAGTGCAGCTTCTTTGATAAGTGACAAAAATCTGTCAAATACTTCAGACCTTTACTAAAGTAATAGAGCGGTTGACTGGGCTAGTTGGTATGGCATACTTGGGTTTTAGCAGCGCGAAAAATGCACAAAAGACAAGAAAGGGACGAGACAAGCACTGACTTCCAACTGAAATTTTATTGACGAGAAGGCCGTTAATATGCAATGGAGCACAAAGAGTGAAAAAATGACGTATTTTAAGATACAAATTATCACCTAACGCCATGCCTGCTGCGCCTACCCTCGCACCTCAAGAAACATATCTCTTTATCTGAAAGAGCAACTGAAGGCTTGCTTACGCATGCGCCGCTTTCAAGCTCCATTTGAGCAGCCTCATAAATTATACGCACGTTTTCCTCTTTAATCTTGCATAGAACTGTTGTTTTTTCAAACAGCGGAGTGCACCCACACGTACTCACGTGTTGCGCTAAGAAGCCATCTTTTCCGCCACGAACATTATTGGCATGTTCCCGTAAGCGATCGTTAAGGCATCTGCCCGTCTGGCCCACATAACATGCACACGTGCTGATGCATAACCACACGTGCTGGTGTTATGAGCCTCGCTCGCAGAAGCCTGTTCTTCCGTTCTCGTCTGCGCATAGCAAATTAGTAAAGAGAGGCATTGTTCAATCATGTTTTCACAATGCCTTAGAGAGGTCGTGTCACCACGTCTTAGAAGCTAGTCTCTTGGCACAGTCGGAGCGCCTAGAAAGAGAAGGGTACCCTCGCACTTTGCTCATTTCCGTGGCGGAGGCAATGCACAGAAAAAGGAAACGATTGGGCACTGTTTGCAACAGTGATGGCACCACAGCGGAGAAGAGGGAAAAGGTAGCGGTTATTCCGTACATGCATTCTGTGTCACACCGCCTAAAGAAAATAGGACAGCGCCTCAATGTGAAAGTGGTCTTCAGTGCCCCTGATAAGTTGTCCCAGTTGACAAACAGGACCTGCCCCGTAATGAGTATGAGAAAACGGTGTATGGTGAGGCACAGAACGCAGTTTGTGGACTGCGCGTTAGGCGTCGTTTACAGGACCCCTTTTTCTTGCGGTGCATGTTATGTGGGCCAGACGGGCAGATGCCTTAACGATCGCTTACGGGAACATGCCAATAATGTTCGTGGCGGAAAAGATGGCTTCTTAGCGCAACACGTGAGTACGTGTGGGTGCACTCCGCTGTTTGAAAAAACAACAGTTCTATGCAAGATTAAAGAGGAAAACGTGCGTATAATTTATGAGGCTGCTCAAATGGAGCTTGAAAGCGGCGCATGCGTAAGCAAGCCTTCAGTTGCTCTTTCAGATAAAGAGATATGTTTCTTGAGGTGCGAGGGTAGGCGCAGCAGGCATGGCGTTAGGTGATAATTTGTATCTTAAAATACGTCATTTTTTCACTCTTTGTGCTCCATTGCATATTAACGGCCTTCTCGTCAATAAAATTTCAGTTGGAAGTCAGTGCTTGTCTCGTCCCTTTCTTGTCTTTTGTGCATTTTTCGCGCTGCTAAAACCCAAGTTTACTAAAGTGTCTGCTACAAAAAGATGGAATTTAGTGATCTTTTCTTCTTTTTATTGCGATAGAAATTATATGGTCAGTCTCGGTGGGTGTTTGCTGTTGCCGTTATGTCCCATATAAAGTCCAAATTGATAAAAATCTCCCAGCACATCGTATGCTCTGCTCGCAGATAGTGATCAAATGCTTGCATGTTTTTTATAAGCATCAAAAAAAGACCCAGGGTGAGGAGTGGTATCCTCAAGCAGCGACTGTCAGCTTTGATTTTATGGGTGCGGTCGCCATCGCTGGCGCGTGTCCTATCTCGCTATCTTGGCAGACATCAATGGGCAGCTCGGATACTCTTCTACGTGCTGTGCTCTCAACATGAGAGGCTGTGCCGGAGTGTCCCCGGAGTGGCTGTATTCTCTTACACCAGGGTTTCGTAAAGTTGTGTGAGATTGGATCCAAAGAAGCTAGCTGCCAGCTTCACTTCATTATAATTTATTGCTATTGAATTCATTGCTTCACCCTTGCAGTAAAACTGTGACTTTTTGGTAATATTTTTCATTGAAATATACATGTTTTATGTATCATTCTACACATTGTCTTTATTCTCATTCAATTTTCATAAAATTTGTTACGTGATATGACAGCTGCCTCAAATATCTTTTTTGCGTGTAACATCATTATCATTGTTTGAAGATCGAGAAGAACTAATTGAAATATGAAATGTACTTTTGCTGCTATTACATAATTAAGAGAGAATACTGAATGTAAAATGTGTGAATGTCTGTTGCAAGACTTCTGCTCATGTGTGTGATATTCGTCATGAATCTTTTATGTGATGTAACTGCAGCATGAACATCAATGATGCCTTGCTTTTCTTATCACATTATATGGTAGATCGTACATTGAAGGTGAGCAGTGAAACGAGCTGAAGTTGACAATATGGAGGTTGTCCTTATTACTGTAGTTGCACATCTGGATCACCCGACCTTGAGTTTGAGGGCTCAAATGTGCCCATGACGAGGGAAATAACGCACTTGGCAACAATGTCTTGATAGAGCATGTAGGCGAGTCACCTTTGCAACTTGCAGTAGATATGGTAAGCCTTGAGTTAACATTGGAGGGTTAATACTTTCAGGAGGGTTAAATATCCTGGCACCTTGTGTATTTGGTATGAGTTATTGCACATTCCTTACACTCTTATGCATTGTTAACATTAGACATATCAATTTTATTGAGTGAAAGAACAGAAACAACACACGGCTTGAAATTTTTCGTGCTCGCTAAGTGCTGCCACTTTTAATACGCTGTACAAAAGGTCCTCTGCAAATTTTGATCACCATGACCAGTTTCTTTACCGTATATGTTACCAGTGATTTTACTCTTTACACCTTGCGTTCTGTTTTTGCGTTGCAGTAGCAGTGAAAATAAGTAAGGTCTCTGCATACCTTTTCTTGTTTGCTTATGCAAGTGTACCTAGTTTTCCTGTGTGTCTGTATCATGTTACAAATGTGCCGTGTGTATGTAGTACATATCACAACAAGCAATAAATGCTCTCGATGTTATGTGTGTTGCACTTTGTGTCTGTATTAGTCCTCAGCATGCTTTTTCATACTATTATCATTATTTGCAGTGCACAATTTTTTTATAAGCTATTGTAATGCAATTAAAACCCATGTGTGTAGTTGTAAGAAGAAAACCTTAAAATTGTCTTGTTAACATATAACCACTTAAAAAATAAATTATGGCACAACCTCTTACTACGAAATTTTACTTACGGGTGGACTATAATGCCATGCACGAATAAAGACCGCTTTTGCTCCTGTACAATTGCCACGTCTTACAAGACGCAAGAGAGTGAGAAAAATGCTTGGAATCTCTTCCTGCAGAGATGAAAAATTCGTGAACTCAAGCTGTCTCTGCAGCCAATGTTTTGACATTCGTACTTGTCTTAAAGGGAGCAACTGCCTATCTTAGTGCATGTAGGATAGGCACGCACTGAGGTAGGCATTTGCAGCTCTGAGGAAGACAAGTTCGCCTGTCTAAACATTGGATATATCCGCCCCCTGCATTCACCAATTTTGCATTTCTTCAATCTTCCACTTTCCCCTGAACTTTAGCCTTTTTTAGATAGGCACTATATGTCATCCATCACTATTTTAAGCAAGCATACAACTCTAGATGATTGTTGCCATCAATCACAGCCAATTACAACTTAAAAATGCTGTGTAGGGTCAAATGAGAGGTTTCAGGAGTTCACTTGACGAACGCCATCAGATGACTGATTCCAGAAGAGCAGCTAAAGAATGGTCTGTGGTCCTCGATTACTTATTTCATTGGTAAGTAGGCTTCTCTGCATTGCTACGTCATATAGGAGTTGCGCGTCTAAATCGCTTACATTCCACGCTCTGCTCGCACAGCCACTAGCGTGGAAAGGGCACGCATAGAGCACACACAGCTACCGTAGAGCATGTGTAAGAAGAGGGCTGACCGCACGGCATCTGTTTTAAAGGTTGATGCTCTACGAGTGTGCTACGCGGGGAAGCATCCTACGCTTAGGTCCACATTGAAAAAAAAAAAAAAAAAGTCGTCGTTCGCCAAAATGTATATTTGTGAGACGATTCAGTGCAGCACTAACCGTTGCTCGATGTACTAAATGTTAAACCGCTATGTTACTCAATGGTTAAAGTACCAACGCAGTATCATGCAAGTACCGCTTGTAAGGGTGTCGCGGCGGTGCATGAGGGGCTAAGGTCCCTAGATGAAACAAGTTTCCTTTTCATCTAGGGACCTTATGAAGGGCCGGATGGGAAGCTGCGCAGTCACGTGTTCTCCGGATGCGGGGGGATCATCGAGCAAAGATGGACGACAATACGTGAAGAGGCGCCGGCGAGCTCCTTTAATACGAATGTTTTTTCCCCCAACATTCCCGTTGTTTTATTCTTCCACATCCTGGTTACTACTTGGTAGCTCGTTAACGCCCCCCCGAAACAACGACGGCTTAGGTTTTTATTGCGAGATTCTGCCGGTATGCCGAAACGGAAACTAGAAGAGGATCATCATGAACCCGACGAACTGTCAGTGCCTCTGCCGATACAAACGTTTCTCTGGCGACAGACAAGGTATATTACTTTTTGTCAAACATGCCGCATTCTCATTCGTAATGCTACAGGTGGCCTGTTGAATTGTTGTTCTTCCGTGTGATGTGGAGTCGTTCCGTACGAGCGATGCTTGCGTTGTATCGCAATGAAACCAGTGAACTCCGTATCAGCTTTGCGTTTCTTGAAGATGACTGTTCGTGATTTAAGAACTGTGGTTTTTGTATTATCCGAAGCGCGCACGCCTTCATTGCTTAAACGTTCGCTGTTTGGCTGAGAGGTTTATGTTAGCGCGCGCGTATAACCAGTGCGATATGTTTATCCCGCCGCTCGTGCTTGCCTTTCTATTTATTCATGAAATCATGCCGCTGTATCTGCCCACGTTGTGTATGAGCTGTGCTCTCCCTTCGTTCTATCTTTTCTTGTACTTTTTCTAAGCGTAGTTTCACAGTCAAAGCTCCCGGTTTTCAATAGCCGATCGATCAGGCCGGATCGACGTACTAAATGGGGTGCACTTATATGCACTACACTTATGCATTACCCTTTCTTTGCAGCCCATTCATACGTCCGAAAATTGGCAAAGCCCATGATGCATCAGCAATGGTACGATGCTCCGATACATTTCTCATGGATCAACTTTGCCATTGAAGGTTTTCAATTAGACAATTTTATACGATATTGCAGGTGCAGCCACTGGGCCCATTGATTTTCTATAAGGGGTCACTACCCCGACACTCACATAAAATGTCATTCATGCTAGTTATATTTTCTTCAGAGATCAGTCATGCTGTGGCCGTAAGTAATTGTGGAAACATTAATTCATTCCTTGAGAAAACATAGCCCACTGTGAAATCTTGCAGATTAAGCACACCCATTAGACATGATGCAAGAAGTATGCCAGTTTTTTTTCTTTAATGACATACAGGCATTCTGCCATGCCAAAGGATTTTAGACTTCTAGTTTTTGTGGAAGCCTATTTCTGCCTGTGTTATTTTGCAGCATCGTTCATGTTTCGTGCTAGCAGAAATTGTCCTTATACAGCTCCTTAAATACATGAAAACTCTTTGTGACAGTCTTCAAGCTTTTCTTCTAAAAGAATCATTTCAATATGCATTTCAAGTTAAGGGCATGCAGTGACATCACTGAGGCTGCCATTTGGTTGTTCCTGAAAAGTGATTGAAAAACTGCAACTTCTCAAATTTGTTAATTTCTAGGAGCACAGTGGAATCTGGAAATAGTCCAACAAAATGTCATATGCTGATGTCATGAATATTTCTTTTATAGTGCAGAATCTCGGTGTACGATTTGTTTACAAAGCATTTCTCTGCATGCGAAGTGTTGCAGAGGGGTGGTCACAAACTGCTGACTCATACACCGGTCAGCCCCGCCTTTCAGTTGCAAAGTCATGCCACACAATGAATGTGTCTGGTTGAAAGCCACATGCATCAGAAGTGCCACTGAATTCCTACTACTGCGAAGTTGAAGCATACCATGTGGTATATATATGCGTGCTCGATAAAAAAGTCAGATTGTTTCAGGTTTTATTGGTTGACGCTCCTGATGACCCATTACATCATTGAAGAGAGATAAGGGCAACTTTTAAATGCGGTTTACTATTTGGCTTTACAGCACACCTATGCTGCTAGAGATATAAGATTTCTTCAGCTTTTTTCTCATCCTGAAGCAGCTGTTATTTCTCATGGCTCTAAATTAGTGACTCAGTATGTAACTAATTTGAATTATTATTGGTGTAGTAGTACAGCACAACAATAACTGCATTGGTTACACCTTTTTAATAATTGATGCAAGGAATTATGTTTGATGTGAACTGGCACTTGTGGGAGCTCTGAATCTGCGTTTACTTAGTAGTGTTTATTGGTTTCGGACTTGAGTTGCTTGTGATCTCTGGGTGAACTGCAAAACAATTTCTTTGATGCCTACACTTTTTGCTCTTGTTTTCAGGAGCAAAGAGAAGCATGCAAGGTTAGTATTTTAAAGTTTCTGTTCCTGCCCCAGTGTGAATTTAGGTATTGGGTACCAGCATCATTTACTTTTGCAGTTTAGTTCTCGTTGTGTGTTGCATGGGGTAGGTAAAAAGGAAGGAAGGTGACTCTCTCTTGAAAATATTCACTGCGAGGCATATAGGAAGTTATTCTGAGAAGGCAAAAAATAATCGAACTGTCCTGTCAGAAAATGGCGAGACAGAATGTGTGATGTCGACTGGTAGTTAATAAATATTGAAGGTGTTACCTCGGCTGTAATAAAATTATATGCCGTATTGGTGCTATTTCTGTCTCTCACTATCTTCTTATTAACTTTCCTTTCCTATTTGTTCTACTACTTTACCCTACATCTTTCGATAGAGGACATCCCTACAATATTTGCAACCTTTTCTTCTTTTTATGATTTGTTGATGCACTATAAATACTTCTGCTACTACATATAGCTACTGCCAGTGTAATTTTAGGACTCTGGCTTACTAACGCTAAACGATACAAGAAAGCTAATGTTACATGAGTCCTGCCTATTGGTGGTACTACCAATGTGGCAGCAAAGCAGGTCTCGCTATTCAACTTTGGTTTGAGCAGGGCTGCCCAACACTTCTAAACAAACCTAATGTGATGAACTTCACAATTCTACTATAAAACAAAAAAGTCAGCCAAAATGTAAAGGGCCCCTGCAGCACTTCTTCAGCTTGGTCAAAAAACACAGCTCGTCGGTAAGTAAGGCTTCTGAGAACACTTGAGACTAACGTTATAGCGCAGCGTGTGGCCTAGAAATCACAATCAAAAGTCAGCTGGAAACCTCTCACTCCTGTCTTGTCAAATGATATCATAATCCAAAATGACAGTGTCATTAACATACAGTCCAAGGCCATTGTCTGATTTGAGCACAGAGATCTGCATAGTTACTGCACCTACCATGACATGCCTGTGCTGTTTCGCAACAGTGCTTGCAATCACACTGGAAGTGAGTCATGCATTCAAGAAAAAAATATCAAAAGAAAGTGCTCAGGGGCACGACATACGCATGACGCAACTTCTTTCCTCTGTGCCGACCCTCCATACTTAGCTTCCACTGCGCTCATTAGGATGAGAGGCGAAAGAAAACAATTACAGTGTGGGACAAATCGCTATAACTCTGCTCATACTTGACTGATGAAAAAAATTTTTGCAGCGGTCAATCCAAGAGGCAATAAACATCCATTTGATGTTTACATGTAAAAGTGTTGCAGGGCCTCTGTAATGATGACTGGCCGTGTGATCATGTAGTGTTTCACTGTGTTTTCTCCCTAGTTAGATCCATTCATGTCTTGTCACCATCTCATTTTTCCTCTACTGGTGTCATTCATCGTATATGTGATGTGTGCCTCACTCCTTTGTTTGTCTTTTCTTCTTTGTTTCCAGTCCTTTGAGAAAGTATTGGTTCAAAATATTCAGTTCGGCTTATCACCCAGTTTGACTGTTGCTATCAAAAGCATCAAAAGGTTTGTGCCTGCTTTATTTCTTCCTTGTTGTATGTATAAAATAGCTACTCTTGCATGTGGAGCTTAAGACATGTATCGCGGAACGCCGGCCTTTGTTACGTGTGGTGCCGCCAAAAAGATAGAGCCGGGAAAAAGCCAACAGAATTTCTTTAGTGGCAACAAACGAACATTAAACCGTCTATGATGATGCTTGTGGTGCACGCACTTCATGGTGCACAACGGCGGAGACAGCAACCAACGATCAATTTTTCTTCGTTGCCTTTTGCGGATTTCCTGACAAAATAGTCTGCTGACCCGCAGGTCGCGGGATCGAATCCCGGCTGCGGTGGCTGCATTTTCGATATTGAATCCCGGCTGCCACGGCTGCATTTTCGATAGATGCAAAAATGCTGTAGGCCCGTGTGCTCAGATTCAGGTGTACTTTAAAGAACCCTAGGTGGTCGAAATTTCCGGAGCCTTCCACTACGGTGTCTCTCATAATCATATGGTTGTTTTGAGACATTGAACCCCAGATATCAATCAAATCAAAGCCATTGCTCAAGACAAGAGCTATTCAGTGAACAGCGTGGAGTGAGAATGCAAGTACCTGAAAGAATAATCGTTTGTACATGCATTGAATGTTATTTAATGTTACATAATTAGAGCAATTTAATTAACGTAATAAATTCTGCAATTCTACAATGTTCATATCCTAATATAAATTGTTGCAAAGCTATCTTGATAAAAATTTTCTGAGTATCTGTTGAGTGTAGTAAGTGTTGTCAATCTCGTTCGGTTATCCGCTGCACGGTTCCTGTTTCCAGATGGCGCTTGGTACGGGCAGCTCTGCCTCATGTGATGCATTGCTGCGCTGCCCTGCTGTACGCAAGAAAGGAAAGCTGCTTGGAGAAGCTGGGAGCAGCAGAGACCAAGCTGCTATACACTCTTCACTGGATCCTGCTGGATGCTGCCGAAGAATGTACCGATGCTGAGCACAGTCAGACTGGCCAGCTGCCTGATAAGAGCCAGTACATCTTCCCAATAACCGTTATCCAGGTGATTACACTGTCAAGCTGTTTCACTCAGGCTCAAAGAAAAGTCTAGCCTTGATATTGTGATGGGCGAAGAGATGAAAATAAACGGGCTATTTGCCTTTTACCTACAAAAGCAGGCTTGCTATAGAGTGGCCGTGTAGTCTTTTTTTTAGGGACCCAGAAGATATAAGCATAGTCAGGAATTGTACTGTCACTGCTTCTGATTTTTTTCTTTCAGAGCAAAAGTTGTGAGATGACTGTCTTTATTTCTGTATCTTGAACTTGTTTAGGGTAGCTGGTGGGTACGTTCTTTGGCAGATAGTGCCACCAGGTCCTGGACAATGAAATTTCGATTCCTTGCCAGGTGATGCGCTGCACATAGTAAGGTATTTCTCTTGATTAAGAAGGAGATGGAAAAATTCTCACTGTTCTTGTGCACGAGTTTATAATCTAAAATGGTCTTTGAATCTCTTTGATAAAGCAGATAGAACACAGAGGCATCATGTGCAGGTCAACCACAGTTGCTCTTATAATGAGAAGCTTGCTTCCTGTGAATGCAATCTGTGACTTTTCCCTCAAAACCGTTGCTTGTGGTGCACACAAAACAACAGGCCTATGCACAGCTGTGGCTTTTAAAGGAGCTAGAGTTGAAGTAACATTAACTTGCCAGATGTCAAAGTGAAAACTTGCTTGCACCAAGACCTGCACTGTCTGTTATCTTTCTTATAGACTCTGCATGGTCTTTTCACCCGTGGTGATTGATTGATTGTTGGTGTTTAATGTCTCAAAACCATCAGCCACGGTGATTGTATCACAGTACTAACCCATGTCCTATCCCTATTTGCCCTGGATTGCCTGCTCCAACATCTTACTTTGTGTGAAGACATGGAAAATGCACCATAAACTTCAGTCATACAGTCATGCATTCATGGGTGTGCTTTGGACATCGTGCAGATGTTCAGTGGCAAACATAATTAATGAGTGGTTCTTCAGGTCAAGCCTTTGTGTGTTGATGTGAGGTTCTCCCAAAGTCCTGCCACTTTGAACATAGAATGCATTTGAGATGTTACTCTTATTGTCCATAAGCAACCTCTTGAATTATTCAATGCACCCAGACTTGTTTCATATTGCTGGCCAGGTTTATTTCATACAAAGGTCGATTTATTAAATATCTCTGATACCTTTAACGTCTTGTAATGTTGCATGATTGCATTTGGTGTCACCTTTCTTCATTTACTCTCTACTAATCTTGAAGGAGCATCTTCAAGGCTGCAGCCTTTTGTGGACTAAGAACCACAGTGCATCACCGCTTATGTGGAGCTTCAGGGGTAAAAGACTAGCAGAAGCAGCCGATGATCAGAGCAGCAGAATCATGACTAGCATTGAAAATGCTGGCTTCAGGGTGGGCTGCTCTCCTCTGGTCATCCCCATTAACATGTATTGTGCCTGCAACTCGTTATTATAGAATCACTTGCCACTATTTTGCCACTTCACTCATCATTCACTGTTGCTGATCGTTGTCAGCTGTAGCCATACACATTCTATACTATCTTCAAGATGAGTGCTGTCAAGCTGAATTTAAATTTTCATTGACTGCACAGGTTCAGATCTTTGTTTAGCTTAGAATACGTATCCATAGTATAGGTTAATGAGGCACATTCTCAAAATTTATTAACTTCACCTCAGAGGGAGCCCTCTGTATATCTGTGTGGGTCTGTCTGTACTTGCTGAGGTTGAAATGTTAAGGTGGTCTCTTGTGTGTCTGCTTCTTTTCTGGGTTTCCCTGAGGGATTGTTGCACTATCCAAATTCGAGTATACTGAGTGCAATATTCTTTGCTGTCTTGAAAAGCCACGTAAATACTGCTTCTGCATTCATTCTTTAATCGTAGTAGTGCTTGACGAATGTTTGAAGTGCATAAATGTTCAGAATTTGCATAATGTCATGCCTGGATTTTGTTTGGTGTTTTTTTTTTTCTCTATCTCCCTTGTTCACGTGTTCCATTTTTTTTTTCCATGTGTGTTACAGGTCTTTGTATACCTGTTTGCCCCACTAATTCCGTTCCTGAAGCAGTCAGACTTTGTGGGGAGTTTTCGTTTGGAAAATGGGGTTCGCATCTGGGAGCCCCTGTGGGAGCACCGACACCCTGCGGTTCCCTGCTTCACTGCCCCTGTGCAGCCACATGGTCATGCCATGCGGGCTGCACGAAGGGGCGACTTCGACCTTCGACGACACCAATATGGTGATGTCTTCATAGGGGGAGGCCCTCCGAAACTTCGCAAGCAAGGTCACTCTCTTTTTTTTTCTTTCTCGTATTTCAATTTTCTCATTGCCACCTGACACAATGCCTTACTGACCAAGGTGTTTTGCTACTGCTTGTGCATTCACATGTTCGATCCACGACCATCACAGCAATAGTAGTGTAATAAGCATTCTTACGAGGTCAGAGTTCCGAAATGCTTGGGTACTCAAATTAGGTATCCGTGAAATATTCTGTTGGTGAAGCCAATGCCTCCTTTTATTTCTTTCAATGCCAGTGCAAACGCGCGCTTATTAACGGGAGCCGTAAGTACGCCTTACTTCAGGGAGTGGTCAGTGATGTGACGCTACTATGAGGGGTCCGCAGTGCTTACGTCACACGTGCTTCCGACACTTTCCTCCGGAGATGGGATAGACTTGTTTCCCACTCCAATATGACACACGTCTGTCAGATTTTGTTCTTTCGGGCTCCTTTTTTGTGGCTCTAAGCAACGCTGCCGCCTTGTCGCAGCACAGCGCATGTAGTAGCGTTGCAGTGACGCTTCCCCTTCGGTTGCCCGCATAGCGCCACGAACGCGGCACGCTATCTCAAAACACCGTATTCTTTACAGAGCCATCGTGACCGCCAACGTAGTCAACATGAGGAATGCAAGACGCCGCCCCATGGATCTGTACACATCTGAACAAAAAATACTTCGTATGATTTTCGTTGTGAGGCACTGCATTAGGGGCTCCCTCCCCCATGACAGCAAAGCACACGCGAAGGCTAGGCGATGGGCAAGAGCAAGGAAAGGCTAGAGGAGAGGGTGGTGAACGGATGGATCAGGCGCATCTGGCTGGCATTGATGAAATGGAGGAGGCGTTGGTGATGCACAGACTGTATGCTGATAGTGCAGCTCAAATGCTCTGCTATGATGATTCCGTTTGTGGCAGCGCCTGTTAGCATTTAAAAATAATCATTCAAGTGAAGTCACATTTTCGTTTGCTTTTTCTTTATTAGATTCTGTAAGAACTGGCACAGATGAGATCGATGGTAGTGACCATGGCTCTCCCGACGTCACAATTACGAGCAGGGCATCATCAGCTTCTGCACTCGTAAGTAAAATTCGAGGTGAACTTGTGACTACAAAGATATGTCTAAATAGCCCCTTCTTTAATTCTCATGATCTCCAGTGCGGGGAACGGTGTTTAGAATCAAGGCGAGTAAAGTGCACAACCATTTGCTTATCTGTCTCTGACATTTGTCTCATAAACATAAGAAATAGTGTGTAGTGTGAACCTGCGAGGATTGAACAATCGACAGTGAATTCTGGATTGTCATGGTACATCATTTTAGTGGAATATTTTTTATAGGTACTATACTATGGGCTGTTATGCAATGTGCTTGCTAGTGGAATTTGAAATAGGTGTATGTGGGGACGGCGACAAACACTGAGTAAATGCCAGTAGATGCTGGGTAAATTGAGGAACACTTGGTATTGTTATTTGTCGTTGAATTCGGCAACAGCTTTCTCAAGATTTTTTTGTTGTTGTTACTGAAGGAATAATTAAAAGCTTTTTTTTTGTTTCTAAAAATCGTTTGCCCATGGAGGAAGTAGTTACTGATAATGAGGACAGAAGATGGATAATAATACACGAGTTATTCTTTCTGCAAAATGTGTTACATTGTAGTGTTTTCATTCATGCAGGCGTTTTGATTATCACAGCCTGTATTGAAACTTAGTTAAACTGTTGTGCACACATCACACTTCATTGCACTTCTTTCTCTGCTGAGTTGCATATTGCAGATAGCGGCACTACTTCAGTGACTATTAAGGGCCATTTACCCTTGACAAACATTTAAAATGCAAATGTTAACCCACATGCTAAATTCTAATATATTGTGTGAAACATTCTGTACTCTTGCATTTTTTGTCGTAGTGTGGTTTACACCCTGCTGAATCTCTAACTAGTGAGGATGTTCGCTTTGTTAACAATTGTGTAATTTAAATTAAATTTTGCTTCTCAGAAAGAAGCTACCGACTCCGAAGTGAATGTGCCTGTGGCAAAAGAAAGTGAACCAAAAGTGACAATCTTGGAAGGGTGTCGTCCAAGCCCTTCTAAATCTCAGGTAAAAAATGCCAATAGCTACTCTTAGACACGATTTGTGAGTACCACGTGCACAGCAGTAAGGGAACATCAGGGCCTGAATGTTTCAAGATAGGGCTGTGTAATAGAGACAAGTGCACATTACTTTATATTTTTTCAGTGGCCATTTTTTTACTGACTTAACATTGTATGGTGTAAGGTGCTACTACATTTACATCTTTGCATCATGTATCTGTTGAGGCCTGCTTCATGTTAAAATGATTATCATAGCGACAGTAAGAATGAGTGTTTTATATGACTTAGTACTCAAGTTCACACCTAAAATAAAAACTTACTTCTATATAAGTGATATGACATCACAATAGCACTGTGGGTCATTTTGATTGCATTTCAAGTAATTTTAATTGCATGTTAATATTATGTTAATCTTGTAAATCTAGATGTTAGACCAACATAATAAAAATTAGTAATCAGTAGATGTGTGTTTATATGCACATTTTGAATGTGTTCTTTACTTTTATTGACGTAATAATAACACTAAATAGTTATTAATTTCTGACTAGTAGTTAACTATTATTTATGACTCCTTTTCATTATGTCGGTCTAATTGGCATGGCTGAAACTATCAAAAACGCTTATAGTCATGGTGAACTTGTCATGAAGAAGCAGTGTTAAATTTTGGAGTACGAGACATGTACATGTGTGTGCAAGAACCACATTGACTGAAGATCAAATGGTGCGATTCTTGAGAGCACGTTTTTACTAGTGATTATAGTATTGGTTGAGTTCACTGGAACACTGATGCCAATTAATTCCTGCTTGCCTTGCTTCAGGGGGAGCTGGCTGCAAGACCGGCTCCGAAGGCAGACGATGGGGTTAAAAAAGAAGCCCTGACAGATATCTGTATGGCCACCTACCTTGATGTGTCTGTTATGAGATGCCTCTTCATCTCCCAGTGGCTGGAAGAAGGCGTGCATTGGGCCCTGCAGTTTCTTCTGAAACAGGTGTGGTGTGGGAACGTCTTTGAATTTTAGGGGAAGTTTTCTTTGCCTATTCTCTCGGCTCTGTGAAGGCTAACGGTTTTGATCTTGTGGAGGATTGTCACTTATTGTTAATAAATTACTGTCCCTACCAATTGGCTGCTAATTATCTGCCTGAATTGGGCTAGTATTTATGGCTTGGGCTAGTATCTACAAGTTAGGCTTGTGCGAATATTCCAGTAATTCAAATGTTCAAAGAAACATTAGAGTATTCAAATTCACTTTGATTTGAATTTAAATTATTCAACATTTTGAATTAGTCGAAATGAACAATTAGTGTATATTAGTCTGCATGTAATTCCCTGTTAAGGTGCATTTCACCGCAGGAAGGGCTGCTATTCCATGAACACATCTATTCAAAGAAAATCTGCTCTGTCGCAAAGCCTCACTTCAAGGTTGAATGAACATTTTACTGTCACATCGATTTATAGGTCGAGTTTAAAAGCTTGTTATAATGGTTTATATGCTCTGAGTATAGTAAATTTTGAAACTTAACATATTTTACAGGGTATCACTTGCATTCTACCGAAAGTCAAATCTTGATACTATTCAAAGTTGCTTCCAGATCCCTTTGAACCAAAAATAATTATATTTGTGCACACCTTGTTTAAATTTAAAATAATATATGCAGGTTAATTGAGTCAAGACAAATATTCTCATAATTCTTTATAATATGTGAACACATACTATTCGAATTTGTTTTGAAATTATTCTAAACAAATCGCTATTAGCTTCGAGTTCACTTCTAACCTAAAATTTATTGTATGGAGGGGGGGGGGGGCGCCTCCTCTAATCACCAAAGAAGTGGGGAAGCGTAAAGTCAGCCCAACATATTGACTTGATAGGGAGCGGAGGCGCTGCGACACGGGCAGGGGAACGCAGTTTGAGCCCTATACATTGATCTTATAAAGAGGGGGGTGCTGCGATGAACCTTTGCTTACCCTGACGGGGAACCCTGTGCCATGCACCAGAAGTGGCCTGCCTGCTGGCAGGGACAAGGTCTTATATTGGGTGCTATGTGTATTGGTGCAATTTCTGGTTGGAATGCACAGCATTGCACCATTGCTTGTTATAGTAGTGTCAAGAAAGAGTGAAGGTGAATAACCAGCTAAACACTATGTAGACAGCCTTTGAGCTTGCTACAGACCTTTGAGCTTCTTACCCTCATGATTAGGGCAAACTTCAAATAATAATAATAAAAAAGGCGGAGGCGCTGCGACACGGGCAGGGGAACGCAGTTTGAGCCCTATACATTGATCTTATAAAGAGGGGGGTGCTGCGATGAACCTTTGCTTACCCTGACGGGGAACCCTGTGCCATGCACCAGAAGTGGCCTGCCTGCTGGCAGGGACAAGGTCTTATATTGGGTGCTATGTGTATTGGTGCAATTTCTGGTTGGAATGCACAGCATTGCACCATTGCTTGTTATAGTAGTGTCAAGAAAGAGTGAAGGTGAATAACCAGCTAAACACTATGTAGACAGCCTTTGAGCTTGCTACAGACCTTTGAGCTTCTTACCCTCATGATTAGGGCAAACTTCAAATAATAATAATAAAAAAGGCGGAGGCGCTGCGACACGGGCAGGGGAACGCAGTTTGAGCCCTATACATTGATCTTATAAAGAGGGGGGTGCTGCGATGAACCTTTGCTTACCCTGACGGGGAACCCTGTGCCATGCACCAGAAGTGGCCTGCCTGCTGGCAGGGACAAGGTCTTATATTGGGTGCTATGTGTATTGGTGCAATTTCTGGTTGGAATGCACAGCATTGCGCCATTGCTTGTTATAGTAGTGTCAAAAAAGAGTGAAGGTGAATAACCAGCTAAACACTATGTAGACAGCCTTTGAGCTTGCTACAGACCTTTGAGCTTCTTACCCTCACGATAAGGGCAAACTTCAAATAATAATAATAAAAAAAGACTGGAAGCTTACGCCAAGCCGTGTAATGCTCAATACGCAGCAAAGCTGGTTGCTCTCATGTTTATTTACTGTTGTATCTAGGCAGAACGTTTGCTTTAAATTAACTTGACTGCAGTGACGTTGAACTTCTGCTTAAACTTCGCTTTAACAATGACAGGATCGTCATTGACTAAGTTGACTTTAGCCATTCCCATAAGCGAAGCATCTCTACCTGATGAGGCACCCATCACGTATCACATTGGCTTTTATTAAGCACTCATCTTGTTTCCCTTACATAGCGTCATCATCTTTCTTGCACTCCAGTACCATTGGGAAATGCGTACTTTCAGTGTGCGAGGCATTGCATTTTATGTTGCATTGTTATGAAGTGAATGTACTAACAAATGTAATGTTTTGACAACCCCTGCATACGCCTCTTCACGTGCAGGCTGCAAGGCTTAGCAGAGGAACAGGCACGCGAGGTGCACCCGCGCAAGCGGAGCAGTTCGCTGCCTGTGCCACGACCAGAGCCACCGCCACCGCCCTCTCCAAAGCAGCGGGAGCAGCCAGCACCACCATCCACGCCTCGTCCCCTGGGAAGCATTGCGGCTTCGGGCAGAGACTCGTGCCCGAGCCCGTTCCTGCGTGGCCTGCCCCTTATGCATGGCCAGGTGGGAGCCGGCGGTGGTGGACCGCCAAGCCACCACACGAGCATGCAGGAACTGCGGCAACAGCAGCAGCCACAGCCGCAACCGTTCCCTCATCGCTGCATGGCATCCCCGGACTTGCGCCGGTGTGCCTTTTCTTTTTTTTTATGAAACGGCCCCTATTTTCTATATTCTAAAACAGAGCACAGGATCTTTTGTTTTACACCACATGCATGTCATCATGGATCAGTATATTGTGCTGGATACTAATACTGAATACTAACTGGCCACGAGACAGCAGACAAAAAAATTAACACAAGACTCCGTGAGTGCTTGTGTTGTCTTGTACAACTTTTTGTATCTTGTGTTTTGTCTTGCACTGCTTTCATTCCATTATGGATCATTATGTTGCACTGGATACCAATACTGGATACTAACTGGCCTAGCATGAGCTAGTAATTTCTCACTGAATCCATGATAAGGTTTATTACCTTCTTGCTAACCTAATGGTTTACTAAGAAAATATGGTGTATATTCAGAACACTGCATGTAATGACAAAAAAAAGAGAAAAAGACACACAAATGCAACTATCTTTCCCCACTTGCAGGAACAAGCGCCTCAATCGAGGTGACCTGCGAGCTTTTGTTGAAGAGGGGCTCCGTCTGTCGGAACGCATCCTTGACCGCCTGGGCCGTGATGACGACAATGGCAGCAGCAACACAGGGAACCACCACCACCCTCACCATCCGACCATTGAGGTGGCAGTGGCGGGCGCTGGAGCTGGTGGAAGCAGCAGCACCACGACCACCACTACGACCACCAACAATAACAACACTGCCGTCACTTGCACTGTCGAGGAGCCCACGAGCTGGTCCGAGCCCCCTAAGCCAACTGTCAGCCATACCGCGACACGTTCAGTTACGGTACCACGGCTGCTTCCTCCGCGCCCCAGCTCAGCGCTGGGCCTCCTGAGGGACCCCGATGATGAAGAAAGAGCGTGCTCCCTTGGATTCTCGGCAGCGGCATTCTTCTCAAAGACAGAGATGGTACGTGGCAAGAGCCTGCCCAGCATCCACATTGAGGAGCCACCTGGCTTGAGGGAGCCAGTCGCCATGGCGACCATTTCAGTACCAGCCAGGGAGCCCCCTGGTGCACCGCATAAACTTCCAGCAGTGTACACACAAAGTGTGCCCAATCCGATCATCACAGTTACTGAGCACTCTCCCCGTTGCATCCATCCAATTCTTCATCAACCAGGTGAGACTCAGTGCTCCGGTGAGACCGCTTCTTTGTTTGTTGCTTTCTTTCTTTTTTTTCTGTCTCATTCATTCAATCAGACATTTAAATGTTAGAGTACATAATACCGCTTTGATATTACTTGGCTGAGAAAATAGAGGGAAAAGAAAAAGCGTTGTTATGTGGCTTTGCACAGCTGCCGTACCCTGCCTCTTCATTCTTCGCTCAAATTGCAACATGGAAAAAGTTTGTCACTTTGATTCATAATTTAGTGCACGTCAAAGGACCCATGCTTGTTAGAAATGTTGAGCAATCTGCTGCGGTTGACTTTACTCTGTGCTCGGTTTGAGCTGGAAAGTTCTTGTGGGCCAGTAATTACTTATAATATCACGAGGCTTTCCGTAGTCAGGGACTCCGGAATAGTACTGACCACTTTGGCTTCTTCAAGATGCACCTACATCCAAGTACACAAATGATTTTTTCATTTTGTTTCCACTGAAATGTGGCCACCATGGAGAAGAATCAAACCCACGTCCTTCAGCTTAGCACTGCAACAACTTAACCAATAAGTCACCACGGCGAGTTGTTAGAAAAGAGGTGCTGTGTCTTTTTCTTGCTGTCCCTTGTCTTGAGTGTGCACTTAGCACCATTATGACTGGATTGTTCAAAATAGCTGGAATCGCCACTTTGTTAAATATGTTATACCCGTGTCATACGGGCACTAAAGAGTCTTTTGAGCAAGAAGACTTTTTCCGTAAAAGAGTACCACGCAGAAACACACGACAGAGAGCGATATCTTTTTTGGAAACGGTCTTTTCTGAAAACGGCGTTCAACGAACTCTTTCAAGGCAGTAAAAGAGTACCCTCGAAGCCAGTGCACACCAGCAGTTCCTAACATGGCAGCGCCCGTGCAGTCCCACTTCAGTCAAAACTTGCCCTTGACGCTCACCAGAGCCCTCACAGAAACAAATAAATGGTCTAATTAGCAGTGCTTTGTTCGATCTCATGATAAGAAAAAAATTGTCAGGTAGGCTCTTACATTATTGGAGAGATGAGCTGTTTCTTTAACTCTGCCTGCTGAGCCTAAAGCACGGATTATTTGATAGTGTTTCAAGGAAATAGTGCAGTGTAATCATGAATACATTGCTGCTGAAGCTCCAAAACATAAATTTAAAGCAATTACAAGCGTCAGTCTGGAACTTACGTGCCATAGAGCGCACGACGACGACTTGATAAACTCAAAGCAAAAGCTACCAGGGTCGGTGTGTGCAGCCATGTTTTATTTTTCTCAACGCTGCCGTGTGCTTGTTGAACATGTGTGTGTAGATGTTATATGACTACGCTTAGCAGAATACGTTACGTGGATGCATTCATGTGAAGGGACTAATCGCCCTTAATATTCGCTAAGGGGCTCTGTAGCCTCCACAGTGCTGAAGAGAATTTCTGTGACAGAGTTATAGAAGGCATCAGAAATATCACATGATGATGCCGGGACTTGCGCGTGCCATTTTTCACAAGTGGGAAAAGCATGCTCAGCAGTCATGCGTGTACTCGATATTCCAGTAGTCCGAGCGTCTACGGCCAACCCCGGGGACCAAGGAGCCGACGGCACATGAAAAAAGCAGCGTCTGCAATGGTAATAAGCAGACACATGGAGTTTAGTCAGACTGTGGGAAGATAAACGCTTCCTTAACTTGTACAACAAACTTTGGGTTTCTTCATCTGTTATTCTTAAATTTATTTGAAGGAAGGAGTAATGCAACAAATTTCAAATTTCTATATCGGCATACATCGTTCTATTTTCATTGCTTCTCTTTTAACTGCTAGCGCCACGTTTTTGTAGCGTCTTTGAAAGAAAACACTAAAGGTAGATTGTTCGTGCTGTGTGTCTGTGCCGCAACACTTCTTCGTTACAAATCTTTCAATTTGGTAAAGGACCGCTTACGTAAAAGACTTTTGGCATGCCCATGTGATAAAGGTATCAAATTGAGAGAGTAAAAGAAGGAACATTACATCTGGCTTCCAGACCTTATGCTTTCACGCTTCTGAACTTTTTTCCAGGACTCAGCTGAGAGCCCAAAAGAGGAGACCCCTCCGAGCCCAATGTTTATGCCTCTCTGCCATCAGCTTTCTATCACACGAAGCCAGACTGACTCCAACATAATTTACAGCAGTGACGATTTCAATGAGGCATCTGGGTCAACCCATTACATAACTCCTGATGGCAAAATTAATCTTTCTGTAGTGCTAAAGGTAAGTAGCCTTTCTCTTTACTTTCTTTTTTCATTCTCGTGTACCTAACACAGCATAGTTAAAAAAAACCACAGCATATATACGGAGTGTTTGATGATGATTGGAGCGAAGCGTCTGTCCATCTGTCTGTCTATCTGCCTGTCTGCTTATCGAAACATCTCAAACGATGCGAGCGCTATCTAATGAACACTTCACGTACTAGGGGTGGCTGCGGCAGACAAACCTATGCCTTGAGGAGCTTCGCCCCTTAAATATATGTTTTTAAAATCAGTGTTTAATATTGGTATGCACAGTTTGTCTAATGAAAGCTATAAAAACAGCTACAGTGAAAGAGAGTATGGAGTACTATGTGCCACCTTCACTGCTGCATTTTCGATGACATTATGCATGAATATGTGAGAAAAATGGAGCCAGTAACAGGGCCTGAAGGTTAGCTGCATAAAGAAAGGGGAACAGAATACACGTTTTCTGTAGTAGCTAACTTTGCATATTTTCATGAGGTATGCTGGCTGTTTTTCTTTTTCTCTTTGCCATATGTTGTTAGTTTGAGTTAGTATGTGTAAAAATACGGTACATCTTAAAACCAAGCTTAGCTTGTATAATCTGCTCTCAAGGTTTATAAAATTGGAAAGAGACGTGAGTAATATGTATAAATGTATCCCTAAGACATGGCTTAATGGCAGTACAAATTTCGCTTGTAAGGGTGATCTTTTGTCACTTTTCAGGCAGACTATATGCAGAAAAATGCTTAGTTCGCTTTGAAAACTTTCACTAATAAAATTAGAACTGAAGTGAATATGCATGTCACAATGCACAATCAAATATTTGAAAACATCCAATATTCGCCCTAGTGCATTTATAAGCAGTGAGTGGTAGGCTTCTCTTGCTTCTATGCTTGAAGTGGTTTCATTTAATGAAACATGTTATGACTGGTCTGTATGTACCAGGCATCTTGCCACTGGGTGGCACAAAGCCTCAATGACTACTATGTTGCAGCAAATAATGGCATAATCTTTCGTTACCTTTCAGTGCCATTTGACCCTGCTAACCGCATGAGGCATGTTTTGTGAATTAGAGATTAAGAATGGATGTTGTGTGAATGCACATTTATCTGTGGCTGGCATTGCCTGGCAGATCACAGATGGTGTAATCAATAGCTATTGACCATAGATAACAGAGTGAAGTGCATAGTACAGTAGACCGTCGTATATGGTTCAGTGAAGCTGAAGGAACCAGGAAAACGCATTCCGTTTGCTGAGATATGAAAAGGGTTGCGGAATTCAAGTGTGAAACCAATCATATTAGAGGTGGTTGTTTGATTTGAACAGTGATATTGTTTAGATTTACATTTACTCAGAGCCTACTGTACTTATTTTTTGCCTTGTTGCAAATTGTGTGCTACTCATTGTCTACTATGTCCCAGGCTGTCATGCTGTCACCTTGCGAGACACCAGCTGTTCCCTTCGAGTGTGTGGGGTTGTGGTGAGCATCGTAGAGCTACTCCTTAACCTGGGTGTGCTGCCCAAGAAAATGGGCCGATCTGATGAAACATCTGATCCGTGGGGACTGGACGACTTCAAGCCAATCAAAGCCGAATCGGAGAAACGCACTGATGAGCTCTCCACACATAACCTGTTTGTGGACAGCATCATCAGGTACGTCAAGCTGCTGGCATACATTTGTGTTTGTTTCGCATGAGACCATACTGTCAAGTGATGCTTGTTTTCCTATAATTGTTTACCTATAATTGTCATAATTGTCACTTATACAGGCAGACTCTAATCATTTAGTTGGCGCCATTTACTCCATTTACCTGACAGGCAGAAACTGCATACCGAGTTGCATGTTCCCGGTGGCTCAATTGTCTATGCGGGCACACACCCGGTGGCATGCAATGTGTAGCCGAAATTTTTCTCCATATTTTTCACTGCAATATCTGTGGAAAGCAGATGCTAATACTGATTTTTCAGGTGTGTGTGAATTCTCATCAAATACGACAGGGTGTTTGTGGTTGCTAACCGAGAAAAGCTCTTTTCTTAGAGTCACATGTAAAATAGTATCATGTAAGCAGTACTTGCATGCTTGGCTTTTTACATATACAATAAATTTCACATTGTGAATACCTGGGCATTTCTATCACTGAAAACTAGCATTTTGCGAATATTAGAACACTTTTAATACTCGAATTTGCTTCTATTGAAATTAAAGTAAATGTAAATTTCGAAGTATTCAAAATAAATGAATAGATGTCTATTAGTCCACATGCAGCTTTTTGTGAAGGTGGTTTCACTGCAGTAAAGTGGTGCTGTGCTGTGGATACATCTATCCAAAGGACTTTGCACTGTTGCTAAGCCCCACTTTAAAGTCAAATGAACATATTACCCTCACATCTGTTCATTATTTTGTAAGTTAAGTTTAAAAGCTTGTTACCTGCATATGGCTTATATGGTCTAAGTATAGTAAATATTAAAGCTTCACATATTTTACAGAGTATCACTTGCATTCTACCTGCTACTATTGAAAATTGCTTCCAGATCTTTTTGAACCAAAAAGAAGGATATTTGCATATGCCTTGTTTCGCTTTAAAACAATATTGTGCAGGTTTGCGGGGTCATGACAAATATGCTCTTTTTTTTTTTCACAACATGTGATTATACTATATGAATTTAATTCAGTGTTATTCAAACAAATTACCATTTTCTTCAAATTCATTTCAAACCTAAAACTTACTATTCACACAAGCCTACTGAAAACCTATCCTGGAGCATGCAAATTGACAAAGTTTACATGTAGGCCTTCTGGAAACTATGCTTACTTAGATGCAAACTGAACCAAACTAATTGCTTGCTCAACTGTGATTAGCCACACACTCAAATACACGTCACTTAGAACTGTAAGATCAACTTACTGAACTTATTTTTGGCATGATTTTATCTCCCTTCTGATGAAAGATGATATTGAGTCACTCTGTTTGAAAAAAAAAAACTTGGTGGATTTAGTTCCTAATTTTGCTCCTGACTAAGGAGCTTGCTATCAACCCCTACGTGTACCTGTCACGGCTTGCTACACAACATGCCAAACCATATTCCTTAAAAGCACACTAGATCAGAGTTGATATGTCTAGAAAATTTCATTTTCCAGAAAAAATAGCAGAATGAAACAGGCTAAAACATGCACCAATACTAACATTTAGTGATCCGTCTGAGATATACATATTCTTCATTTTGTCTACTTTGCTGTGATGGTGTGCATTTTTTATGCTGTTTAAAAAAAAATTGGCAGATCCCACGTACAGTGGGAATCAATGATATGCGAAGCACAACATATCATTTATGCGAAGCACAACAAAGAAATGTTGATATGTCACTTTAGGAAGGAAAATAGAAGAGAAGAACGGCAGGGAGGTTAACCAGCCTATAGGCAGCCGGTTTGCTTCTCTGCGCATGGGAGGGGGATGGGGGAGATGAAAGATAGAGAGGAGAGAGGCAAGAGAGATAAACACAGCCCATTAGGCAGCACACGCGCGCAATATTTCTCTTTAAAATCAGCACAACGTTAGGAGGTGGAGGTAAATGATGTCCTACATGACTTCTGTGTCATGATTATCATGTTTAGAGATGTGCCGTTTACCTTCGTCATCTATTCACGTCACGTGATACCAAATTTAGTATATGTGGAGCTAGCGAAACTGCCGCGAGAACGCTATGAGCATGGTATGCTGTCATGTTCTTGCATGACACGCGTGTCAGGATTATTATGTTTGCACCAGCCATATATTTCATCATCCATTGCCGTCACGTAACACCAAATTTGGTATATGTGGAGCCAGAAAAATGGCCGCGAGCGCATCATGAAGGGCACGATATACTGTCATGTAGCATTGATGCGCGCGCATGCTGGGCACAGCGACGCTATGTTAGCAAAACGCGAGCACTGTATAGTCTGATGCCAGGTGTGACCGGCGCGACCAGCGTCCGTCGACGCGGCCCAACAGCAACAGGCACGAAATGCGACATGCTGCATTTCGCACCGATCCGTTACCCAGACAACACTGCCTCTGCCTCTTTTCATAATGGAGGGACGCTGGACGCGCTGAAACGCCCATACGTCAAAGCAACGCAGCGCGGCGTGCACCTGCGAGTATATGGCAGGACCGTCGCCTAGCGTGGCAACGCCGGCGTGACGCGACGAAATGAACGCCGGCAAGCACGTGCACCGCGTCACGTCGAAATGTATTGGCGCTCTGACTGTGGCATGTAGTCATGTTCTCATATGACACACATCTCAGGATTATCATGTTAGCACTAGTCGCATGCCTTCGTCATTCATTGGCATCACGTAATACCAAATTTGGCTTATGTGAAGCTAGCGAAACAGCCGCGAGCGCATCATCAGTGTGGCATGTAGTCATGTTGCTACATGACATGCGTGTCGTGATTATCATGGTTGGATGTGTCATTTACCTATGTTGTCCGTTTGCATCCCGTAATACCGAGTTTGGTACATGTGAAGCTAGCGAAACAGTTGCGAGCGCATCATGAGCGTAGCATGTAGTCATGTTGTTACATGACACGCATCTCATATTTATCATGTTTGCACCAGTATCATACCTCCGTTATCCATTCACGTCTATTAATACCAAATTTGGTATAAGTGAAGCTAGCGAAATGGCCACCAGCACATCATGAGCGTGGCATGTAGTTATGTTGTTACATGACACGCATCTCATGATTATCATGTTTGCACCAGTCACATACCTTCGTCATCCATTCACGTCCCATAATACCAAATTTGGTATATGTGACGCTAGCGAAACAGCCGCGAGCGCATCATGAGCGTGGCATGTAGTCATGTTGTTACATGACACGCATGTCATGATTTTCATGTTAGGGTCTGTCGCTTGTGTTCGCCATGCAGTCATGCCATATATACCAGTTTTGCAACATGCCATGTGAACGAAATCACCGCAAAAGTTGCAGGACCATGAAATGTAAATCATGACATTCATGACATACATGTCATGATTTTCGTGTTACGACTAGTCAAATATGTTCTTCACACAATCATGTTATCCTATACCAAATTTGGTATTGATACCACTATCAAAACGGCCAGGAGAGATAAAAGTTGTAGGCGGCTAGATAGATAGATAGATAGATAGATACGTTCAAAGTCGCCGAAGTTCGCTAAGAAATGCTTTGCCTTTAAAAAATTCTATACTTTGGCTGGAATCCTCTATAAGATGAAACCTCAATAAGATGAAGTAATAAATAGGTAACACACCTTAAGATATTTCAGAGTATGAAATATGAGCTTTGATTCCAAGCATTTTATTTCAGTCGTGCCATGACACTGCATGCTTTAAAGTGAGTTTCTGTTGGGTATTAGAGTGAGCCCCAAGGTTCTAACGCTCTTTTATAGGTGCATTTTGAATGGTTGTGCCTTGTTATTTCATTTGTGGGGTGTTAAAAATAAATATCTTGTGTGATTTTCCACTTCGATCGTTGTTGAGGACTGAATATGCAAGATGGAAAAATTTATTTATAGCATCCTTGCCTAGCATTGTTAAGTCTTGTCTCGCATTCTCATTTCTGGCAGTTAAAGAAATGATAAAATTTCAGTATGGCAATGACAAAAATTTTCAAAGTGCAAGGCCCTTTATCTAAGGGGGTGCTTGCTGCAACTAAGAAACTAAATAAAGGTTCTTGATAATAGAGCATAGTAAACCCTGTTTAGCAGGCAGTTGAATAACAGGACCTCTTTGTGGCTGATCAATAGGGAAATCCATAGTGGCACTTCTTCATGAAATATGGTGTGTAACGCTTCCTTGTTTTGCACCTGTTACAGAGTGATCAAGCACCTCGGTTGTCCTCATGGCTGTGGGGAAGGCCATCGGTCATCAACAGCAGAAACCATACGCCGCCAGGCCCATGCCTGCCTGCTTCGACTGCACCGTGCAGATGAAGCCCAATTTCGGAGGTTTCTTCGGGAACTTGTGCGAGAGCGCTCGTTGGCAGAAGTGGTGGACATCTATCACGCTTTCATGGGCTTTTGTGCCGAGACCGGATCGCTGCTATCACCTATAAGTGAGTGCAGAGCCTACAATGTACGTGCAGCAGATAGTACTGTGTTTACTCGTTCAATGAACACACTTTGTTTTCTCGAAAAATAGGAGCAAACTTGGGGGTGCCATTATTATGCAGGGCAAATTTTATGATAGCTTTTTCCGGATGAGCGAAAAATGTGGTAATGCAAAAAAAAAAGAAGTTATGTCGCTTAGTCTTTTGCAGTTGACATATGCGTATGCTATTTGGCAACAGCTCCTTTGTTGCTCTTAACTCATCTTCAGTGATTGGAGGCGCTATTTTCTTCAAGCTGTCTCTGCACTGCTAGCGCACTCCATAAAAGCATTCTGCAGCTTTCTTTTCTTGCAATCGTTTAACCGCAACAATGGTACCTGCCTGTGATCTCAAAGGGCACCCCAGAAGTGTGCGCTGCAATGCTACGAAGCACTGTGCCAGCTTTGTGGCAACCTCGCATGATGACCGTGCCACTGCCATTGGCATTGCAGCAAGTAACCAACATTGCAGCAAGCTACTATCGAAGCATCAAAACAAACCGTCAATAACAAGGTTAACAACAAAATATGGTTGCCACCTCGCTGTCTACTTGAGGAGTTACGGTAGAATAGTTAGCCAATATCTCGCATTCTTGAAGTACGAACAGATAACAAGCATTAGGAGTAAATCGCAACTGAAGCGAAAATCAGAGGTGCTACCATGTTGTGGAAATGGTCACAATATTTCTGGGTGACAAGTGATTTTTTCTAGTTTTCCGTAAACCTGCGAGGCGATGGCGACAAACGGTCCCTTCGCGACAGACATGGCAACAGCAAGTGATGTCGTCGTCGCTTGACAGTTTTTTGCATGTGGTTGGGCCTTAAAGTTTTGTATTTCCAGGAAGTGACTGTCAGTTGGCACGGGCTGTTTCGGGACCTTTGCTTGCTGTGTGCGTGTCAGCTGCAATGTCTTTTGACTCGCACTGTTTGTGAACCCTGCTGTGATGCACAGTTAATTAAAAGAAACAGGGGTGTGTCGTGCATAAATAGAAGAAAAACAATACGGCGCGCGGCAGAGGGGGATGGTGGGGAAGGGGAGCGAGCCGAGGTAGCCGTGAGGAGGGGGGCTCGGCATAATAATAAAAAACGAAAACATCCAACGAGCAAGGAGGTGCCTGGTGTCAGTTAGAGGGACTGTAGCGAATAAATGTAGAGGGCGCGTTTATGCCACGGGAGAAAAAAGTTCAAATTATGGTGACTGGAGTTGAAGGTGCGTTCATTATACGAGTAAATACAGTATATGTGTGTATACACAGTTTCATAATTTTATGTAAGCGCTCCTAAACTGGATTGTTCACCTCAGCTCTAGAAAATGGAAGGCACTGCTGCTACTGAAATGAAATCTTTACTCTAATTTACTGAGGTGATCTACAAGCTAACTATTTTCAGTCAAACACACTTGGTCTCTTCTTGAAGGAACTTGAGCAGGGGCTCATTTCCAAGTCAAGGGGTTATCACAAGAATCAACAGAGTGCATTATCGAAGTAATACTTTATCCATGGTGCAGCACTCTCCTGCAATTTCAACAAAATGGACTGAGAGCTTTAAAGTGAATCCTCTTTATGTTAGTGTCACTCTGTGGACTACATCATATTGTGACTATGGAACGCGTTTATTTACAAGATGGGTAATGCAGAGGTGTAGCTCAGCGAAGGATCAACAGCGTCGCTCGGGAGCCAGTCGAGTCTCTTCCTCCTCTTCGTCGAATCTTCGCTAGCGCGTTTCAATATCTTGTGCAAATATACTACATATTGCAGTATTCTTCTCATGAAAATCCATCTAAAAGGCATTCTGTAAATTATATTTGGAACTAAGTTGATCCGAATTGACAGAGAAGTATGGATGATTAGTATTCTAATATACACGTGCTGCTTTTCCAGGTAACTCTGCGCATGCATTTGTTCATAGAGTATAGATTATGACTGAAGTTAACCGGTACGTATGTGTTTGAATTGCAGCTCAGAAGCGAACCAGTACCACGAGCAGCCAGGATGGCAGTGTGCACAGTGGATATGCCAACAACTTTGGAGCAGGACCAGGTGGGATCTCTGGTAAAGGCATCGAGGGTGTGGTCGTGACCTGCACCTTCAAAGCACTGGTCACACGTCTGGCCAAGTGCAGTCGTGAGCTCAAGAACCAAGAAAACATGGTGAGTTTTGTGGTGTACACGTATCCTGAAGGAGTACGGCCACCAGCGTGGGTCCGGTCTTAGCGAGCCGCAGGGCACGCATTAACCGTCGCCGTGGCGAGAACACGATACTGCTCAAAGTCGCAATCACTTTATTGTGGCAACACCAAACGCAGTACAGCCCGTTGCAAAAGGGCGCAACGGGAAAGCAAATAGGCTTATCCACGCCACGGGCACAAAGTTGACACAAGGTGCCACGAGCACGTCTCCGCGGTAAAGGTGATCCACGGAGACACCGGGACCAAGGCCTGGTTGCTCGAGCGAGGGCAAAGGCCCTCGCGTTGGGTTCGGAGGGAGACGGGTCGGCGTAGCTAGGCCATGCACTAGGACACCGTACCATTCTTCGGCCATGCGTACGCAGTGGGGCAACAAAAGGTGAGCGTTCGCCTTGGGCACGAGGCGCCGTCAGCGAAGTCCGACGAGCCCCGAGCGACGGGAGTAGACAGACGGAAAAGATTGTGTGGCTCACCGTTTGCAGTCCAGGAGAGTACCTGTCTGCTCCTGACGCAGCGCGCGAAAACCTCTCGGGAGACTCCGCGCGCAGCGCCACAGTCAACATCCGCTACCGGGTGAGGGAGTTAAACGTCACTCCGCTCTCCCAGCGCGGCAGACATGTTGGGACATGAGAACGGCAGAAAAGGCGGCAAAGCCCGCTGCAAAGGCAGCGGGCTAGCCTCAATTCCCACAGTTTGCTGTTTACTTGCTAAAAAAAATATTCTCTGTAGAGGTGTGCTAATGTGTGATTTCGTTCGTATTAGTAAGTTGGTCTTCCGAAATATGGATACGTTTGCTGCGAGAAAATGATGCTTGTTTAGCCAGTGAACACACGCACGTGCACGCAAAAAACAGCTGTGAAGATGATAGCGGTGCCTTATTCAAGTTTCTTCACTCACTCTCCATTATGTCATCATTGGTTTTGACGGTGTCTTCCAAGGCCTTAGTAGTTCTTTATTAGTAAAAGTGAATCAGTACATTGTTTTTAAGGGGCCATAGATTTAACATTGCAAGCTTCAGAAAATTTTGTTGAGCCAATGTGGCGAAAATTTAAAAAAAAAAGGCATTTCAAATTCATGGTGTAACAAAGCCATCAAAATTCTGTGGTTGCAGAGTGAAATTCATTCATAAAACCTTGGCCTTCATCTTCTCTTTCAATGAGTAATTTGTGATCATAAAGTTTTGTGGTAAATTAAAAGAATAACTGACCAATCTAGGAGGAATCACTGCCTCTCTATAGTGTACACTATTCTGTTCACTCTCTTACGCTCTGGATACCGAACCCTTTAGCTTTCTTGATTTATGCATTCTACTACCAGCATAAACAGAGACATAGACAATACACAAATGTGTATTTTCTACATATATGTTTTTTGAATATCATCGGAAAGATACTGCCATGTGTAATCAATGACAGCAATGAAGAGTAGCTAGTTAAACAATCTCATTTTATCATTGTGTGTCATGTGGAAATAAAACTCGAATGTGAGTAGTTGTGATATTGTTGCGCTTAAAGAGAATGTCAAAAATTATATGCGTATTACCAAAATTAGGCTTAATGCATGGCATATATGAACATTAAAGCCTTTGTAACTTTTATAGTGTGGCATGGGGTTGTTAGCAGATTTAGTAGTCAGGCCCTTGAAATTTAAATACTAATTCATGTAGAATTTAAGCAGGCTGATTATGATGGGGCCACTGTTGGGATGCTAATATCTTCTCTCCTTCTTTCTTGGCAGTCGTTATATTGTGATCTGCGTCAACTGATGAGCTACATTCATGACAACCACGGAGGCATATTTAGAAGAGTGGCCTTGAGTGGGATGCTTGACTCTGCAGACCGTCCAAACAAAAAGAAGAATTACGTTCCGGGTACAAGAATTGTCAGGTATTAAGTCCGTTTCCTTTCTTTTTTTTTTTTTCACTTTCCTTTATTGTTTTTCAGTTTCTATTGAGGGCAGGGGCAGTGGTCAACTGGCGGTGGAGAACTGTTTTATATTTAATGTTACCTTGTTGCGGTTCATGTTGAATTAACTTTTTCTGCCTATGAATATTCGTTCCCATGAAACGCGAGACCCCTGCTTTCTGGACTCAGTCAAGCGAGCATAAACCTGTGACTGTTCTTTTTGTGCGACCAACAAGTTCTTGCCACAGCCTAATGTCGTGCTGGTTTTGACTTTTCTGCTTCAAGTGAATAGCGGTACTTACAACTTGAGTAGCAGAGGTCAGTGCTCAATTCTGTCATTAGGGGTGGCCTTTTATATTTAACTACTGTTACTATCTTTTGGCCTTATACAATGCTTGGTATTTCTGAATCTAGGCTTTCTTAGTTCTGGTTAATACTCGTCACCTTGAAAATGTTACATTGCGAATATGAATACTTCTTTGTAGCTGGGCATGATGTTTTTTTCTTGGCGTGCCAATGTGACATGCTGTAAATGACCACGTTTTTTTAAAAGTGAACAGAGCAGTAAGTGGAATGCTAACAAAATAAAAAAAACCGTGACGAAGATAGACACATGCATAGCACAACAAATTTTTGCTATAACTCCTGTATCTGTGTCCACCATTGTGCATTTGTTAATATAGTATGGAAGCATTAACTTTCCCAATTCACCATGCCTCATAACGTTAAGAGGTTAATGTTGACAGCCTGAGATGGGAATGTCAAAGGGATGTAGTAAATTGTACAGATGTGGTAAGTTGTGTGCTCATAATGTGCAATTTTTAAGTCACTCTTATCTTTTAAAGGCATGCAAAGTCACTGGAACACGAAGAGTTGAAGGACCCACTCTTTTCATCAAATGTTTTTATTATTGATGAGACGGCCGTTGAGAAGAGCAGTCGAAAGTCTTTCTTCAGGAAAAGAGGTGTGAGAAAGGTCCCCAGTGCTCAGGTATGCTTTCGGTGCATTCTAGTGTTTCTCTTCAGAACGTCCTACTTACTTGACAACGAACTTCTAACATGCAGCGGCCTTCACTTGAATTTAGAAAACTGTTAAGAAAGAGATGTATAGAAAGAGCACATGTGAACATCTCTTCCACATGTGTAAGCTTCACAAATGCTAATACGAATACTTCTAGAAAATGCACACAAGAATATCATTATCAACAGTTGTGTGTCTGTGCACTGACTTTATATAATTGGGCAACATGCTTTCTAGAATATGTGTTCATGTGCATGCACCCATTAAGCTCAAATGGTGTTAAACCTGTCACAGAAGCTGTATAATCATTGATTTAGTGAACTTAAAAAAAAAATTCAGTACTGGACTGGTGGGCAAAGTCATGGGGTTCTAACCATTAGCCAAATTATTTGAACACTATTTTGGTGTAGTCGACATTCTTAGTCTACATAAGCCACTTTGTGCCAGACTATCTTTCATAGTCACTGTATGTTGCTTGCCAACGAAAACGATAGTAGCTACAATGCTTCCCATCATCTTCATGCCGTCATAGCCATGCTGTCGTCAGTAAATGTGACTGCAACATTATGGTTGATTCATGGTCATCATCGAGCCTCACCATGCGATTCTCATTGTACTGACGTCTTCACATCACCATATGCTCCTCGACAAACATTTGCCATTATTTCATTGGCCTTGTGGCACTGTGCCCCGCTCTCGTTGTTCTACCATCATCATCATCAATTCAAAATGATCATTCCTATGTTGTCTTACTACCTTCATCATCCAGTCAATGTCTGTTTCAGCTTGGTCATTTCACTGTCGTCACTGTGACATTGTCGTACAGTTGTCATCCTGCCATGAATGCAAGAGCCGACCGTAATGAGTGAGTGAGTGTCTCTGCACTGTTGGCCAATCTCGGAGACAGCGCACGCTGCTTGTAGCCGAAGTGAAGCAGGTCTCAGAATGGTTATTTACAGTTTATGAATGTTGTTGTTAGCAATATGGTGTATTACTATGTTGCCTTAATGCTAATCACATCAATGCTGACTGCAATTGTGAGATGAGTTCAGCTGTTGAAATTTTTGTTTCTATGCTGTGCTGTATGTTTAAGATCTGCGTACTTAAGGCAGTGAACAGGTGTGTTCAAACTGCCTCCGCAGAGCATCATGGATGAGAAGGAGGATGTCTCGGCATGCCCAAGCCCAGCGCCAGGCCAGACGACACCCTCGTTTCCTCGTCAGCACAGGGCTCTGACTCCTAGGCTTAGCGTGTCGGAGGGAGACAATATCTCCCTCACTCCTAAGCACAGCAAGGGCTCTAGATTTGCACTGGGTGAGTCCTTGTTTTATGTAAAACACCCAATACAGACTATCTGTGAATATATTTGTTCTGATAAGGTAGTGTCAATCGTGAAAGGCAGTGAAAAGTAAGTTTATAAAATGGCAAACTGCAATCTTTGATGCAGCGCGAAAGACAAACACATAAAAAACACAGTGCACAGGACGAGCATTTTTTTTACATCTGCATTTTTAGTGCAGCATCAATTCTGCAATTATTCTAAGTAACCCAACTTTCCATTCTACTGCATATCTGTAATGCTTGAAAGGATTTTGGTAATAAACATTAAACAGGCCACAGTGGTCTTGTGGTCATGGTGCTCAACTGCTGACCGAAATGAAATTCTGTGGCAGGGTCTTGTACGTATTTCATGATGGAATGCTCATCCCTGCTGCACATGATTGGTCAAGGCTTGCGAGAATGTTTGAGCGGAACATGCACAGGTGACCCTCTACCAGTCCTGTACAGGGGGAGAAGTATTCTGTTATATAATGCTTACAAGATCGCATGCCTGGCTAGAAGCCATTGTGATGACTTATTTGGAGGTAACAGCATTAATAGGCTTCATCTTAGAATAATGTGTAATGGCTACGTCTTTGGACATTAGAAAGCTTGGCCATTCATAAATATTCCTTACCTGACAAATTAAGCATAGCAAACATGAACACGGTAGTATCGTCCACTTAATTCCTTTTTGTTTGTGCTTTGTATACCTAACTATTCAAACCAGGGACACTTGATCTTGATAGTTATGTTTTAAGTTTATTTCTCCACTCACATTTGAACTGCTTTTGATGATACCATTCCTAGTTTGTGATATCGAGGCAGTGTTTTCAATAACAAACGAGTTTTTCGTGCAGTGGGATGGCTGAAAGGAGACCGAAAAGGCGACCAAGGTGAAGAAGAGTGTGGTAGCTCTCCCGGAGTCGGCCTGGACACATCACCGAACACGACTGAACGCCTCATTCGACGCTCGAGTGGCATGAATCGCACGCCCAAGATGCCGCCCAAGTCTGCGAGCCACATGAGCCTGACATTGTTGCGCGCTCGTCGCCGCATGGAAGACCAGCTGACCAAGCTAGGCTTCGGTCGCAGTAAAAGCAAGCATGGCAGCTTCGAAGAGCCCCCAGGTAGGTGCCGCAAAGTATGCCTCTGCACTAACTTGGACGTTGGTATTCTGGTGAGAGGGCCTGTTTTCCCTGTCTGGACAAGCAGTTTGGTTAGTGGCAAATTAGTTTAGCAGAAGCCTGATAAGTAGAGAAAAGGTTTCGGACAATGAACACAGCTATGCGGCGACGCTAACATACGATTTAAAAAAAGAAAAAAAAAATTGGTTATGTGAAACTGCTCAGCACATGACCTTGAAGTTAGTTTTCATCACAGCTTTAATAAGCTCTGATCTAAATCTGACAGTAGATGCAATGTTTTTTTTTAGGCATTGTATAGGAATTCTCTGTCATTAATATAGCTGGGGTCAATGGATGTTTTTTTGTCACAGATCTCAGCAGACGAAACTCTTTTGACCTGGACCACAATCAGCGGGATGGCGAGATGCTTATCATGAAGGAGAGCAAGCTGGTCAACACCAAGCTTGTCTATGATGGCATGCTTCGATTTGCCTTTCTGCAAGAGGTCTGCCAGCCTGGAACAGTTCCCGATTCTCCTTTGCTGGCTGCAGCATTAGACCTGGCAAGTTCATGACCGGCTTCTGTCCTTTTGCATTCTTATAAAGAATGTTGACTCATTCGTTGCATAAAACAGTTGTGGTGTCTGTGTCTATCGCAGAATATGGTGCCGTAAGCAGAATGACCAGAAAGTCAAACAGTGGGTTAAGCTTGACCAGTCTTCTACCTAGGCAAGAAGTAGACAACATCTGGAACAGTGGTGGATGTAAAGTGTATATTTTTTTTTGAGATAGGTGGTGGCACTGTGTTGTCAAGAGCTTAGCCTTTATTCTCCACAACAGGCATTTTCCCCTCAGCAGAAGGCAGCACCGTTTTTCGCTCTGACAAAGCTACATTTTCTGTGAGACATTACTGTGTGCAGCACGTATACTTCAATATTAATCTGAGCAACATTGACAGGTACTGGGAGTAAACTCCAGTGCATTAAACAAAATACATTATTTAACGTTTGTGATCCTTAGGGCTGCTTCTCTTGAGTTTTGTCCGAGCACGCTAGTGTCTCGTTTTAATTCCCCTACCCCTTCCCCCTTTATGCCGGATCGTCAATAAAGTTGTTTCACTCTCTCACTCTTCTCAACACATGATATACTGCATGGAACTTTGCTTTCTGTTTCTCTTCAAAAAGAAGAAATGTTATGCATGTGTCATACGGAGCTTAGTCACTTTCTTTATGCCTCTTTGTATAGTAGAAAGTGCAGCCAATAATTGTGGTAGCATTGTGTTTCAATCAAAACTATAAGGTGTAAGCTCTTTCAAATATCCAGTCCTGCTCAAGTTCTGTAGCTTGAGTAATTGACATAGCAGCCATAGCTTGCGTCTCATTGGAATTGCAGTGACTAGCGTAATGTGCAAATGAGACTGTCAATGAATCTTACTCTGCTGCATGATAAAAACAAGGATAGTAATAATGACACTGATTCAATGCCATCTTAATCATTCAATATCTTACTCTACAAAGAATTAATTCTGCTTTGTCATAAATACGAGATATAAACCCTGTTATGTGGACAGCAGAGTTGGGATAACGTACTCATGTGAAGTGTCAAGTTTCCATGCGGCAAATGTTAACACTTTTATGAGGTGACAGATGCAAGAATGTGAACTTAAAACTTGCAGTTTTATTTGTGGCAACACTCTTTATGCTTACTGTGAACATGAAATAAAACAAGGGAATGTTTTTCTGGGAGGTCTTACTTATTATTTAGTAAAGCATAAAATTAGTAGCACACTTAACTTTGTATGTCATGTTTTCTTGTATATCTGTAGCTCTGTGTTGCCATAACCTATTGGGCATAGTTTTTGGGATAAAAAAAAAAACAACTTGCCTTTTAATTTTCTTTTTTTTTATTCTCATGCATGCAGAAAGCACCAGTCGTGTCCCGTGCGGCTCTATTTTTGGAGTGTGCTCACTTTGTGCACCGATGCAACAAGGGTCAGTGGCCCACCTGGATGAAGCTAAACCTGCCCGTGTTTCGGCCTTCTGGTCCGTTAGCAAATCGTGGCACACCCTCGGGCCTACATCGCACGCACATCCTGCAACGGGCCGCTGGAAAGCTCTTCTTTCAATGGGCTGAGGTAGGTTGACATAGTTTTGCTTTCAACTTATCGTATTTTCTTGGTACACATCATGAACAAATGTTCGTCAGCACATATTTTCATGTACGGCAGTTTATCAGATGTTGTGGCGTAGTGATTGGGATGTTCTTAACATGAGGTTGTAGGTATGATTTCCTGCAGTGCTGTTTGCAAGCCAGTAGGGAGTGTGTGCAAAAAATGCCTTTGTATTCGGACCACTTTTGAAACAATGCCAGGTAGCTGAAATTTGAGTCTGCAACCATTCACTATGACATATTCTTTATGTAACTGAAGCAATAGAATTCATAATTATATTTTTGATGTACAGTATTGAAAGAGTTTCTTAGAACATTTATATTAAGAAGGAAGAGTGAATTCCTAGTCTCTCAGCTGACATTTTCATTCTGTCACTCCTTTTCTTTTTTAGTTGAGGCTTCCTCTATAAAAGTTTGGTTAAAGTTACCTTTCTTATATAGTATTACACAATTGATGGGCATGAATGCCAGCAATACTGATTAGTTAGTTATTACTACTTTTTAAATCATTTCTTGTGAAGTGCTTAACTTGGCATATGTTGCCATGCCAGTCACGTAAGACTTCAATAATTAACACTACTCTTAGGGGAACAGTTTGGCAAAGTTGGAATTTCTGTCTTTCGTATGGTTGCTGCTGAAACTCAACACCTCTTTTAACCATGTAGAAGTTGTCAGTAATGTTTTAAATGTATCAGTGTGATTCTGTACTTTGGATGAAAAATATTCTTTTGAGTCATGAGCAATGAAGGAAAATGCAAGATGAGAGACACTCTTTAACAAAAATGTGAGCACCATTCTTATTGTTTCCCATTATCGCAAGTTGGTTTCTGCATCGTGCAGGCTATTGGGGCCAGGCTTGAAGAGATGCTTCAGGGCGAGACTCATGACCCCCTGGAGATCGCTGCCATCACAGCCGATGAGCAAAAGCGCCGGCAGTGCCGAATGGAAGATGAGGAAGAAGACTTTTTGGATGAAGGTGATGCACAGGCAGGGGCAGATGTAGCCAGCCTGCAGTGATTAAGACTAAGATCACTCAAAAATTTCGTTTGTAGGTATGAAAATATCAGTTTGCCTGTCACATTTCTACCTGCTGCAGTAGTTTACTGGCTACGGCATTGTTCTGCCAGGCGGAGGGTCAAGATATTAATTCTAGCCACAGCGACCACATTGCAACAGGGGTGAAATGCAAAACTTTCTGCATACTTTAATTTAGTTGCATATTAAAGAAATCCAAGGTGATAAAATTAACTGAGTTTCTCCCACTACAGAATGCCTAATAATGATATCACGGTGTCAGTGCATGACACACCGGTATTTTACCTTTTTGCTACATTTGAGGTTGCTCTTCAAGGCGGATAATTTAGATATGTTGTCTAAATCTAAACATTCGATATTCAAGGCCATATAATTACAGCCATCAGCGAGTGTCTGTTCCTTCAAACCAAATTAAAGAAAAAATTTGAATAATAAGGAAAAGCTCTGCTTACAAAGAAGTAATTGTCCGTCGTCCTTTAAGGGCTCGAATAAATGAGACTGTAGTGCTATATTGTAAAGGAGCAGTTTACTAAAGTATGTTTTTAGGCACGAGGTTCTGGTAAGCTGTGTTGTTTAGGTAAAAGAGGGATGCAACAACAATTTAATAACTCTTTTTTGACATTTGGCACACAAGTGTAAAGAAAGTGTCTTCAAGACAGGCCAATGCTAACAATTACATAGGCTATGTGAGGCTATGTGGGGGAATTTTTACATCTTGTTGATTTACGGACAGCCATGTAGTATTTATGCTGCAAGAAGCACCGGAAAAAATTTAACAGTAATATAGTATGTATTTTCAAAACTTACTAAGCGCAAAGAAACATGGGATGCAACTATTATCAGGACGAGCATATTGTCCCATTGTTGCTTGCATTGAATACAAGTTTTTAAGATGGATGCACACTGACTGGCTCGGTAATCACTTTAATTATATTTTCGTTATATAACCAGCCACTTCGTGAAACCTTTTCTTCACTTAAATTCGAAAATGTGAGTGAGATTCACGTGATATCTTTGTTATCCACAGCGAGCATCAACCCTTCGGGAAATGTCTGCCCCTTTGCCCTAAAGATGGCAGCTTGCCAGCTGCTTCTGGAGATCACAGCTTTCCTGCGGGAGACTTACCAGCTGCTGCCGCAGAAGTCGGCCCGTACGTCGGCTCGCGACCGGCCCACGTTTGAGCCTCGTAGTGTCAATGCTAACCGTCGCTGGAGCATGGCCCTGAGCACACTGGGGGTCAGCCAAACTTCGGCCCACAGCCTGGTCTCGCTGGCCGAGCAAACCCACCCAGGTGAGGGGGCTGTTTATTTCAGCACAGTCTGCAGAGGTGCCACTTTTTCTTCTTTACAAAAAATAATGAAGACCTCTTACATATTGCTTTTGGGTTGCCTTTTGTGTGTGTGTGTGTGTGTGTGTGTGTGTGCATATTTCTTAATAACAAACCATTCTCATAATTGTAAAGCTAGCTTTCCTGCAATATAGTTTGCCCAACTAATGGTGGCTAGTCACTTCTGCAAACAGCGTGTTCAAGTGCACTTTGCTTGTGCCATGAAAGGGAAAATGCAGCTGCAGCTCTCTTAATATAAGCACACGTGGTAGACAAGCTCCAGTACATGCAACTGCACCCTCCTCTCCACTTGACTCGTAACATGTGCGATTTTTAGTTGGGCGAATCTGCAGCACAGGGAAGCGCACTTGCAAATCATGGAAAGAGTCTACGGTATGATTTTAGGAGTGGTTGGTGTGTGTCGGGCTAGCTACACTTATTCTCTTATGTGGCAATTATCTGTGCAGTGCTGTCAACAATGGCAATAATTGAATAAAGAGCACATGAACTAACACTCACTTACCATTAGTCTTAGTAATACAATATAACTGTTTGTTTAACTCAAGAGTTCACACAACAAAAATGTTCCCAAAACAGAAATGTTCATATGGCTGTGGACGCCCGTTCGAAAAAAGGGGCTTTGCCAGAAGCTTCTTTCCAAGTACTCAGGACCATTCGTCATTACTCAGTGCTTGAGTGACGTCACTTTCGTTGTAGCGAAAGTGACAGCTCAGAACTGGCGTTTGCGTAAAATGCAAATTGTGCACATTGCCTGATTGAAGCCCTACAACAACCGATCGCTTCTACTCGCTTGGTGAGCTTCGTCTTGCCCGGAGGAAAATGTAACACGGACTGAAAGAGCGAGAAAGAAGAAGAGGTAGGACGCTCTCGAGCGATGGTGATTCGGCAGTGACGGTTGAGCGCTGGCATTTTCAGTGTAAATAAACTCATCACATCTGTAAAAATATATTCAAGGTCGGCATGTACAAATGAAACCTCTCTTGAGTGCTAAACCCTTAAGAACAGCAGATATTGTGGCAAATGAAAGTTGGACTGAAGAACCCCTTATTTTAAGTCTGTGGAAAAACTTAACTTTAGATAATTTTATGGGCTGTACGTGCGCCATCACACAAATAAACTGCAGACATCATAAATCAGAGTATGGTTTTGGCAAGCAGAACTCTGAAACCGTTTATAAGCTGGCTCTTTTTATACATGATCAATGTGCGAGCTCTGATGCGTGCATTTTTTCTGTTTTCAGTTGTGGTAGGAGAAAGAAGAATTAGTTTTGTGCTGCACGAGGCAGATGCAGAAGGAGAGTCGGAGAACAGCAGCAACAACACGGTGAATGTTCAGGAGGAGCTCGTTCTTCCGGATGAGAAGAGAGGTATGAGCGCTGAAAAAAATGATGGCTCACACATTTTTCTGTGGAGCTTTTTTAATCCACTGTGCTTATTTTACTTGTGATTTTGCTTGCACTCATTGCAGTAATGTGCTCTTGACGGCTCCTCACCAATTGAAGCAGCAAAATTTATATATTCATTAGAAGTGCGAGGAACCTGTTTTGTCATCGAAATTTTAAAAAATTGGTTCAGTCTGAAAGCTGACAGAAGAAACTAGTGTTGTATTACCGTGCTGCGCCAGGAAGTCCACTTCACTTCCAGAGTAGACTCGCAAAGCTGTAGCTGTATTTAATTTACCATTTGTCATATCGTGTTCTTTGATTACGTATTATCATCATCAGAATATTTGCCTCTTATTAGTGTCATGATATAGATATGTCATCTTTGCCATACTTTGTCTAACGCACCTCAAGTGATTTTTCCCTTTCTTTCCAAGAGGTGCTAAGGGTTAATGGCTAGATTAGGATTAATGTATCTTCTTTCCAAAGCTTTTAATATTGGTGTCTTAATTAAGTCGTGTTTGTTAATGTTGGTGTTCTGTTTGAGTGCATGCTTCGTTCGACTGTTTGAATGATGTAAAGGCCATTCAGCCTTTTTTGGCAATAGTTAACTGGCCTTCATTTCTTGGGTATAGGGTGGGCCCACACAAAAGAAAAAGAAAGAAAGAGACATATTCAATTTTACAAGATTGAAGTCTCATTACCCTACAGAAAAAGCTGTTTTTCTTGATACAGTAAAAAAAAAATGCTGTTATGATGTCCTAGAATGAGAGTGAAACCTTTGAACCTATGCACGATTACGTTGCACCACGTAATAAAAAGAATTTTCTTGATAGCGGAGCTTATGTCACCTGCGTCTGTGATGTTCACTTCTTTCCTGCGCAGGCCGCCGTATTGCCCAAGGGAGGCCCCACCTGCTGCGCAGGACGGGAGGCTCCACGGCTGGCCACAACTCCAGCTTTAAGCGCTGCAGCCTCAAACTGAAAAAGCCTGGCGACCGCAAGTCCAGGGCACGGTCCTCCACGTTTGCTGAAGATGAAGAGGAAGGAGGTGGGTGCCTTACAGTATTGAGGAACAATGGCTTGAAGAAATAAGAAGTTGTTGAACTAGGAAGAAATAAGGGGTGTTGCTGGAGGCAATGTTTTGACAAGGGTACTTGTCTTCATCAGCTCTAGCAACTTCTCATTTGTTACCAGTGCATCCTATATATGTGCCCAACGTATCAGATGAGCCATGTTTCTTACGAAAGTGACCTCTGTTGACCTGGCTATTGTTTTTCAGATATTCCATGAAAAGAGCTAACACAGCGTCAATCTGATGCTGGGAGAACTGGCCATTCGCATAACCTACGTTCTTGTGCATGCTTCGTTCACTCAAAACATGGTTCTGAGTATTGCATTGCAAGAACATATGAGTGCTGTCATGGGCCTCTTTCTCCATGTCTTGCGGATTTTCTTCACATAAGGAGAAAACAAAATCACCGTGATGGAGCTACGCTGCTACAACAACCAAATTTGTTTAGCCGTTTCTGAACCCGTTTTAGAAAGTAACGGAATACACTTGGCCTTAGAGGGAAGCTGGCTAAATATTTGTCTCATTATTCATTCTAGTGGATCGTGTGAAATAATAAATAAGATACTCTGAAAAATTTCATATGATTGCAAATAAAATTGGTTTCATCAAGCTATATTTTACTGTTTTCCCTGGTCTTTAGCTAATGTGACACAACACACTTGGTACATATAAATCAGATTCTGTCTCAAGAAATTATGCTGGGAATCAGTGGCCATTTCATGCTTTTCTATATACATTTTTTCGAATTATGGTACTGGTTTCCTAAATTGTACTTTCTCGCTCAGCTCTTGGTTCTTTAAGGAGTGATATGGGGCTGAAACATGGATTTTTGAAACAAAAAAAATGTGTGTTTTCAGATTTGAGTTGTTCTGGATTGCTGGTTCATCAAAGAACATGCTCAATGTCGTGTGGATGGCAAGTCATGGTGTAGCAAGCACACTACACCACTGCCGGCTCTATGCCAATAACATCCTTGTTTCGGCGAACATCCGCTTATATACAGAGCACTGTGGTACCATCTGTCACACGCGGCCTACTTATCATTGGCAGTGGCATCTGTTGCAAAAGTTTGACACTACACTCACCAAGTTTGGTTGTTATCTAAGCGGCGGAAAAGAAGAAAACAAATTCTTTTAACAAAATGATGGTGTGCATTTCCTGCCGAAATCTTTTTTGAAGTGCTCTTTTGAAGAGCAATTTGAAGAGCACTGCAGAGCAGGCAAGAAGCTGAACACTAAATAAATGCCCATTGTGATGGACCTGAACGGCCACCAGGCCGTTGTGTAGGAAAAGAGACGGCACGTGTGAAACAGACACCTTTAATGGAAAAAGTGAAAGAAAAACAACAGATGGCTTCATGCCCTCGAGCAAGTGGTAGCTCGGGAGGAGCGCTGGCTATGATAATGAACAGCGCCTGCCTAGGTCAGTGAAGACGAAATTCTAACATTCATTATAGAACATTTCTCATTTGTGCCTGCTAGTCATGGAAGACCTTCTGGCGAGAATACTCCGGAGGACAAACAAAATAAATGAAAGAGTAATGCATATTGTTAGCCACAGGGACAGTAGAGTCGTTGGCAAACTGAAACTGAAGCTCCCATTTGCAGAAACTTATCGCACGACCATTTACTGCTGGTTTTTCACAATTTCTGACTTGCGCTCCTGCTTTGTTTGTGCGCTACTTGGCTTATCTGTTTATCTTTTGTTTCTCCTGTGAGTTCATTGTGATTAGAGCACAGTGTGTGTTGTGACCAATATGGACAGCACTAAAGCTGTGAAAAATATAAGATGATTAGATGCAATCTTCACAGAACAGTGATGTGTTGAAGATAAACATCTTCGATAAACATTTTCGACAAACTTTTTTTTCACCGTCTAAATAGGAATAGCGGGTTGGGTTGTGAAACCTTCATTTTTCTCAGTTTTCACTTTTCGAGATAACAAACCTGCTACAAAAACTAGCATTCCCTAGCTGTTTTTTCAACAGCTGCTTACAAGGTGGTTTCTAGACTGAAATTTTGCCAGGAACAAGATAAGGTACCTTTCTGATCGCTTATTATTTTCTAGCACAAAGAAAATATCATATGTATGACATGCGGTGACATGCAAAAACATGAGCTATAATTTTATAATGCTGACGTTTTTACAGAAACTACAAAAATTCATGATAGGCCTTATCATGCACTACAAGCAGCATTGTAAGGAACGGTGTTCCAAGGAACGACATACCAAGAGCTAGTTTCTTTTGGGAGGAATGCCGGCGTTTAATTCACGATAGGTGGAACATTAATGGTAACTCATTAGGTTTTCGAAAAAGGGGCAGGGGGAACGGCGTTTCTTCTGTAAACGATCCACGGCATTGAAGAGGCACTCGCGCGCAGCACATCATGCCGAACAGGGTGAATGGCCTACCGCATCAGGCCCGTACGACTCGTTTGCCCCTTAGTTCTCACTTCAAGGCATCCACCAGAATTGCAGGCAAGCGTGCGACACCAAGACTGAAAGCGTGTGGAAGGGACACTTCATTTTCTACTGCACCACTGCTATGATCAAAGTCTGCGGTCTGTCGAAGCAAGAAAATTATCATCGTCATGAACCAGCAGAAGCTCACTTCATACTCTTCCTCTTCTGCTTAGCTTCAAGAGCACGTGCGCTGATTTGTCCAGTGTGGAATGTAATAACTGATGGGCAAGACAACTAGTACAGGGAGAGAGATAAAGAAAGTAGAAAGCGAGAAATTCCTGGCACGAAAAATGTTCTCGGTGTCGTAAGATTTGAATCCGCGTATTCAGGACCTGAAGGTGAGCTTCCTGACAACTAGGCTATCTGTTCCTTTTTTTCATGGTATTCAAGATCATAGGTTGTAAGCAACTCAATGGCACTTGGAAGCAACTCAATACAGACAGAGAACCAACTTGTTCATTCTGCTTGTATTGCGGCACAATGATCAACATATAGCAGCACTGTAAAATTCGCATTTAACTCCAGAGTAACTAAATGACAGCCATTTTCTATTATACACTACAACGGTGGTAAAGATAAGCACGTCGCTGGTGGAATATACCATTCTAGCTGACTTTCCATTTGCTCCTATACCATTTGTTCCATCTGTTTACTGAGTGACGATGCTAATGAAGTGAGCGTCAAGGAAACAAGTTATCTGCGTTTCTCTCCAACATGCGTGCGTGCTAGCAGTGCGTAGCATAGCGCAGTATCGTGCTGTATATTATATACCAAGGAGGTGGGAAAGGGAAGTTATTGTGATGAGAAGGGAAAGAGGGGAGAACTAGTACAGCGAGAGAGAGAGAAGGAAAGATTTATGAAATAAAGAAAAATGCAGAGAAAGAAACAAAAGAAAAAGATGAGACAGAAAAAAAAATATATATGAAAATGTGTACGCTGACAGCAAACAAGAGATTTTGCTAAGTTGCAAGTGCGTCTACTGGACATCATTTCCTACTCATACTAAAATATTGAATGAGCACTCATTAAACGCCTAGGTATTGTTCCTACCGACGTAGTTTCAGGCATGAGAAATTTAATTATATTAGTGAATGTGTGGAAATGTCTATTTAGATATCTGCAGCGCAGTATCCTGCCGGCTCATTTCAAGACCCACGTGGAAAGCACCTGATGAGCTAGACTTGTGATAGACGAGTACGAAAATCTTTTATCTACATACGTATAACCTGCTCTTAGCAATGTCAAATTCATTAAATATATGTTGTCAGCTTTAAATTGCTTACTTTGTTTCACCTAGGAATTATCCAACAGTATATTTTGATTGACAAGTCTTATGTAACGGTAATGTAATAAAACATTTCGATTTTCGAAATGCAACTACAGTTGAATCCCGCTACAACGAAATTGACGGGGCGGGCGCAAAATTTCGTTATCGCAGAAATTCGTTGTCGCGATATGATGAAATACATACGTGACACGGGACTTGCTGAAGCAAAAGAACAAGCTTTAATGCCAAAAATCGCTCAACTTCGCCTGTTTCCGCTTCTTGCCAAACGATGGCACAACACGACTTTCGCACGCTGCCAGTAGAGCCATTGCTTCATCGTCGTCCTGCGACCCGATGCAACGCCTGATGATATCGAATGCGTCCAGCACCTGTGAAGTCGGTGGTACTAGTGCGGGATCACGTTGCGCGATTGTGTCATCATCGTCCGACGAAACACCATCTTCCTGGACGCTCTTTATGATGTCTGCGTCCGTCATTTCCTCGCGCACCACCAAGCAAGAGTCGGCTTGCAAGAACTCGCTGATATGTACGTCGGCGGGCACATCACTTTCCTGCAGGTCTGCCCAAGCGACTGCGATTTCTTCGTCCTGGTCCAGCAACCTGTCCTCATCGCGGTCTGCGTCGCCATCGTAAGCTTCAATCGCAGAATCTGAAGTCTCGGCGCACTGTACTGCGAATCCGGCACGGCGAAAGCAGTTCGCGACTACGGCGCTCCCCGTCTCGCACCACAAAGCAGCGATCATTTGGAGCGCCATGAACAAGTCGATTTTCGTTTCGCGACCCAACCGAGTGTTCAAAATCAGCCTTTGGATAAGGCACTTGCGGTACGCGCACTTGACGCTTTGGATGACCCCTTGGTCGAGGGGTTGAATGATGGACGTGCAGTTCGGTGGCAAAAACTTGAGCTGCACGTTCTCGAGCTCCGTGTCCTCAATGGAATGTGCGGAACAATTGTCTAAAAGCAGACAAACCTTGCGGCCTTGCCTGCCCATGTCCCGGTCGAATTTCTCGACCCACTCTCCAAAAATTGCACGGGTCATCCACGCCCGGCTGTTGGCCACGTACTTCACTAGAAGGCGCCGATTTCCTTTGAAGCAGCGCGGTTTTGCGCTTTTGCCAATGACCAAAAGCGGTCGCTGATCTGATCCGTCCATATTGGCGCACAGTAGCACGGTGATCCTTTTCTTGCTGTGTTTACCTCCTTGACAGCGCAGCCCCTTAAAATCCAGAGTCTTGTTCGGTAACATTTCGTAGAATAGACCGGTCTCATGGGCATTGTATATGTCCGATGATGCGTAGTCCTTAAGGATGCTTCCAAGGCTGGCCGACATCCATGCGGCGGCGCCGTCTTTGTCCGCCGAAGCGGCTTCACCACGCAACACTTAGCCGATGATGCTGTGGCGGGATTTAAATCTGTTTAGCCAACCTACGCTGGCCTTGAAATCATCAATGCCGAGCATGCAGGCAAAATCTAGCGCCTTCTGCCGTACAATATCGCCGCTAAGGGCAATTTTCTTGGCCCGCATCTCCACGAACCAGGTGTAAACAGCCTTGTCTAAGGCTTCGTGCACTGGCTGGGTCACCTTCTTAAGCTTAGCGGACGTCCCTGAAACTAGAGCTTTGCCTATCGCGTCCTTGCTCTTCAATATAGTTGACAGAGAGCTCGCCGCAATCCCGAACTCTTCAGCGATGAGTGCCTTCTTCTTTCCAGCTTCAGCCTGTGTGATGATGCGAGCCTTGTCTTCGAGCGACAAAACCTTGCGCTTTTTCGCTGGCTGCGCCATCGTTGATCGCGTTACTGCACCTTCGGGAAACAATCAAACAATGACCAAAGCGTGCGATCGCTCGTTGTGAAGAAGCTAGCCCTAGTCAAGCCGCCGGAAGCGGAAGCCGTCGTCCGAACGCATCGTCGCACCCTACCGGGATTTGCCTCGCATCTCCAATTCTGTACGTACGTACGTACACATAAATTGGAAATTCCTGACATTGAAACCATTCTCACAAACGTTATAAAAATGATTAAAAATACTATAAAAATCAAATTAATGCGTGCTGTTTGTACACAGACACGATTCAAAACGTTTCCGACGTTTCTTCTGAATCTACATGAGAACGCGTTGCATTGATTGCATCGCCATCACTATTGCGGTATGTATGGCGGCTTTGTGTTGTTTACATTGCGCAGCGAGTCACCGTCGCGCCCAGTATGCACGCTCTGAGCAACATCTTGTGTGTGTGTGTGTTTTTTTTAAATGTTATTAAGGTCCATGGTTTGTCAAGGCATTAAAACACTTTTGAGAATTTCAATAAGCTGTAATTTGAATAATTTTGCTCGTGCCTGTCCCGCAAAAAACTTCGTTGAAGTGGAAATGCTGCCGTGAAGTAGTTCGTATTGGAGGGAATTTCGAAGCATTATATACCCAATGGGACATCGACGGGGAATGTAAAAACCTTCGTTGTGGCGGAAATTTCGTTGAAGCGGGCTTCGTTGTGCCGGGATTCGACTGTAACAAGTTCCTTTTGCATTAAAGGAACTTCTAACGGGAACTCATTCCGCAATTGGGAGGAAATTAGGAACGGGGTTTGCTACTGTTTTAGGGGAGCGTGTACGATACTGACTACAAGCTGTGTAGAGTGCATGTGTTTATAAAAAAATTGTATATTTTTATTATTTTTGAAATGATATTTTTCCTAAGTTGGCATATCTGATTGGTCATTATAATAGCTATCTGTGTTATTGTATTCATGCTTGAGTGCTGAAATTTATAATAGTATGTTCTAATAGCAAGAAAATAAGGAATCCCTGAAAGTTTCATCAAAACCAGTGCAGCAGTTCAAAATTTGGCAATTCAGCCGTTCATCCATTCTTAACTGACTGATTTTCTGTTGATTGGAGATGATGACTGTGTTGAATGCAGGTCTACGCAGAACGGAGAGCATAAAGTCCCGGCGCAAGGTGAGCGCGGTCTCGGACCGCAGTGACACGAGCGAGCGGGCAGACGTGAGTGGGGAGGAGTCGCCTGGCGTGCTCAGCGACGAGCCGGCACCAGAGAGCCCCGTGGACCTGCTGGATGCAGACGACGCCACGGTCATCGCCACCCGCATGCCCTGGCTCAAGGTTTGTCTCTGCCTGAGGGCGAGTTCCGAGGTAGCACTTGTCTTACCATCAGCTTCTGCTTCAGCTTCTTTTGCTCACCTTCACAACACAAAGCTGGAGATGTTAGGCACTTGAATCCACTTGCCGCTCAGCACGTTTAAATTCATTATCGCTTGTGGTGAACTGTTCCGAAAGCTGCAGCATTGTTCTATACCATCAATCAGTTTCACCAATCTAGGTGTGCTTCTCTGCATGTTAAATTATTCACCTGTAAACCAAGTATGGGCTTCAACTCTTCTGCAGTCGTTCTGAAAGTGAGCTCATTTCTTTTTTGGTTCCAAGTCCACGGAAACTTGTTAATTTTTTGATAGGTTTTCGAAGGGCATATAACCATCTAAAATTGATTAGGCTACTCAGAAAGCCGTAACTCCATTCAATATTTTACTTTCTTTAGTCTTCTCTTCTTCATTAAATTAAGCTCTGGAAGACGCAAGTTTTAGGTCATGTCCTGTAGAATAGAATAACCACTGTTATGACTTCTTTTTTTTTTTGAACAGTGGAGCAGTTAGAGTTTGAGGTTAGTCATGCAGCATCAACTAAAACATCATCATCACCATCGGCCTCTATCTTCTACCCTGTTGCTCTGTTGGCGCATGCTCTCTTCATCTTTTTCTTCCTTCCCAGAAGATGTGAACCGATTTGTCCAGCGTGGGATGCAGTAACCTCAAATGGGTGAGAGAATGGGTGCAGAGAGAAAAAAAGGAATAGTAAAGAAAAAGAGCAGGAAAAATAGAAAGAGAAAAATACAAAGATAGATTGATAAAATACAAAAAAGGAAGAGAAAAAGAGAGGGAAAAATGTTGAGGAAGAGAAAGAGAGAGAAAAAAAGCATACTGCTGTTACTGTGGAGGTCTCTATGTGGGGAGCGTGCCATGCTCTCGGAGTGAACGGAGACAGTAGGAACGGTTGGACCAAACCAAAACAGCACACATTTATTTAACTACTTTTAGAATGACAGTATCATCAGCCAAATAATTATACACCAATTGTGCACAAACACGCTAAAACAACTTTACACATAATTACTCAACACTCAGCAGCATAACAAACTCAAAGCGGCAGTGCCAACGCTTGACTCACCACAAGGGCCTCCGGCAGATGGTGCCGTGCACCGGGAACCCATGCGAGAGATAACCGTTCGAGCCAGCTGCTACGCCCGAAAGAGCCTCGCTCAATTCTCTTGCGCCGCCACCAAGGCTTGCTACCAGGGTCACCGCTGGCTCTACTGATCTAACCATGATGATGACAGTGGTGATCAACGCTCGTGAACACAACGCCACCTACCACTCAATAATTGTGACCCTAAAATACGGCTTCTGCGCGAGACACATGCGTGACGCGGCGCAAACAACATTACAGGGGTTGTCAGCACCCTCACGCTACATATAGTATAGTATATATAACAAGGAAGTGCGAAAAGGAAGTGAGGATGAGGAGTAGGGTGAGAAGGAGAAGAGAGGGTGAAGCATAGTACATCCCTATATGGTTATGAAGGGGTCATGAAGGAAAAGGATGGTAAGAGAAAGGGATAAGGTGATACAGCAGAGGCATACATAGTAAGGATAGCCAGAGGTGAGAAAGAAATGTGAGGGTGAGGATGAAGGCCACCAGCTTTGCCCGCAGCATCACTAGTAGTTTCCTTAGTCATAGCTGCCCCAATCTTTTCATTTCGTTGCTGTTTGGCGTTTTTCTTTCTTTCTTTTCTTTTGCTTGTTCTTTTGTAAGTGAAATTGCTGTTTTCAGGTCATCGTCCAACTCTGCGGCACCTTGCACTTTACCTGCACACACCAGCAGTTTTGCCACCATACCTGCTACAGGAGGCAGATGAGGGCCTGCAATCGGCTCGCAAAGAGTGTCCGAAAGGTAGCTTGCATGAGAATTGTGGCTGCAGTTAACAGCATTCACATCACTGCTTTTTGTAAAAATGTTTGTTCGATGATAATTTTCAGTCCTTATGACAAACTCGCACGCCTGTGTTTTTCTTCAATGGTTCACTTTTTCCAGGTTTACGGAGATGACTTTGGACTTATCCAAGATATGGGCAAGCAACAGGAAGATAAAGAAGGTGGCAAAAAGGACAAAAAGTTTAAAAAGGTGAAAGTCACATTTGTATGCGTTTGTATGTAATGTACAATTGTGCACTATCTGTTCTCTATACGTTTTAGCATAATGCTCATTCTGCCACTCTATAATCTCCACAATTCTTTACCAGACACGGCTCAGGTATGTTTTTTTTTTTTCGCGAAAGAGTTTCAGCACTGGCATGGCTCTGTGGTAGCTAGACTACTCGACTGCCATGCGGAGGGCCTGGTTTCAAATCCCACTTGATCCTGAATACTTTTTTTCCTTGCATGCTAGGCAGACAACCACACCACCAGCATTGGCTGTTGTGATCGTACAACAGCTTTCGCTATTAAAAGGACTGCAGAATTGGTTTTTGTTCTATGATGCACAATTTTCTGGCATCATGCATTCAGACAAATATCTATATCCTGTTTACTGGTTACACTTTTGCAGAGGATCCTATGAACAAGTTTTAATCTACGTGATTACATGTGTAGATTATCACAGGGCCGAGCTCTCCGTTGAAACGCAAGGCGAGCCTGGCGCACAATCTAGAGAAACTGGAGAAGGCACTGGATGGGGCACGCTCGCTGCACAGCAGCGCCACCTGCCTGGTGCACGATGTCGAAGGGGGCCTGCCGCCCGAGTCAAAGCCGTCTCTACCCCAATCTAGCAAAGGCAAGGGCACCGCTTCGTCCAAGGAGGAGCATCCCATGCTCAAGTACCTCAAGACACAGGTGCTGATCATGTGGCTGCAGTAGCAGCCTTCCTCTGCAATGCTTTCTAATTTCTTTAGATGCCAAATTTACCCATTATTTCAAGGCACTCGACTTTTTCTTGCAGTAAGAGTACTATCGTATTATGTTCGTTAATGCTTTTATTATATTTATTAAATTTAATGAAATGGTAAATAAATATCTATCAATCCTGAAGTCATTCAAGTTTTTTTTTTGCATAAATAGAATGAAATACCAGGCTAGAAATATAGTGAAACTTCATTTATATTATTGTTCATTAAAGCAAAAAAAGATTGTGCTTTTGACATGACTCGCAGAAAGCAGTACTTTGAACGACTCATCAAACATCAAAGTGCCATCAGAAAAGTGACCTTATGCAACAGTACACTGCAAAATAAGGTTAAACTTGGTCAAACTTATTACGCAGGAGATTCATTTCATCCGAATATTAGCATATCTCGCCCTCTCTTAGCTGTTAGCCTGCACAACTAGCAAAAAATAAGTGGTGTGCAAAATTGGGTTCAAAATGTCTCAAAGCGTTGAGAGGCATTTAGCACATTATAATTGTATGTTTGTATTTCAGGTGATGAGCCTGTTTCACAGTCCTTTGTCAATGCTTATAAAGGGCACCGTTGTAGCGTCCGAAGAGACTTTCATTGAAGCACTGCCCATAGCTTGGGAGCTGCTGCTAGAGAATGACCAGCAAATGAGTGCTGTCGCAGGTACATCTCTTTCTCTCTCCCATTATCTCTCTTTCTTTTATCACAGTACTTTTCGTATCTTGATATTGCCGCTAGGATTGCATAAAATCATACTATAGTGGTCTGTTTATTTAAAGGTACACGCTGTTCTTTTTGGCAGTCAACTTTGCAAAAAGATATGTGCAGCACACAGATTTTGTGAGAATGCCCTATCTTTATGAAATGTTCCCCCATATGATGTTTGATGGCTATCTTTGTTTCATAACATTTTGGCATCGCATGTATTGTGCCTACTATTTTCACTGATGTAATAGGATATTCTGGAGGGAAACATTATTGCGGCCAGCACCAAAAATTCAGCCTTTAATAATGAAAATAAACTTTCTTTTCTTCTTCTTATCAGTTATTAATGTAAATTATTATGATTCAATTACTTCAATAGCTATATGGCTCATTGCTTTTACTAAAATGAATTTATAGTATATAAAATACATTGCTACGTCCCAATGCAAAAGCGTGTACTTACTGATGCGCTGTTCGTGCTTGAATGGTCGATCCAATAAGTGTCACATCAAAAGTGATGACCCTAATGGCCGCAGCTAATCAGAGATTATGAGACCATTTGTTGCTTTTTGTGATTATAGTGGTTAGTGTTATTAAAATGGCTAAGTCTCATTTTAATGTTTTTCTTTTCTTTGTAGCCGTTGTATTTATCCTTGCTGCTGTGAAGGCTCCTGAACATGCATCAGAGCTCCTAGGTCGAGAACTTAAAAGTGAGGACACGACCCAGAAGATCAATGCCCTTCTGAGGTAAAAATATTTCCCAGAAGAATCGCTGCTGCTGCAGTACCTCTGGTGTAACAGATTAGCAAGTGATATAAGTGCACATATAGTGCACTGATTGTGAGGAAGTATTTATTACTGCAGAAATATTGGAAAGCTTTGTCTTGTTCGGCTGCAAAAGTCATTTAAGGCTGTGCACTCATTTATCAGCATCATTCAATGTAAATTTTTATTAACGAAAATGTACCTGAAGCATTTACCAGTGGATGTATGATAATAAAAAGTAAAAAAGAAAATTACTTTAGTTCTACATATAAGCATAGGCAGGAGACATATGAGAATGTTCACCTGCAAGAAAGGTATATCTGTGAACATTCAGTTCAGCTGTGTTGTAAATGGCTTATTCATGAATATTGTGACTCCGGTTAATGTAATGCTAAAAGCAGCATGTGATATGGAACACATTGCATGTTTAAAATGAAGTTGGTGTTTTGCATGAGAATGCTTAATGAACAATGAAGCTTATATGCTAATTACCTTCTCTTTTAATATGTTAGCCACCCATAGTATTCTTATTAGGTAGATGAAAAGGTAGCATTGTACCAAGCATGAAAATTGTGCACAAATACTATGCATGAAAGCATTTACTAGATCTTGTTGGAAATGGCCTTAAGTTGTGGTGCATGCATTCTTGCACATAGTACCATGTGATAAAGACTTACTATTTGTATCCATTGAAAACATCACTAATAGTATAATGTTAGGTATTCGTGAATATCACAAGGCATTTGTTTTTTGTGACTGAGTAGCGTATCGCTGTTTAATTCTTTTGTTGAGGTAGATGAATGGTTCACATGATCCACAAGAACAACGGAAGTGTTAACATAAATAAACATATTCATAAACCCCTAGAGCCAAGGCCTCATTGTTTCTTATTATATTTGCTCACAGGCAGTGTTATACATTGTAAAAAATCTGTTTAACAGAGCTTTGAGCCAAGCAGCTATACATTTCTGGATATAACAGCCCTGCAAGTGCACTTTTTGAGAGCCACTCCCCTGTGCTTTCAGGTTCCAGGCACTTTGGAAATTTCGCTACCAGTGTTGGCTGAGGATGGAAGAGGCTGCACATTTAGTTTTCAAGGTAATCGATGAATGTTTGTCAATCAGCCCGACACTCATGCATGGTGTGGATAGGCTTTGAATACATGCTATCATTATGGTGTGTGGTGGTGCAAATTATGCACAGCTTTACACTCATTCCGAAATGTACTCCAAAAGTATTGACCTATATTGCAGCGGCAGTTGGTGTCATGATTTATGTGTGGCATTATAAATCTATCTGGCATATTTATGAACAATATTATTAATACCCAGAAATTAACATTATTTCATACAGGTATGACCCATTGTCATTGTTGCCTGTATTTTAGCCACTAAACTTTGTTACAAGGTATGTCAGTGGTTGTGTGATCGGAAGTACTTGTTTGTTGCCTAAGGACAGGCAAATAAGTGTGATATAGTTATAATTGATTTATTTGGAACACTAGCGAACCCATCTTTACACCAGGTTTGCCTTGATTGGTATTGGCAGGCCTCCATTTTCAAACGTCTTCTAATAATCTTGCCTAAGCTTTAATTCAAGAAGAGGTGCGTTGTCGTTTTCTTACAGTCTCTTTGCAGGCCTGTAAGAGTTTTGTGTTTGTGTAGTATAAACTATACCTTTTTGGGTTAAATGCAGGTGCCACCTCCGACCATCGAGTTCACCCTTCCCAGCCCACGCATTGCCCTTGACTGTGCCCCAGTGGCTGATCCTCCGTGGATGCCCCAAGTGAAGACAAAAGTGGAAGAAGTTACCATCAATCAGGACCAATCCGTAAGGAGATGGGAATGATTTTAGTATGGGGTCCGGAATTGACAGTGCACATTTCTTTAATTGCATAGTTTAGTATCTTAAAGGGTTTATTTTAAAGGTTAACAGAGTTTTTCCTTAGCAAGAAGCACCAAGAAGGAGGAAATATTTTCTTAAAATGTCCTTAGGGCAAGCACTAAGTTGTGTTGTGGTGTATCATACACAGCAGCACAAGGCCAAACTCACTAAATTTTATGGGGTAAAGAGATGCCAGTGAATATTTTGGTCTTATTGACATACTGTGCGGCCACCTATGCTGAAATATCCTTTACAGTGCATTACCTCACCAATGTTGGTTGCGCTGACCTTACCAGGAAGTGTAAGAAGCACTTTTTATAATGCAAACTATATTGAAGAGGATTTACGCGGCTGATGTAACAATAACTACCCGTGATGAAGAAATTGCAGCCACTGAATTAGTCTAGGTGGAGAAACACCAGCTGTGCGTTCCGTGTGTTTTCCACCCTCATTGGTCAATAGCTGCAGCTTCATCCACTTGTTATCTGACTAAATTTGCTTGTGTCAAACTCTTTACTAAATAACATACATTGGCCAAATCTATACGAAACTTGATGGTTTTCTAAAAGAAGCTTTTACTGCTTTTCATCAGCAGAGGAAACTATTTCTATTAAGATTTCAGTAAAATTTGTGCCTCTGGTAAGTTCACTGTATGTTTTAACATTGTGAAACTATATAGGCTGCAGAAACACAAGAAATCTGCTGCATGTGTGTGTACCATTTCTTAGTAGCATGCTACTTGCGGAACAGCTTGAATTTTGTCGAACAATGTGGTCTTGCACATTTGGCATTTGTAAAAGAACACTAGACACCGTGAAAGCTGGGTGTCATGTGATATTCAGCATTAGAACACACGGTACAGAGAGGGGGGAAACTAGAAAGGAATGCAAAGAGTTGAGGAGGAAATGAAGTGTGTTACTCTTATTGGCTTGAAAAAAAAAAAAAAACGAAAAGTGTTTTTGTGTTTTTGACAGAAACTTATGTGGATAGATTGCATCAGATGGAGGTGAAGATCTATTGCTAGCAGGCACAGCTTGCCAGAGGCACACTGCTTGAGTTTCGAATGAGCGTGAGCAGCGGCAACTTCCGGAAAACAGTCAGTGGGGTTTCAGTATAGTGTTCAAACAAAGTGGTGGAAAGACACACAGAAATTTCATTTCCGTTGAAAGCAAACGTGGCCTGAGAAACACCATACAGAGACGCTTTAGTTTTTAATGCAAACACTTGCATAATATTGCATACTTTAAGTATTGATGCTGTTGATGCTCTGTTTGGTTCAATATGCTGAGCAATGGTATATGCTTTCTTTAGGTCATTTGTTTCAGTAAACATAGAGCGGTTGAGCACATTAGTAATGCAAAACTCTGTCATAACACATTGCTTTAAAAATGTTACAAGATGTTCTTTATTAAGAGATCCTTTATTAACCATAGTGTTCAAGCAAAGTGATGAGAAGATCCAAACAGGAATTTCATTTTGAAAGCAAACGTGGCCTGAGAAACACCATACAGAGACGTGTTAGTTTTCAATGTGAACACTTGCATAATGTTGCATACTTTAAGTATTGATGCTGTACTACTTCTTTGTTTGAGAAATTTGTAAACAGGGGGTGTGTGTGCTGGGGCCGACATTTCGACGAGTGGATTTGTCTCTCTTAAGGTTGCAAATCCTCCATTGTAGTTATCTGAAGTGTATGTAGGTTGTTGGTTGTGTAGACATTGTAATGTAATTTATTTTGTTTACATTGCATCATGTAAGAGCTTTGAAATGTACGTTGTGAGCGCCGGTTAACGAGAAATGTTCTTACTAGGTGTTTTCTTGTTTTTAGCCCATTGTTTCTGTTCTCACACTGTGTGATTCTGCACAGCGATCATTTGTAACAGCGACTCAGACCCGCCGTAAGCAACAGATGGAGCTCATCCACCGAGCTCTTCAGGCCGAAGAAGAGAAGAAATGCAACGAAAGGGAAAATTTTCACATCACCTCCGTTGCCGTCAATGTGCTTTCGGCCTATGAACCAGCCCTGTTCCACGCCGTTGAAGAGCACGAAGAGGGTAAGTTGCACTATTCTCTTTACTGCTGAAACAGCTTTTAAATAAAGGTTCTGAGGATATGTATTGAGCTGTTTTCACAGGTGCTAAGTCTGAATTACACTGTAACTGTTTCTGTATCCAAGTGCACCTGCAAACACTTTGACCTGGAATCCTTTCTGATAGTGTGTGAAATGGTGAACTAGTTACTTTAGAAGAATTGTGCCAAAGATTATCTGTCTTGCCATAGCGGCAGAATTACTGTTTGGATCTTACTGTGTTTGTAAATAACTTGTAGTTGTTGTATGTCAATATTTTTTTCTCATTTTCTTTTATTTAATCTAATATTCTTACTAGGAGACGAAGACCAAACAGCTGAACGATTATCTGCTCACCCTATACAAGTGGCACATGCCTTGTTCCCGTCATGTCTCTGTTCAGCTGCAGTGTACATTATCAACCTGTTGAATGATGCTGAGGTCAGCTCCGATGGAGTTGCAGGTAGGTTACTTAGCCACTGCAACTGTACGTTGTGTGCCATAAATAATCAAGTACATTAATGCACATAAAAGGACATGTTAGTGCATAGGCAATGAACATTTAAAACTTAAACAGAAAATTTTCGAGCCATATATGACAAATTTACTCTCAGTGTTGCCTACCCTGCTATTTAGTTTCATGCTGCATAAAGAGATTGTAGCTTTAGCTATCACAGGTTCAAATGTATCGATGTAGGAACCAAGAAAAGTCGAAGCCTGTATCGATGTAACAACCAAGGTGGTCTAAGTTGCAGTTGAGAGGCTGGTTTGAGACATTAAATTTCATGAACTAAATGAACAAAATCTAGCTTTGAATGTCAAATAATTTTCAGTTTTGCAAATGTGTTCATATTTAAAGTGTAAAAATTGTGCTCCGAACCTTTTAATAAAAAGAAAGTGTCCTCGCTGGATGCAGTCGTTGAGTGCATACATTTCTCACAGTGTATGAAGTGGCCTACAAGGTGATTTGGAACTGCTTGGTTGAAGATACAGCACTGTTCCTGCGCCACTTCTTGGAGAGACTAACCCGTGAAAAACCCGACTCCGTGATCCAAATTCTGAGACGCCTGCTGCGCTTCGTGCCTCGGCTACCAACGCAAGCAGCACACACACTCTATAACTACTTGGTAACTCCACATTGCTTTTGAATACACTCAAACCATGCTATAATGAGCACAGATGTAATGTGTTATATCGGTTTTAGTGAAGTAAGCGAAAAATAGTCCTGTATAAATAATATCTTAATGATGAATATTCATAACAAAGTTTCAGTTAATACAAAGTTATTTTCAATGCAAATGTGACTTTGTTATAATGAGGGTTGATTGTACTGCTGGAATTTCAAATGTTGATGATGGTAGCTGCTCATTGACAGAATGAGTAATTGGCATTGAAGTCAAGCATAGGTGGACCTCCCATTGCCATTTGTGAGAATTACTGAATTTCGGCGATGCGTGTGCAGTGCTGAACTGTGCACTGTTACTTTGCTGATAATGTGGTTACACCTACAACATTTTCAGTCCTAACCGGCTTTTATGTGGCTATATTCTGCTAATAGTCTCCAGGTCAGTCTTTATTGTCTCTAAAGGCAAACAAATAAAATAATAGAAGAAAAAGTGTAGGAGTCTGATCAGAAATAAAGGTTTCAATTAATGTAACCTAAGCTGTGGATGAAGAAAGATAAGGGTGCAGATGCAGAAAGCTGGAAACCTGTCCGGGGTAAACTTGATATTTGTAAATAACAAATTAATTGAAAATATTTAAGGACATAGCAAGTTTGTTTACTGTTCATGCTTTGTTTTTTTTCAATATGCTGAACAATGGTACCTATATGCTTTCTTTAGGTCTTTTGTTTCAGTAAACATAGAGCGGTTGAGCACATCAGTAATGCATAGCTCTGTGATAACACATTGCTTTAAAAATGTTACAAGATGTTCTTTGTTAAGAGATCTCAGTCTATGCTAGAAGTTTTGCCCTTTTTCAGTTTTTACTCAACCTGCCAAAGCTGTCACTAATTTTTGGTAATATCGGTCAAGAATTTGTCAGCTAAATTATCAACTTTCAATGTCAACAGAAATGGAAGGTGCCTGATGACTAACTAAACTGTAGGATACTTAAGATTTTGGTCAGACAGTGGCTACATTAGCCAACAAAAGGTGCTTTCTCAGTCTGTGTGAAAACTGCATAGAGTACAAGCTGGTTTGTGAAGGCTTTGAGGGACTGTAACACAAACTCCGGGATAAACAACGAAGCCACTTTCACTGGACCACCTGTAGCTTGAGCTTTTGTGGATGCATAAATATCTCACATTTTCTTTTGCAGGTTGGCTACATTATGTTTTACATAAGAGCTCCTGTAGAAGGGGGAACGGAGCTGATTGCCAACTGCTATTTCAATACTTTGGCTGGTAAGTACAAAGCTGTAACTGGCCCATACTATTTGTGGTCTGTGAATGCTGCGTGGGGCAAAATTTATGAGCTTGTCAGACTCACTGATCTGATGATGACTACAAATCGTAGACAGGAGAAAATGGAATTTCATTGTTGTAGCTTTTGCCCTTGATATACACAGACATTCTCAGATTTTTTTCAACACATCTGCCCATGCCTACGTGAACACACATACTGAAGCTCCACACTGGCGTCAACCACATTTTCGATCAAGGCAAAAATGCTTGAGGCCATGTGCTTAGATTAAGTGCGCTTTAAAGAACCCCAGGTAGTTAAAATTTCTGGAGCCCTCTACTACAGATTTTGGGATGTTAAATTCCAACAATTTTTTAAATTAAGGATGCACTGTTTCAGGAGCAATTATTACACAAATATATGTTATATTTGAACACTACAGTTTTTTAATTACTACTATTATGCATGATGCCTCCGTAATGCTACTGGGTGTTGAGAGTAATAAGTTTTAAGAAATTAAAATATACATGAAAAGCATGTTTTCATGGAGTTATGGTCGTGTAAACAATAATTGTCCTTCAATAATGGCACAGGAAGTGTGGTTAAATTTCACACTGTTAGCAATCCGTGTAGATTAAAAGAGGAATTTTTCTTTTTGTGTTGCTTGCTACACACTTTCAGCATGGAACTGTCGCTGTTATCTTGTACTAGGTACTTCATACATGAAGAAAGGCTTCAGCAACTTGCTTCCATAAAAATGATTACCTTATAAATTGTCCTTTATTATTTGTTAAGGACCGAAACTCAACTTCTCTTAATTGATGAGATTGCAAGCAAATGAAAGATTGGCTTAGTGTATGTTTATCTTACTGGAAGTAAACAGCTGTCGGAAATTTAAAATTAGTGGCACTGATCTGCTTAATAAGTTGCATAGCTTCCGTGGAAGAGTGATGAAGGCAATTTATCACTTAAGTCAAACTTTTTTCACATAATGTGTTTTGGGGACTAAGCTGGCAGTGAACCTCGGTGTAATTTCTTCTTGTTCACTTAGTGTTGATACCTGTCATTATTGTGTTCAAGGTTGTTCCCAGTGTTCATGGACTCTACTTGAAAGACCTCAAGCAAGTGCTGAGAAAAGAGCAGTGTGATGTGAGTTGGCCTTTGCGTTCATGTCTGCTACTTCACGCCACTTAATCTTGTAAGCTAGAGCAGAGGTCTTGTGTCTCTTCTTCCAGGCTACCTTATTGATCACTGCAAATGTGCCAAGTGCCAAGAAGATCATTGTGCACGGACCGGACGCAGGTGGCATTCCGTCACAATTTCCAATCATGAGGTATCCTCCTCTCCGCATTTCTTGTTTACATCCTCTCGCATCTATGTCGTCTCATTTGTATGTTGTCGTGTGTTTGCACTCAATCATATTATGATTGACATGTTCCTATTATGATTGGCAGTTGATTGACAAGCAACATTCATGAGTTATAAAACAAATGGAATTCTACTCTAGGCAGACACTGCTAGATTACGAGGCGTATGTCGCAGTTCTTGTATTTCTTTATATGGTTCTTACTATTTTAGAAAGAAAAAACAACCTTGGTTGTTCAAATTTATCTGTAGTTGAGCCTCGTATCAATCAATCAATCGGCCAGTCAGTCAATCGGGTCGGTTTGGGTCCAGTCGATCGGTCGGGTCGGGCCGGGAATGAAAAAGCCTTAAACAATAAACCAGAAAAAAAAAAAATAATGTCTTTGGTATACATATCTGCCTCAATAGTTTCATTAACGTCTATACTTTAAAGTGCCAAAATTGTTCTACAATGATATGGACATGTATGGTTGTTAAAGTGGTTTTAATATCATGAAGCATTAGCTTTCTGCACTCTACTCCCGGCCTGACATTAATTACATTTCTCCTTGTTTTATTTTAGGATACCCAGTTTCTTCACATTCTTCAAGACAGTCTTGATTTTTTCGGCATTGAAGAGAACCAGCATAATTGCTACTTCCTTCTTGACACAAAGACAAGTATGTGTGCAGTTCAAGCAGTCTTATTATATATTTAATTGCTTTATTTGAGACTTCTTTATTAACAGTATAAAGCTTATGTTTGTTATAACAGTACCATTCTGTAGCAGAAAATTCAGTTCAATGAAGCATCAATGGTAGATTGTCTCTTCTTTCAGATTACTAAAGCATGTGAAATTCTTTGAGGGAGACAGCACAGCAAACACAGCATGATCTGTTGTTCAAGAAACACTAAAGAGAAAAACAAGTTTTCCTGTATTGGTAACTGTTTCACAACACCACTACTTTGCAGCAAGAAGACACTTCATAAATGGAAGGATATTGTTTTAAGTGAACGTGTTTCTCTGCTTTGCCTTTTGAGAGCACAGCTGTTATTATTACTGCTTGTTTTCCTTTCTCCTTGCAGATCAGATGCACAATCCAAGTGCATTTGTTCGCGACTTTTACTTCTTCAAGAGGTCCCAGTATCCTCAGTTAACGTTAGCAAAAATGGACCCTGATGAAGCCTTCGAAGCAGGGCAGCAACAGGCATTCTATCTGCATTTCATCGAAGTTGGAAAGGTAAGAGTATCATCATTTCAAAGGCAAACGCATATTGTCTCATGTATATTTCTCTTCCTGACCGTTAACCACCAATGCCAGAAGTTTGTGATTGAAATAGGTTTATTTGTTATTACTGGTCTTCCATGTGTTACCTGTGTTACTTTAACACAGCTCCTCCATGTTTTTATTGCATGGAGCATTCTCGAGTGTTTAGTCAGACCTTGTAATCTATGTTGATACGACTGTCAGAGACATAGTGTATGTATAATATATATATATATATATATATGTGACGCTAGATGCGGGAGACGTGGCCTGGCTCATACGCCATGTTTATTCTGTTCTTCCTCATCTACTTCTACAAACCATCCATCCCATCATATGTCACATGATTCCCCCTTCCCCCGAAAGAAGGCATGAGTTACAACTTACAAACAAGAAAAAGTAAACAAGAAGTGGCTTGGAAGTCACCAATGTCAAAATAATGAGGTAGTTTCACAAATATTAAAATGCACGTGTTGTCTTCTTCGTAGCTAAGACTTGAGGGGAGAGTGTGGCAGTCCGGTGATATCAATAAGAGATCTGGCGGGCGAGGCTGATGGTTGCGTCCTGAATAACACAAGAATGCTTTGGACGTTGAGATAGCGGAAATCGTAGCCGGCATTCTCGTGAAGAACAAACGAGGTTCGAACACCTTGCAGAATCGACAGTTCGGGTATCGTAGGCATCGAATTCTTCGTCGTGGCACAGGCCGTGCAGGCAGCTTGCGTGCGCGTTGATCGAGGTTGATTGGGCGCTGCCTGTGTTTCTGCCGAGTACAAGGGGTGCTTTTGTGGCTTTTGGAGATTTTTCTATGGCGATGTCGGAGATGTTTTGATGGAAGGCACATTCTTGATCTTTGGCGGACAATGTATCCACCACGATGGGCCTTTTTGCAATGTTCTTTAAGCCTTAAGAGTGCACTCGATGAAGTTTTGTTTCGTCGTTGACAATGTTGAAGTATACGTTGACGTTGTAGTTTCTTGGTTTCGTCAACTTGCTTGTGGTGTGACGTTGATAGTGCTGCGCCAGGATTCTTAGCGAGTCCACCGCAAGCTTCTACGGCGCCAACCAATGCAACTGTTTCGGGCGCAAGATAATGTGGCGGGTTCGGTGCACTTGAATCGTCTGTATTTATAAACCGTTCATTGTTGGTGGTTGCCTTAAGCGTACTTATATCATCAGAAGTCGCACCTGCGGTTTTGTTTTCATTATAGGCAGTGAGGTTGTATACTGGATTCACGTCGCTTCGATCTTGTGATTGATGAACACTCGACGCTTCTGCAGAACACGTTTCTTCACAAGATGCTGATTGTGAATGCTTCTGTGTTTTTGGAACTGCTGAGCTGAATACATTGAACAAATGAGATTTCTGTGAACATTCGTTGTGTGGTTTGGTTTCGTGCGGATTCACTAAATCGTCGTGCGTAAATGCTACGACCTTATGAGGTGCTTCATCAGGTATATCAGTAAAGTTGATGACAGGAGATAGAACTGCTGAGCTGAATACATTGAACGAATGATGTTTCTGTGAACATTCGTTGTCTGGTTTGGTTTCATGCGGATTTACTAACTCGTCGTACGTAAATGCCGTCACGCGTCCGAAGCCACGTGGGCCATGTGTGCGACACGAAGCATCAAGTGATTCGGGTTGTTCAGCAATACCTGAAGTATTATGGTGCCGTAAATACATTGGAAATGCCGATTTATTTGCCCGTGAAAAATCCACCCGTAAGTCCGGTCTTTTGGCAAAATGGTCTACATTCCTATCGGCATACGGTGGCATTACCTTCTCTGCTGCGACGTGCAAGTCCCTAATTGGTGTTGTAATGCGTGAACTGTATTTGGACGAGTCATACGATGGTACAATGGTGGAATATTTACTCTGAAGTCTTGTTTGGGAAATACGCTTACTGCGGGAAGACTTCGCGTAACTGTGATGGTTGAGTTGAAGAGACTTCAGCTGATGAGGTATGTACAGGTCTTCATCCTATTCTTTGAAACGGGTGATCATTTCTTCTTTGATCTTTTTCCAAGACTCATCGTTCTCGAAGATGTGGGTGAGGTAAAACTTGAATGCCTCACCTGAGATGTAGTCAGTAAAGTTGAGGACCATCTCCCGTTCCGACCATGATGCAGCGATAGCGTGGAGCTCGAACAGGTCGAACCAGTCCTGTACGGGTCCGTCGTCCGCTGATCCGGTGTACTTAGGGATGTCAAGGTCTTCTGATGCTGCTGTCATGATGCTTGGTGGTCCGCGTTCGGTCACTGCGTCTCGCTGAGGTCTTCGATGATGATGGCCGGGCGATGAAGTGGTTGCGAGGTCTTCATCCTGTCGACTCGTGTGACGCTAGATGCGGGAGACGTGGCCTGGCTTATACGCCATGTTTATTCTATCTCATTTCTTCCTTCTCTGCTTCTACAAACCATCACTTTATACGTCACATATATATATATATATATATATATATATATATATATATATATATATATATATATATGTGTGTGTGTGTGTGTGTGTAACAAGTAATTTAGGCACTTAGCAGTGGGATGATTGTTAGTATTCATGTTTCTGTATGAAAATGTGCTGTAAATATTGTGTTATTTCATTTATTTATTCAGTACTGCCAGTGGCCTTTGCAAGAGTGGTTCAGGTGAAAATGCATGTAAGGGTAACAAATATCATCGAATAACCTAGAAAAGAAAAAAATTAATAACGGCAAGAAATCAGCACAGCAATGCACATGAGGCTTCTGAAAAAAACTTTGAAACAAATACTTCAAATTGAATTAGTTTTTTACATGCTTTTAAAACAAAAGCTTTTAAAAAGGTTGCTTCTTTAGGACTTAAAGGGAGAGGCCACTTGAAGACACTTTTTTTTAATAGTATTCACTCTAGACTTCACCTGTTTATAGGACTTTTTGTGCTGATTTCAAATATATAATGAGTTTTCTTGCAAGTTTCATACTTTTAGTTCTGCAACATGACAAAGTGAAAGCTATTTGCCCCCCTCTTTTCATCTCGAAACTTTCATAATTTTTGACGATAGAGTGTTCATCTGCGTTTTGAGAAAAACGCAGATGAACAAAATCTGCGTTTTGAGAAAAACGAGTTTTAAAGATAAAATTGAATGTTTCTTTAAAAAAGATGTCATTAAATGTGCTGAAATTTGTACACAAGAAAGAACAATCCTTGTTGTAGTGGCCACTGCCTCTGAAATGTGCCAGCACCATAAGTTTGTCCCTCACGGCTCCTTCGAGCTGACTCCTGGTAGATATTTCGCTCAAAGACAGGGTCATGAAATACTTGCCAAACTTTTTTCGTTCCATCTGGCAGAGCCTTGTGCCGACTGCAAGCTAGGAAGAAGTTTGGCAGGACTTTGAAATCTAAATCAAGTTCACTGTCGGGGAACTCAACAGTGTTGATGCGATTTTGTGGCCGCGTTTGTGCCACGTACCATTGTACAAACAGCAGTGTCGTCCCCGCTAACTTCCCTGAATGAGAGCTCCTTTAACCTCGCAAGATTGGCGCAGATGGTATCCATTGCCGCATCATGAACTTTCCAGCTGACGGCTGCGAATGCGTTTTGAAGTTTTGATGCATTGACTTTTGCAAGCCAACAAATGCCGCAAGTCAGACCAGCTGCTCGTAGTCCATTCCTACAGAGGGCGCCGCCACAACAGCTTTCACGTTAACAGTGTAGCTATTGTGCAAGCTACAACTTTCATCATCCATAACGGAGATAAACACACGAGAAAAGCGTTGTTAAGCTGTGCTTCTCAATTAGTCATGGATCCCGCAAGTAGGCTTCACAGCACATACAGGTGCGGAGTGGCCAATGGCGATCCCCGATCGGTACGTGATTTAAAAGCCAGTCGTGGTGTTTGAAAAACATGGCTAAAGCATGCTTCCTTTTCTTATTTCTTGGGCCACAGCAGCGCAGAAAACCGTCGTTATTTGAAGAGTGAGGCTCAGCTCTTCGCCTCATGTGATCGACAGTGGCAAGCGGGGATGCATTATTGGCGGCAAGGTGCTTCAAGACTGCACTTTAAGCCTTTGAATAGCCACTTTGTGCTCTTTAGATGCAATTTTAAAGCATTATCAGTTGAGTCTTGACGTGGATTTTTTTCTTCTTCAGAATGGTAGAGGAGAACAGGCGAAAATGAAAAATCGGTTATTTTAAAGAAAACTAGCGTTTTTTGACCTGCATGTCCTCTTAAAAAAACTTTAAGACACATATTCTACAACATAAAAACTTTTAAAATTTTTTTCACTGCAAATTTCAATAAATTTGTGTGCAGTCACTACGAATATGTTACGCCAATATATTTATTGCGGTGTTGTTCGTTGTTCTGATGTTTTTGACATTAGTTTATCAGCCACTTTCTGTCAGCTTACTGTGTTTCTTCAGAATTTCGGTAAGTGATCTTTGGATGGCAATAATGTCGTACATCATTTCCCTGCACCAGGTCTTGATGAGTCTGGCCATTCTACGAACCAGCCATCAGCTCGCTCCCAGAGTTCTCTTTCTGCATGATGAGCTGACCAAGCTACCATCGTTTCCCCGCAAAGCTCTCGAGGCTGACTTCGAACTTTACACCGGCAAATTTGGAAAAGTGAGTCACTAAACAGTCGATTACAATTTGTTGATGATGTATATTGTGAGGTGCATGTATTCATAGTATCCGACACGTTTGACAAAGATCACTGTGCGATGTTTAGCTTGTGTGGTCTCACCATTAACCCTTTACCAGGCAAATTGATTATTTCTGTGTACTTCTTAATTAATATTGCAAGTTTTGCTTTCCAGGAACTTCTTGGGATGGACACACTGCATAAAATGGTGTGGGTGAAAGTAAGTATCCAAAACGTATTGACCTATATTGGAGCAGTAGTTGGTATAATCATTTATGTGTGGCATTTTAAATCTATTTGGCAGTTTTATGAACAGTATTATTAACACACACCAAATAAATTTATTTGTTACAGGTATGACCTGCTAACCCTGACTTCTTGCTATTATGACTTTAGGCTTAAAATTGTCAGGCTCAACAAAATGCATTTAAGGTTAACAATATCTTGAGTCTGCCATGGCTGCTTTGAGCGGTGGCACAGATGATGACCACTAACAAGTCTTGGCAGTGTTTAGTAAGCATCGACAAACGATCTCACATGCCTACACAAAGCTATTTGGTTTTGTTCTTGCAGCTGATGGCCCGAATGTTTGAAGCCATGGCTGGTTTCTTTGCCCATTCATCGGACATCCATTTGTTTCTGAACGTTGTGAATGGAGCTCTCGTTCTACACCCTGAAGATGCCACTATTCTTCGTCTCTGCATGGCCACTTACATCAATGCTGCGCATCAGTTCAGGAACATCTTTGCCTCTAATGGGTAAAACCATTAACTCAATTGTGTTCCTTTGTAGTCCAAAGCTCATGACTTGCCCATCCTGGGAGTTATGCACTGAGAGGGTTGCTTGAACCCCTAGAAAGCACAGCGGGAAAATCAATTGGGATGGATTTGTTACAACATTCCAGCCCTGTTGTCAAAATGTATGGAGGATGAAGTCTCTGATTTGCGTTGTTCCTTTCTTTCCATACATTCCAAAAATGTGAATTCAATGAGAGGTTGAAAGAATATCTTGTAGTAACCTGCGTTGATACGAAGGCTGTAGGTATGGATTCCACTGACGGTTCACTTGAATTGCTTTGAATTTAAGTGAAGATCATTACAAAACAGCTCGGAAACCACATATAATGTCCCCTATGCTTTTCTTTGCTTAAATGTCTGTCAGTTTCATGAGTTATGCATGATATAGAAATACGAGTCCCTCAGACCATTCTCCGACTTTTGTACTGCAGTCACGTGTGCAATAGTAGTGGTATAATTCCTCTTTAACAGGTGCATACATACGTGTCATTATCATTGTAAGAACAGCCGCACACCACTGAATAATCACTGCGTCGATGCCTTTCAGGTACCTCCTGATCATGCCAACAATCCTGCAAATCTATTCAAACCACCAAACAAACGGCTTACTCTGTAGAACTGTTGAGTTTATCTGCAAACAGTTTTACATCATGCACAGAAAACCATTTATACTTCAGGTGTGTTGCTTATTTTGATTATTCGCATTCAGCGTTCTTTTGGCAGTGCCACATGTCTGCAATAAATGTTCTTAAGCGTGCGAGAATTTCAAGTTTGATATTTTCTCCTCAATGTGTCTTCACATTTTCAGATGTTTGGGAGTGTGGCTCCCCTCCTTGACCTTGATGTCAATAGCAACTACGGAGATGCGAACAAGGCAAGTAAACTTAAAAAAAAAAAAACATGCTTGCCTAACTTAAGATAAGAAATTTTATTAAAAATTGGGCCTTGTTTTTTACAGCAAAGCTGTATATGGCAATGTATTTTTTGTGCATGTGAAGTACAGAGTGAACCTCGCGCTGGTAAATGTGGCGTCCCACAAGGCAGCGTCTTGTCACCGTTTCTCTTTAACAGCGTACTTGCTGGACTTCCAGGCCGATTACCGCAAGAATGTGACTTTCCTATAAGCATAGCAATTTATGCTGATGACATACCACTCTGGGTCGGTGGTCCGTCACACAACGGTCCACATCTTCGTGGTATATTGCAGTGAGCTTTGAATGCAACTTCGGAATACTTGGTTGAAGTTGGCCTGCAGGTTTCACCTGGCCTGCATTCACCTGCGAAGTTAGCTGCAATTGCGTATCACCCAAGGCAACGCGCTCGTTGAAGCTTTAGCAGGCTTTACCTCGGAGACACACCGATACAGTGGGTACACCAACCTCGCTATCTAGGTGTAATCATCGATGATCGCCTTTCTTGGCGCCCTGCTGTTAAAACTGTGAGGTGAAAATCGGTGTCTCTGTTCAAGTATGTAGCCGCCTTGACTGCTAGGGGTAATGGCATTGATCAGAAGACGATACTACAGGTTTATTAATCAGTTGTACTCTCTTGCGTGATGTATGCCTTGCCAGTCTGGAATGTACCACCTGCTTTAATGTCTCAGCTGGAACCATGTTGTTTATTTTGCACGTTCCGGGCTGGGACAAGGAACCGAAGAAGCAGAAGAGCGCGCGCAGGAGGTAGACGCGGGGACGCTCAAGTGAAAGCAGAGCGCTTCCGAGCGCAGCTCAATAAACAAGTATCTTTTGCCTTGTGCCTTTACGACGGAGTTGAGTCTGATCGTAGTGTTTGGAACGCCATGGTCTTAATAACGGGATCATCGTGTTGCCCTCCGAGTACTGTTTGACTTACCTTGTGAAGCACAATTCATTCCACTACTGACTGAAGCACACCAGTTGCCGCTAAGCCTGCGAGCTGACCAGAGAGCACTACATCATATTGAGCGTATGAACCGAGCCCCAGATGGCAGACACTCCTTAGCAGGCTGTTACAGCGCCCACTTTCTCGGATGGGTAAAGTGGCGGCTTTGTTCAATGACATTACTGGCAATTCCGGTGAAAATATTGAGTTGCCAACATCGACAGAGCACAGCCCATGTGCCTTCCCTACCCATCGGTCAATTCCAGGAATATGCAAAAAGTGGGGCTCAACCTGTTTCAAAGCTATACCAATTAGCCCATTCACACTTATTTGAAAACTTCAAAGACTGTGCAAAATTATTTACGGACGCTTCTATACGCAGCGATGGCTTGAGCACTTCTGCAGCTTTTTTCTGCCCTTCAACCAATATTGGGCGGTTGTTTAAAATACCGCACACCTCATCGTCGGTGACGGCCGAGCTAGCAGCGATTGATGTCGCCCTTAAGTATGTACAAGAAGGGTTACCAGCATTGAAGGTTGTCATCCTCACCGACTCTCGTGGTGCCCTTAGCAAACTCACCAGCAAGGAGACCGACAGCCCTATTATGAGCAACATCATGGAATCCATCAACAATATTCTGTCACTTGGGGTATGCCCTGCTGCATAGTGGGTACCTTCGCTTGTGGGCATTGCAGGCAATGAAGAAGTGGATCACTTTGCTTCGTTATGCAACCATGATGGCTGTGACTGTCCGGAAATTCTATGTACGATGGACAACGCTCGTCTGCTTATACGTTGACACCACCTAAAGCAGCTCCCAGACCAGTTGTGGTGAATGGATCGTTACCTACCCGTGTTCGTGGTTGTGGCTTGCCTGGTCATTCCCGAGCGCTGTTGTACAAACTAAAAGTGGGCTCTGTGCTGGTGCATGAACGATTACACCGTCAAGGGCGTGTGGACAGTCCATTGTGCGCAGCTTGTGGCTCCTGCGAAACACTTGAGCATCTTGTAGTGCACTGTCCCACTTTTGCTACATAGCAGTCTTTGTTGATTAAGGAATATAAATTCCTAAGACTTAAGTGCGCGATCCTTGATGAATACCTCTTTCCGAGCGGTTGTGCTTCCCGACGCGACCAGGCCCACTGAGCTTTCCTTAAATTTACGAACCAAACGAACCTGGCCACCCATTTATAGACATTTTTTTAATTTTTTTTACTCATACTCATCAAAGTCTTCGTAATTTTTTTTTCCTTCCTCATATTCTTTCCTGTTTCTCCCCTCCAATCTTTGTTTTCTCTGTTTATTCTCTCCTCCCGAAAGAGTGAGCAGGCGTTGTGCCCCTCCAGGTGGCAGTTGCCAGCTTGCTCTCTCCCTCTTTCCTCTGTGTCCTTGTGTATCTGTGTATGCAAAATCAAATCAAAGACCTTCAGACTCTAATGACATGTGTGGCTAGTTTCCTCTAAGCCCCAAGGTCATGGTAGTCGTCCACTCTGGAACACATTCAAATAAATGAAACTAGCTGCTGCCAATTAGCACAATCCATTCATGTTCGGCAGTTGGAATGGTATGGCCATATAGTAGGGCTCCCAAAGAGCAATGTGCCTTGAGGAAAGACAAAGGGAACATCAACGGGAATGCCAGTGGCACCAAGGGGTGGCAAACACCTATGGTGATCGTGCATGAAATGCCAAGCACATGTGGCGAGTCGGACAAGACGACGCTTGTTGCGTCTCTAAACAGTATGAATTTGCTATGTGGACTTCGCTTTCTCCACAAGCGTACCTCACCACAAACGTGTTGCACACTGTAAAGGTGTCTGTGTGCTTTTTGTCATGGTTCCCACCAATCAAGATAATAAATGAGCTTGCACCATTTTCAAAATATTATGTCAGCTCTGCATCATGTGCTAATTAGCTTCGCTTGTTATTTACCTTTACAGTGTGAAATGGCTCACAATCTCTTGCACATCTTGTGCAGGCTTGAATTTTGATTGACGTTTGACGAGGGCATGAAAATTTTGATAACTGTTTACAAGGTGTGGGGCACCAATTACACGAAAATTGAGCTGTTAGGATATTGCTTTGTGCATGTTCTAGTGAGACATGATGATCATAGTAATTGAATGCTAATTTTTCGTGTGCTTGATAATGCATTGTCTCCTGAAAATAATTTTATCCCTGACCTCTGTTTGACGTAAGATTAGCTATGTACTACAATGCCTTTCATTTGAAGAGGCGTTGGTGTATTTAAAGCATGGTGTAAAAGAAATATTTTTGCACCACGGCTCGGAATATTAACATGGTTATGTTAGTCGTGAGATTGGAGCCTACAGGAAAGCTTGTTATTGGAATTGTATCTGTGGTGGCTCGTATTTGTTATCCGTTTGCAAAGAGTTCTTGCTTCCTTCACCCACAAAATCAAACTATTCAAATTATGATGAAGCCCTGCTTTGTGCTTCATCCTACAGATGCAGCCCAAGGCCTTTTTCCAGCTGCTGCAGTCTCTTGCACAATACATTGTTGACCCACTAGACATTCTGGAACTTGTAGATGCTGAGAAGCCACTGAGGGCACTTGACTTCTGCTACCAGATGGACCCTGACACCTTGACCATACTGGATGCCATCTCGCTTAGCGTCACAGTTGTGTCATATGCTTCCGACTCACACAGGGGCCACCAGATGCTGGTCAGTGTCCTTTTACAACTTATGTTGCTCACACCTGGTGGAGCTTAATGGAAAGAGTGTGTGTGTGTGTGTGTTTGTTTCATGTTAATTAAAAAATGATCAACTCTGAGGGAAAAAAACGATGTTGAAAAAAACATCAGTGTATTTCTTGCGCGTCTCGGTAAAAAAAAATCTTGCAATCGATAATGGTGCAGCGTTCTTGTACACAAGCTAGGAGATTGTAGAGATGGATGAGTGTACACTACTTTAGCGTAATTGCGATCACGTTGTGTTGTTTGACAGTACAAATGTTCTGAGTGTGACTGGACCCTTAACTGCTCAAGAAACTGAAACTAGTGCTGTGCTCCGGCCCTGCTGTAGTTCGCACAAGAAGCAGCTATGGGGTTGTGCCACTAGACTGGTTGAACTTGTAGTGTGTGTGGTGTGCTCTTCACTCTGAAAGGAGGGAGAAGTCATGGTCGCTACTAGTGTGCCTGAGTGCACGACTTACTGGTGGCACCAGCTGGCCTTCCGATACGTCACTGGTATGTAAACCAAGAATAGTTTTCGTTCTGGTCTCGAGCTAGTGGGTTGCCTCTTGTCTTACCCGCAGCGCATGCCTTGTCAAGCCTACCCGTCATTTTACCGCATGTCACATGTTTCTTGCCGACCTCAGCGTGTAATAAATATATGCTCATAATGTGTGTCAGCATGAAGGTATTTTTTGTGCTAGTTGTGTAGTCTAAAAATGCATTTTGCTTATGTTAACGTGTGCTTTTATTTTTCTCTGCATAATTTTTATTCTTCTTTCTGCGTAGGTTTTATGACTGTTATAGATTATCATGAACGTATTGTTTGTACTGCGATCCACTTATTGTGGCTCATACTGCCGCATTTCTGCCTTTGTTCCTTGCAGACCATCTTGGAGGCCGTGCTGCCTTTCTACCTGCAGCACCTGCAGTCCTTGACGACCAAAAAAGAAACTCCAGGGGGGCCACGAGCTGAGCTGCAGATGATCCACAATGTTTCTGTTTGCATGAAGACCCTTATCAGCAATTGTGAGGCTCTGACCAGGTTCGTGGGGTATTTTGCAGTGATGGCAAAAAGAATTCAGCAAAGAAGGTCATGATGTAAATTGGTGGTTAGAAAACATACATAAACACCAGTTAAAAAAAGCAACAAATCTTATTGGGGAAGGGTCTGTTCAACAAATGATTTTTAAATTGAGCAACAACAGGCCAATGTGTGCGATTAGATCCTGGTATAAATGAAAAGACTGCAAATAATGGTGACAGATTGAAGCATACTTTTAGAGAGCTGAGTAGGAATTGCATATTTCAATCACGTTTAAAAGTAACAATAAACCAGTATGTCGCGCACTCTACTGAAAGAGCCTTGTATTATGGAGTCGTTCACTTTCGTGTACGTATATATTGCCACAGTTCGACATTTGCAGAAGATGCGTGAAACAATTTGCATTCGTAAAAGCCGCCACACAAGTAGCAAGAAAGCGGTGCCATGGAACGCCGTCCTGTGCACGCCACGATGCTACGCCACGGGACCGGCATGAGACTCGAGGTGAAGAGAAAGAGACCGACGAAGTTGTAGTCAGCGAGCAAGGGACATTTTGGCTGACCATTTTAGTTTTGAGTTTACGGGCATAGGTTCGCCCTAAATAAATAGTTTGTATAGTACCAGGTGCTATACTTATTGGTAACATTCTGGTGGAGGTGCTGGGTATGATTCCAAGCCCACCACAGGCAAGGGAAAGAAGCCCAGATGCCAGAAGATTGGAGCCAGCAAAATTAACACCTGGGCACCGACGCACGTGTCGCCGAGTACGTGGGGAGCAGCCTGAGTCCAGCCTGAGCCTGAGTCCATCCATCAAGACCTGTCGAGACCGCAAGCACAAGTGTCACTGCGATGGCCACCCAGTCGATGCCATCTCCATCTCACCTCATCGTGGATTCAGCACGTACACCAGAGGTCTTCCACGGTGACACCTTTGAAGATGCTGAGGACTGGCTTGAAGGCTTCGAGCGCGTTGCACGTTTGAATGGTTGGGATGAAGCCCAAAAACTTTGTTACATTTACGTCGCCCTGCAAGATTCGGCACGTACGTGGTTTGAGAACCACGAAGCATCCTTGCTGTCATAGGACGACTTCCGACAAGAGCTAATCACAACCTATCCAAACACAGACCGCAAAGAGAAGGCAGAGGCTGCTCTTCAGGCGAGGAACCAACGAAATTACGAGAGCGTGGCCATGTACGTAGAAGACATGTTGCGGCTCTTCCGCCGAGCCGACCAAAACATGGCCGAGGAGAAGAAGTTGCGGCACCTAATGCGCGGAGTAAAAGAAGAAGTTTTTGCAGGCCTGGTGCGTAATCCTTCGCGAACTGTGGCAGAGTTCTGGTCCGAGGTAACGACCATGGAAAGGACACTACAGCAACGTGCGCGACTGTACAACAGAGACTTCGGCATCTCTTCAGTTAGGGCGGAGTCAACAGCCCTCCCCACCAATGTTGACATCCTCCGGGAAATGGTGAGGGCTATTGTTAAGGAGGAGCTCCAGAAACTGCAACTCACCCAAAGTCTTTCAGCGATGCTCTCAATCGCGGACATTGTACTCGATTGAGGGCATCCTTGAGGGCCGAGAGCTTTCATCCCTGCAGAAAGACCAGGTTGTGGAGTTGATCAAAGAATTGGCAGAGTGTTTTTCCTCTTCATCGAAAGTTGGACGCACTCCTGTAGCAAAGCATCGCATTGTAATCGAAGGACAGTTAGACCAATACGTCAGCGTCCATACTGAGTAGCTCCGAAAGAAAGGGAGGCAATAAGGAAGCAAGTGCAGGAGATACTCGACAACGATGTCATACAGCCCTCCAAAAGCCCACTGGCATCGCCAGTAGTACTTGTGAAGAAAAAGGACAACACCATGCGGTTCTGTGTTGCCTACAAAAAACTCAACCTCGTCACGAAGCGGGACGTGTACCGACTCCCACGAGTCGACGATACGTTAGATAAACTGCGCAATGCTCACTTTTTTTTCATTGTTGGACCTAAAGAGCGGGTACTGGCAAATAGAAGTCGACGAAGAAGATTGTGAGAAGACGGCGTTTGTGACACCCGACGGACTCTACGAGTTCAAAGTACTCCCGTTTGGTTTGTGTTGTGCTCCCGCTACCTTCCAGAGGATGATGGACACTGTGCTCTCCAGCCACAAATGGCAGTCATGTCTTGTCTATCTTGATGACGTAGTAACTTTTTCTACTACGTTCGAGTAGCACGTACACAGATTTTAGAACGGTACTGGACACTAGGTATTCGCACCGGCTGCACTTACTATCAAAACCGAAAAGTGCCACTTTGGATTCAAGGAGCTTCAGTTCCTTGGGCACATTGTCAGTTCTCACGGTTTCCCCTCAGACCCGGATAAGATCATTGCAGTTGAAAATTTTTCAAGGCCAAGAGACGTAAAGGTCAGGCGACGTTTCCTGGGGCTTTGTGCTTACTATAGACGCTTCTTTGAAAACTTCTCCAAGATTGCGGAACCACTGACACGACTTACTGAAGGAAGGTGTACCATTCATCTGGCAGCAAGAGCAAGAAGACGCTTCTCTGAGATACGACGGCGTTTGCAGTCACCTCCCATACTCGCTCATTTTGATGAAGATGCCAAAACAGGCATTCATATGGATGTCAGCAACGTTGGCCTGGGTGCTATTCTTGTTCAGTGGCAGAACGGGGAAGAAAAAGTTATTGCTTACGCAAGCTGAACTCTGTCGAAAGCTGAGTATAATCATTCAGCCACAGAAAAGAAATGTCTTGCAGTTATATGGGCCATCAGTAAGTTCCATACATATTTATACGGTAGACCATTCCAAGCCATCAGTGACCATCATTCATTGTGTTGGCTCGCGAACCTCATGGATCCTTCCGGAAGACTTGCTAGATGGAGCCTGCGCCTACAGGAATATGACATCATCGTAGTATACAAGTCTGGCAGCAAGCACAATGACGTGGAATTGCTTATCACGAGCACCAGTCCAGACCTCGTCTCCTGAGCATGAACAAGATTCCGCATTTCTTGGTGCTAGTGAATGTGTCGGAGATGGCTCATGATCAGCGAATGGACCCAGAATTACTTCTGCTTATTCAATACTTAGAGGGGCAGCAAGTCGAAGTACCGCTGAGGTTTCGTCCGTGGACTACGTTCTTATGTCCTCCACAACAACGTTCTCTACAAGAGAAACTTCGAACACAACGGTGAAACGTTCCTACTTCTGATACCATCGTCACTGCGAGCGGAAATTTTATAAGCTTGTCATGATGACCCATCGGCAGGTCACTTGGGCATTAGTAGGACTTTGGCGAGAATCCGTCAGAGATATTACTGGCCAAAATTGATGGATTCAGTACAGCATTATGTCAGATCATGCCCAGAGTGCCAAAGACGCAAAGTACCGCCCCTAAAGCCAGCAGGTCTTTTGAAACCGATAGAGCCACCGAAAGTCCCATTTGAACAGGTCGGAATGGATTTGCTAGGCCCATTTCCAATGTCATCATTCTGGAAGCGCTGGATAGGTGTAGCAACCGACTACATGACCCGGTATGCCGAGACGTCATCTCTCACAAAAGGTATGACAAATGAAGTGACTCAGTTTTTTGTGACCCAGATAGTGCTGCGGCATGGCACGCCTAATGTTCTTATAGCTGACAAAGGAACTGCATTCACTGCCAGGCTAGTACAGTCTGCCATGAAACTAACGCACACCGACCACAGAAGAACTACAGCGTACCATCCGCAAACTAACGGGTTGACCGAAAGGCTGAACAGGACGCTTGCTGACATGATCGCGATGTATGTAGACGTCGAGAATTGGACTTGGGACACCATATTACTCTATGCTACATTTCCATACAATACCGTTGTACAAAAGACAACCCACTTCACGCCATTTCAACTTGTTTATGGTCAGACAGTAATAACGACATTAGACGTGATGCTGCCTGTCAACAGCACGAATGAAGAGGACCCTGACATCAGTGAATATGTAGAAAGGGCAGAAGAGGCGCGACAGCTAGCACAGAACCACATCATTCAACAGCAGGACGACGACGCACACCGTTACAATCTAAAACAAAGGGACGTTCAGTACTCCCCTGGAGACCAAGTGTGGGTCTGGACTCCTGTACGTGCACGTGGCCTATCAGAAAAGCTTATGCGGCGCTATTTTGGCCCTTACAGGGTTCTTCGTCAGCTAGGCCCATTAAACTACGAAATGAACTCTGAAGATCAAGTATGCGCAACACGACACAGGAATCTCCCGGAAGTTGTACATGTAGTACGGATGAAACTGTACTACGACAGGAACTGAACAAGCGAACTGACTCACGTCGTCGAGCACAAGGACAAGTCCTATTGTTTAGAAACTGTCAGCCGGCTTTACGCATCGGGGCTATGCATGCTAGGAGGAGAACTAATGTCACAGCTTCGACATTTGCAGAAGATGCGTGGAACAATTTGCGTTCGTAAAAGCTGCCACCCAAGTAGCAAGAAAAGCCAGTGCCATGGAACGCCGTCCTGCATGCGCCAAGATGCTACGCCACGGGACCGGCACGAGACTCGAGGTGAAGAGGAAGAGAGCGATGAAATTGGAGTCGGCGAGCAAGGGATATTATGGCTGGCCATTTGAGTTTTGAGTTTACTGGGCACAGGTTCACCCTAAATAAATACTAGTTTGTATAGTACCAGGTGCTATATTTATTGGTAACAATATGCATGCTCAGATGCTTTCATGTGCATCGTAATTAGCACTTAAAATAAGAGTATATATACATTTATTATTATATATCACTGCTCTATTCTGTGCCACTTAAGAGGGAAAGAAAGGTTGCACGTTGAGAAGCAGCACTGCCTTCACGACGACTAGTGTCGAGCAGTGCTGTATGTGTGTGAAGTCCACGCATGTGCAGCAAACCACCGTGCGTCAAGCATAAACATGATGTGCTCTTGCTCTCACCTCCCATTGTTTGCAGCATATGTTGTGCGTATACGACTCCATATTCACCGCAGATTGAAAAATTTTGTAAATGTTTGACAGCGTTGTCGACGTTACCCTAACCGCTGAGCTTTCTGTTGTGCTAAAGAAAACAGATACCATAAAAAATTGACCGTGAGTCTTTTTAAATGCTGATGGGTGGAATATGTGCTGAAGATGGTGGTTAAAGTGAACAATGACTAGGTAGTGTGGGATGTTGTTGACCACTAATGCATGGGCATCTTAGTCGAAGTTTTAATCAAGCTGCAGTCCTCTCATGCATTTCAAGCTAGAAAATGGGCAGAAAAAAAAAAAGCTTTTCGAGAAATTGCATTCACGAAAAGCAAGAAATCACATTGACACTTTCGGACATGCAGCTGACATACATATTCGATAAGAGCGCACATGCTGTATAGCTTACCTGCGGAATGACAGATGTCAAATGTGTGACAGTGCAACTGTGTGTGCCTGCAACTGTGTGTGCCTTACAAGAGATTGATTAAACTTGAATGATCATTTATAAGCTTCATTCACTAGATGTTCAATGTAACTTGCCTCAGCGTTCAGGTTACATGAGCGGGCACTATTCGTGCAGCAGTGCACATCATAGAAATTTCCAGTTTCTGCACCCATAATTACCTCTAGTATTATTTGAAGAGACCTGAGCACAATTATGAGCCTGAGATTAAAGGAGCAGTAGAGGCAAGCACTGAATCAATCTACACTGTTAGATGCATAGCTCTTTCAGAAACGCTATGCAGAGAGGTGGCCTAGTTGCTGAGGAAGGGGCACACCATTTTCCACTATTCAAATAATCCACTAGTACAGATCGACTTACTCGAGTTGGTATCTTATACTATACTCTAGGTCTCAGAGGCCTTGCTTCTTGAAGCAGAATTACTATCTGGTTTAGATCGGAAGTCTGCAGAGACAGTGCTATATCACAATGACTACATTATGCTGATGGTGAACATTGTTCTGAAAAAGAAAGGATAAATAATAATAGATTTATGTTTATGGCTGTAGCAGTACGTGCTTCATGATGCGTAGATAGCTTCTTTGATGTAATGTTACTCTTGCTGCTGGCTTGCTGTGCAGAAATTACACCGGACCTCAAAAAGCGATCGACCTGAGGGGTTCTAGCATCAAGAATGCCTCACGAGGTGCTTGTTCGCCTCCTTTCGAAGTTGAGGAAGACCTGCCGTCAAGGTGAGCAACATCACTGCTAAAAACTCACTCTTGTTGCCTACAAAAAACAAATATTGTACGCACAAGTGCTAAAGAGTGTCAGGCTTGCGTTAGAACTTCCGAAGAAACTTTTTTATCCAGTGGTTTTTCTAGACCATCACATATGCTCAACAGTCAGATCGTGCACTTAGTTTCGCCTCTTCACTGCAAATTGAAAAGAAAAAGATAGCATGAAAGGGAAGTGTTGCGTTGGAACCCTCCAAGGTTCTAATTTTTCCAGCATAACAATAAAAGTGAAGTCGCATAGCTTTACTATTCCGTGTTCTTCACACAAACGTTTGCTGCTGTGTGGCAGGTTTGTGAATGAGACGCTGTACGGGTCGAGGAAGCCAGCTGGAATTCACTATGAACGGGACGATGAGGACAGTGATCTTCTGCGACTTGAGTTCCGACAACCACGGGACACGCTGCTATCAGTGGTGGCAGAGTTTCTCACTAAGTGCTCAGCCCGCCTGGCTGATCTGAGCAAAAAAATCCCCGACTTGCCCAGCAAGGCTACCGAGCTCCTGGATGTCAAGTGCCACTTGGTACGTTAGACTTGCTTAAGCACTGTGTGAATTATATTTGACCGAGCTGATAGGTGGGCTACTCTTTAGCATTTGGAGCATATTGCCATGTGCATGCTCCCTTGTATTTTTATATAACTGGCCCATTACATGTGTAACCACTGCCTTGCACAAGCCATGCCCGAATGTTTGGGAGCCGTTCCAGAATATTTTAGAACCTTTTGACAAGCAATGCGAACCAGTAGCAGTTTATATTGGACCTAATTCGGCCACCAAAGCTAATGCTTAAAGCTTCAATGCCGCAGGTATAAAATTCTAATGCACTTTACTGCCGAACATTTTACTTGACAGCCGACGACTGTTCTCTCTGCTATCAGTGAACAGCATGGATTTTTGTGCCTGACTTTTCAATTGTGGGGCACAAGCTCCCCAAATAAAGAGTTACACATTTCTCACTTTTTCTGCAGCATTTGTCACCATCACACCACATGAAAGCATGCGAAGAATATTAAAGTTAGAAGTGTTCTGTCCCAAGTAAATTCTTTTGTCTGTCATTGTCTCATTGTCTCTTTGTCCTATTCAACATGTCAACATGCAGCTTTACCAACCTGCCCAACTCCCTACTCCTGTCAGTTGTGCCCATCTCATTTTGTCTGTGTCTTTTGTTGTGTATTAGGAAGAGTAGCCTCCTATGTTGGCCTAAGAGTTTAAAGGGGCTAGACGAATGAAGGTACTTTCCTTTCACAGCGTCTGGCGGAGGTGGCTCACAGTCTTCTCAAGATGGCTCCATATGACCCCCAGACCATGGCTTGCCGAGGCCTGCGGCGCTACCTCAACGAGGTGCTGCCGCAGTCGGAGTGGGCACAAGAGGCTATGAGGCCTGCCCTTATCATGGTCATTCGACGCCTTGACAAGACCTTTACCAAGATTGCTAAAAGCCTGCCATACGGGCGAGTCTCACACTTCCCTATTCCAAGCTTATATAATTGGTTGTTCTCATAGTGATTGAGAAGGCAAGTGCTCGATTACTGTTTTTATCACTCATGGCATCACTTGCCGTACTGTATCTAACTGATATCATGCATTGTACTAGTCACTTATCTAGAATAGGTGAACATTTCTACTCTTAACTATAGTAGTGGTGTTTGTATGTGACTGTCGACTCGCATTCTTTTATACTGGGCAAAGGGTTCTATACGACAACTCCATGAAGACACGATTCTACACAATTACATACCCCTGGTGACATGCAGCTGAGTGCTTCAATGTGCCTGTGCCATTTTAAAGGTTGTCATATAATTCTTTTTTTTTTCATAACCTAACTTGCCTATGCTTGCTATTCTGAACACCAACTGATGCAACTTCAGTGAAACTAATGACAGCTAAATTTTTTGGTCTGACTTGTCAACATTGTCTGCAGCACTGGTGAGTCATTGCATATTGCTTCCCGCATCATAGAAAGTCGCTGTGAAGTCAGAAGCTGCTGGTATATGTTGCCAAAACTTGGAAGAATGTAGCTCATGTGTTCTGGAAAGTTAAAGTTTTGGATGTTGCTGTGGCAGGAAAAATGATGTTCTGTTGGACATCACAGCTACTCTTCATCTACCGTACTTGGTAGATGAAGGTTTCAGGTTCAGGTGCCTACTTTTAATTTCTTTTTGCAAAATGAAGTCTCGTGCTTCAATGCTCTATGTTTTATAGAGATATTTGCATCCAAGGTGCTGCCAGGGTGCCAGTTGTTCTGATAGAAGACATCATATTTTTCAACTACTGATAGTTAGATTACACTGCCAGAAATTGTGCAAGTAATATTATAAGCAAACTATACATACATCCTCAAAAGTTTACTGTAAAAGTCCTACTGCAGGTAATTATGTAATGTCATGTATATATATGTAAGAAGTGTATATTTTGTTTTCACTTTAGCGTCTAGCCTATGCATTCTTAGATTATAGATAAATTGAAGAATATAAACTGTCTAACTCTTTACTTCATTACGATGCCAACATAATTTGTACTGCAATATTGGTGTAATCAAACATTGTTTCTTTGCTTACACTTGCCATCATTGACTGGATTTACTCATTTCATTTCAGAGGCTTGTTGACTGGGATGCAGCGCGAAATCTGTTAAAAGGTGTCTACATGACACTCTACAAGCATCCATACATTGCTCACCTGCCTCATCTAAAGGTAATTTTTGTGTGAAGCCTTAAAGAAAATGCTACGACCTCTCAAATGAACATAGTGAATAGATTCCTGAATGTGTGAAATGTATTACACACAAAGTCAGTTTACAATTTTAGGGTACATTGAAATGGAAAACAGGATAATTAACAAAGGAGGATCCTATAGTCAAAGACTGTGAATGGCCTTCCCCTTTTTTCACAATGTACTGAGAAAACTGCAAATGTTACTTGCATAGTTACATTTATGCTACAGTAAGTAGTAGGTTGGAAGGCTGACTTAATTCTGTTGCAACATTTCTGCAGCCTTAGTATTCATTGTCTGAGTGTTCAGTTGCATGGTTAAAGAAACGTTTACTGTGGTTCATTAATTAGCACATGCAGAAAGCATTTATGTAGCAGAATAATTTGAGCAAGACATTTGTGAAAGGTCTTCTTTAGTAAAGAGCAGTTTGCCAGCAAGTTGTCATTAAGATTTCAGACACTTAGAATATGTGCTATGTTTTGATTAGCGATGGGCGACTACAAGTTAGTTTTGAGTTCAATGCGAATTCAAAGCAAATGGTTTTGAACTGAATACTTTGAATAGTTATATCGCATATTATTAAAAAAATGAGCATTTTCGTCCTGACCCAACCAACTTTAACAATATTTTCATGAATTGGAATGAGGCATATGTAATTACTAGTCGAACCCCGCTACAACGAAACTGACAAGGCATAGAAAAAATTACGTTGAAGCAAAAATTTTGTTGTAGTGAAATCGAAAAAATATAGCTGATCTGAGCTAGCAAAACAAAGGAACGTTTATTCTCTAAATTCAAAAAGTGTCTGCTGCTTCCTATTTTGTCCCAGCAGCGTTACGGTGTGATTTTTACCCTTGTTTAGTGAGAACATGGTGGAAAGCATACTGAAACAATGCCTAAAACTGCCTTCGTGAACGAACCAAACAGTTGCATTAGCACATTAACGCCAGCAGCTGTCCGCTATCAAAGTGTATCCGACAACGCCGTGATGGAGGCAGGGTATTGTGGAGCGGCGACTTTTGCCTTATTCTAAGCCATTCTTATCATCCATTACTCGCGGCTAGATGATTTTGTTGATAATCCGTATGAACAGCTGCTCTGATTGGTTACCACACTGGCCAAGCGCGAACATAATGATAAGCATCGGAATCGAAAAAGGCATCGTTCCGAGGTTGCACCCAGCAGCTGCGTGAAGGAAACCATCAACCATAGAGTTTCATACAATAATACCTAAAGAGGAATCTGGCGCTAGTGTCTATGCGGGCTCCTTCAGCGGCGCTTGTACCCCCATGGGAATTATGGGAAGTACAGGCTTCGGATCTGCTTCGGATGGATTACATTCTTGAGATTCGCGAACCTTCTTTTCGGAGTGTAAAACAAAGTGATAATACCTAACTTATAGTTCATTGAATCTTACTTTATTTATTTGTATGCAAACTTTATTGCAAATGGTTTTCGTTACAAGGTGACAAAAGTGAAACCGGGGCAAATTTAACCACCACAGTATGCATCGCTCTTCCATTGCGTTCCAGACTTGTCATCAAGATTTAACGAATTATTTTTTACAACACTTGAAAGAAAACATGCTTGTTTTTCTCTCGAAAGTACACATTGTCTATTTATGGAAATAACGGTACAGTATTAAGTGAGAAACAATTAATGTTTCATCTTCTGTGATGCTAGGTGCGTCTGCCCAAATGGTCTGCCCCCAACGCACCTCTGGTTCTGTTATGAAGCCGAGTCAGTGGAGCATGACGGTGCATCTGCTTAGCTTCATCACCGTTTCACAGTCGACTAAAATGAGTTTAGATGAGGTGCGCTTGTGAAAAAACATGAACTTGATGCGATATCCTGCACTGGCATGAAACGCTACATCTATGCGCAGTGGTGAGTGGACGACGCCTCGTTTAAACTGTCAAATATGACTCCTAAAGCTCGAACATCACAGCTAAACAGGAGACCTAATGGTCTTCAGCCTCTTCGAATAACAAAGGCACTGCATCAGCGCTTTTCACCGCACCCCACTACCCGTGCTGTGTGAAGAATGAAACTAAAAGTGTAGAAAAAGTTTTGTAGACAGTTCACTAGCTAGCCCTATCCAATCCGAAGCCTGTACTTCCCATTATTTCCATGGGGGTACACGATCGCAGCGCCAGATTCCTCTCTAGGTATTATTGTATGATACTCAATGTCATGAACTGAGCAACCGAGCTTCAGCTTTGGATCGTCTGCGGCTCAAAAGCAAGCCCGTGGCAAAAGCAAGGTTGGCAGGGCAGTCTCATTGCTATCGCTATCGAGCATTGGCGGCGCCCATGTTTGCTGAACAGCGGCGGTTTCTGGTGGTGCCAATGCGTGTTTTAGACTTCGTTGACGCATTTTCAGGCTCTGAAAATGCATCGAAATGTTAAAGATTGGGTTCACTGCATAGCAATAAGTATCTTAGCCTGGAATCGCATCGTAAAATTTCGTTGAAGTGAGACGACCGAAGAAAAAGTGTTTGTTGTGGCGACAATATTTATGCATTGACTTCTATGGACTGCTGACGGGGAATTGTGAATTTTTTGTTGTAGTTGAAATTTCGTTGAAGTGGCGTTCGTTGTAGCGGAGTTTGACTGTATCTCTTTTCTTGGTTCGAAGTGAAGTGGAAGCAACTTTGAATAATTACAAGATTTGAAAAGCAGTAGAATGCAAGTTACAACTGGCATGTTATGTGAAGTTTTAATAATGACTACACTCAGTACATGTAAACCTGTATAACACGCTTTTAGACTTAAAAATAATTAATCTTGGAGAAGTACTATTATGTACATTTAGCCTTTAAGTCCGACTTAAAGGCAGTGTGTATTTGTTCTAGATGGTTTCATGGCATATTACACCCACACTGCAGTGATTTTGCTTTTATAGAAGGTTAAATGCGTTCAAATATACATATAATTGTTCGTTTTGGATACTTCAAAAACTGGAATAATATAAATTAGTATCGAAGTGGATTCGAATACTAGGGGGGGGTGACATTCGTTAGAATATTTTAAACGCTCAAATACTTGCTTATACCTAGTTTTGTTGCTTGATGTACTAGCTTAACTTATCTGAACAATTTTTTTTAATTCAGAGTTTCCGCCCACCAACTGTAGTGGAAGTGCTGCTACATGAGGAACATATGCATTTTTTTTAGAAGGAAATTATGTATGTTATGAAAAAAGAAAGAAAAAGAAAGACCGTTTTCCTTCGATCATAAAAACAGTGAAATGAACATTGTAGACATGTCTTTCTTTAGTGGTTCTTGCTTTTAATGATGTTATTTTTAGTATTCTCCTAAAGGACATTAAAGGCATATATAATTTATGTCAGAGAGAAAAGTCAATGCTTGAGAACATCTGAAAGACCAATATTATGTGCAGTAGCACTTCAGTAAACGAGAAGTTAGGATAAATATGACTAACGATTCGCACTACCGGTGGGACATTCTGGAGTACAATACCGATGACCGGAAAAGCCTCAGTACAATTAATCTCAAGTACTATTACTTCATCTGGTGGAATGGCTGACATAATTACATAGCATTATATGTTTCTTCATTGAAATTATATGCTAAGGCAAAATTTGATCTACTTCTAAGTTTATTTCTGGAGAACATGTTGCTGTCATAGTGGATGGAAGCTTTTTACTATGTCACTGAATACTCCTTTGTGACTATCAGAAAAACGAGTCAACATTTTATGGCCTTTACTTTTTTTATCTGATGGAAGCTATTTGTATTGCATACATGAGTGTTTGTGTATGCAGAGGGACTGTTCAACAATGTTTAAGGATGGTTTGATGTCCTAGAGTAAAACTGAGAGCTTCCTACATAAAAAAAAAAAACTGATCTGAAGTAAAACAAAGTGATTTGTATACTCACCTTATCTCATTGTACATGTCCTGACTTGTAGATCAACATTTCACAAGCTGGTGAAATAGTTTGTGGAAAAGAACTGAAACTTGTACATTGTGCACTTAATGGTTGCAATTGTGAAATTGTCTGAGTTGCATATGTTTTCCATTGTTTGATATCGTGTAGCACTGTGGTTTCTAAAGAGGAAGTGGTGCAGAACATACTGCCAGGCAACTAACTGCTCAAATCCTAATCCAGCTTGCTCTCTAGAATCTCGTCTCAATCATGGAGCTTGTAAGTGTTAGGCAGGAAGTTGCAGCAGCTGACAAGAAAGCACAAAGAATCGTGGAACAATTTGGCCCTAATGCAGTTCTTGATTTTGCTTTTCAGTCACTGGTTGCCATTTGCCAGAGCATCATTGTGGGTGATCAGAACGCATCTTTGGTAGCCGAGAGCAGTGGCAACGTTTCAGTGTCGGCGGCAGCTTTGGCTCAGTCTCCACCACCAGGATTCTGCTCTGTGGCTGTGCGACTTGTGACTATGCAAATGGTCGCACTTGGGGTGCGTACTTTGGCCTCTTATGCTTATATTGCAAGTTTTTTTATAGTACCTTTTTAGTGTGCTTAGACAAAGCAAAGTGTTTGGCACCTAATACTTTTTGCAATGATGCATTTGAGCTTCTGTAGAAATTTTGCATCTACAATTGCTTTTGCATTTTTGGGAGTGCTGTGTGTAAATGTTGAAGGTGCTTACAGCCAAGGTTTTATAAAACTTTCTGTATCGCAACGCTTTGAGTTAGTTGAGTCGAGTCGAGTGAGAAAGTGAGTGACGAGCCAGTGTTGTGTGTGCGTGTGCGTGTGTGCACAGAAAGAGGGTTGAGTACTTGATGTGCTTTATGGTATGGATCAGAATGATGTCACTTTTGAACTGCCACTATGCGAAGGGTGTACAAGTTAAAGCATTATGAGAATGTTATTGGGAAAAAATTATTCTGTACGGTTTTCACAGCATGGAATTTCTGATTCCTTTACATCCATGAAGTCACCATTCACTGAAAATCTGTCTCTGAGATAGAGGTATTAGTCAATGAGGATCAAAAAATGAACCTCGATGCAATGTGACACAAAACGTAGGACACGGCATGAATAATTATGAAGCCTGACACACAAGCACCTGTTACTACACGTGCTTCCTGTATCCATGTCTTCTTTTTTGACACTTTAGTTGCTGTGCACATTTTATGTGTCCTGCATTTTTTTTTTTATTCTGTACTGGTGCAATTCACAAAACATACCGTATTTTTGCGTGTATAACCCGCCCCTGCATATAATCCGCACCCCCACTTTCAGCTCACCGAGAAAGAAAAAAAAAAAAAATCCTTGCGTATTGCCTGTACATTTCATATACAGGAAAGGCTGTACAAAAGCTACTGCTCAAGCAACATAGCACATATGTAGACAAAAAAAGCTTTATTTAGCAAGCAGAAAACGCTGTCTGCAAGGCCAGTCACAATTCAATCACTGTCGCTGCTCTCGCTAGAGCTATCACATGAGCCGCAGTCCTCACTGTTATGCACAAGGTCATCTTCGGTTCCATCCATGTTGTTTGTGATGCAGCATTTCTTGAAACTTTTTCGCACCATCTCACCAGGAATGGCCTTCCATGCCTCGACAATCCACTTGCAGAATAGGGCAATATCAGGCCTTCGGACTCGTCCTGTCGGCGTCAAGTCATAGAGTCCTTCGGCCATCCACTCGGCGTAATAACCCTTGACGTGCGCTTTGAAGGGCTTGTTAAGCGACACATCTAGAGGCTGCAACATTGACGTCATTCCACCGGGTATAACAGCTAAGTCGGTGCTGTTGCGTGAAAGGCAACAGCACCAACTTAGCTGTTATACCCGGTGGTATACCCGGTGGTGGTACTTCACTTTCTCAGTTATGTGGCCGCGGAACGAGTCAAGAACGAGCATGGACCTCTTTGCGAGCATCGCGCCGGGCCTCTTCTCGCATACCGTCTTGATCCAGTCCACGAACAAGTCACTGTTCATCCACGCGTTCTCGTGTGCGCGCACCACCACACCGGCAGGCAAATGAATCTTTGGTAGAGTTTTCCTTTTCAAGATGACGTACGGTTGCAGTTGCGTGCCGTCGGCGAGGACACAAAGCAAGACTGTGATGCGCAGTTTCGTGTTCCCGCCGGTCAGCACGCTCGCCGAACTGCTGCCCGTCTTCTCAATCGTTGTGTCCAACGGCATTTCAAAATAAACAGGAGTTTCATCCGCATTGCCGATTTGCGAGAAAATGTAATTGTGCTGCTTTCGCAGGCCAATTACATGTCTCTGGTACTTGGGCAGCTTCTCCTCATAAGAAGCCGGCAAGCGTTGTAGTCCGCCGTCTGATTGAGAGCCCTTGCCGCTTCATAAAGCGGTGCAGCCATCCGCGGCTCGCATGGAATTCGTGAGGTAGGCCTAGCTCTCTCGAAAGTCGCCGCGCTTCCACTTGGGCCATCTCGGTCGATACGGCGTGACCCCTGCTTCTCACATCTTCGATGAACTTTACTAGCTGCGCCTCCAGCTCAGGGTAGGCACCGGTCTTGGGGCCACGAAATGACCTACGGTCGCGTTGTGCGGCTTGTAGGCTCTCTTTCTTCTTTCTCCACAGTCGCACGCAGGACTCGTCCACATTGTGCCGTCTTCCCGCTTCGCGATTTCCGAATTCCTCGGCGACGGTGATGATTTTAAGCTTTTGCTGTGCCGTGAAGGACTGCCGCCATACGCTACTCATGGTGACAGAACAGATCGACTTAGGCTTCCACGACTTAGCATTACCCCTTCTAGTACACTGTAACAGCACCCTGGAAACAACAGAACCAAAATGCATGCCTGCTACCGCGTCAAAAAGTAGTACATAAATTTACTGATAATATCTCTATCTCTCTCGCAAACGTCCATAAAATATACTTGTGGTGTGACAGTGAGATTTTACACTGAACAATAGAATTGTCTCTCCCCAAATGTTTTTCTAAACGCTTCAATGATTCAAGCAAGCGAAACCAAAATCGGCCGCAAGCTGTTGTGCTATTTGCGGAGCAACACGAATTTGCGGAAACCGCCTCTGTAGCCTTCGCTACACTGTTAAGGGGCTTCACAGCACAACACGCATTGCTGTGAAGCAGCACTATAGGAAAAACCCCGTGTATTATCCGCACTTCCACTTTGCCACTGAAATTTTAGGGTTTTTGGTGCGGGTTATACGTGCGAAAATACGGTAAGTGTTCTGTGATGCTACTACAATATGAATCAGCTTAAGTTTACCCCAGAGGAATTGTCAAGAGTCAGTGTAAGTGCTGTGCTTGCACTGCATTGTAGTGACTGCAGAACAATACAGTTGTAGCTCGGTAATACTTGGTCTGGCATTATTCCAACTGGCTAAGTAAGATGAGATGCAGAAAATTGTTTCAAAAGATTACTTGTGACTGTCTAGTGCACTTCTAATTGTATAATTTGTAATGCAGGACTCGCTCTCATTGGAGAGCATTTGTGGAGGCTCATCTGTTCTCTCAAGCACTGACAAGACCGAAATTTTTCTTATGAATTTTATTCTTCCCCTTTGCATCAGAGTGAGCAGTGGAGTAGAAAGGTAAAATCTTTACTTGCTTGTAGAGCTTATTTGAAATACTATACACACTCCATTTCATAACAGTGTGAAATAAACTACAATGGAGTGCTGCGTAAAATGGGAGCTTTATATAGTGTCGAAGCTACCCTATGTAACATGCTCGGGTGCTTATTCAAGACTATCGTGTGGTTGAAAATGCTTAGTTCTAAGAAAGACAAATTGTCATGTTGGAAGAAAAATAGTCTAGCTACAGATTCATTCACTATATTGCACTCCCGATGTCTTGATTATACTTTAAGGTTGACTAAACTTAATGCTGGCTTCCGAAAAAAAAAGAAGTGTGATTGGTATACTTAGTTCAAAGAACAGCCATGGCATCAGATAAAACGTGCATGCTTTCATTGAAATTACATGCCGGAAGGTTTGTCGCTTTAAGCTGATTGAATATAAGTAGACTCTCATTAAAAGGAACCTGAAGGGACCAGAGAAATAAGTTTCTTTAAAAAAGGGTTTCGTTCACTGAAAGATGAACAAGGGTGCAGAGTACAAGAACAAAACATATCTTGTTAGAAGCACGTGTTCCACTTAAGCAGCAGTTCCATTCAACAGATTTCCATTTATGGAGAGTCTGTTGTACTGAAAAAGTTTGCTGGCAAGGTTATGCTTGCACTGTGACAAAACAACATTAAGTTTCCATTATAGCTCACTGTAGCACTGCATTTTTAGCACCTTTCATCTCTTACAAAATTAAGGAAATTTCGAAGAAGACTGTACACCAGATTACCCGAAAATTCACATAGTTGCATAGTACTTTGGCAATGAAAGTAATATTCAGTGCACGTGACTCTACAAGCAGATACATAACCATAGTTTTAGTGGCTTTTCCAGCTCCAGCTTAGCAAGATGTTGACCACAGCACACGGCACATACTTTTGCAGATGTGCCCAAGATGCGTCAGATGGACATCTCCTTTGGTTTGACTGTGGTGTTGAATGCCTTGTCTCCCTGCTGGAGCCCACAAGCACCATCCGTCCAGTGCTGTGGGAAAGCCACCATCAGAGGCCCAACAGAACACTGCTTCGACGCGCGAGAAGTCGTCCAGTGTCGTCAGAAGCTCGCTGTACCAGATTGGATTCCTTGGTAAGCATGCATGCACCGCTGTTTTCATAGCCACCAGATTAATGTCAGCACGTTTCATTGTTGTGGCTTACAGAATGAAATGATGCATTGCATAACAGTTATCTTTTGGATTTAGTTTTGGATATGAACTCCCATGCACGGCTATCAAAGCTTTCAGTAAACTTCAATGGAGAATACGTCCTTTATGTTCTGTAGCCGGTTTATGCATTACCAGTCTGAGCTTCGTGCTTTCCCACTTAGCACAAAGTCAACTAACCATTCTGTGTCACGGTATAAATGACTCCGTCACACGCTATTAGTGGAAAATCAGCAATGATATCTTGATCGTTATTACGACGCCGAAGCAAACATTTATGTAATCACTGTCCCGTGTAGTTATCTTTCAGCTATTAATTTGCATGAATTGTGAAGCTCCTCATAGGCCTCAACCATTACAACTCCAAAAAGTAGTTAGCTGATATTACTGGCTCGAGTGCAGCCTGAGGGGCAAAAATTTAAGTAATGTTTGCCTGTAAAGCCTCCAGTGTTAGATGAATGTTTCAGGGGGATAAAAATACAGAAGTGCTCGTCCTTGTGTATCAGTTTTCTTTCATTGTTTGTTAAGTGCAAATTACCTTCAAGCTTCATTTTTGGCTTGTTTTTCCATCTAACCTATCTGATGTAGCTTTGCATTTTTTTTCTTCTATTTAATCACAGGGCTGAAAATTCTGATCGTGTGTTACGAGAGACAGCTTGTAGGCGACTGGCACCGAATAGCACGATGTATTCGTGAACTTGGAAACAGGTTACAAGGTGAGTTGTCATACTTTACGAAGGCCTAAAGACAGGACTTTTGCTTAGCTCTATCCTGTTCGCCTCTCGTATGCTACTGACTTTGTGACAGCTCCCATCTGTAGTACTTCTACTGAAACTTTTTTTCATCCACGAGGGATGGTCTCTGCGTAGCAATGTTCCATGTCCGCAAACCGGTTATTGCATTTAATACTGGATCATGAATGCCACCTTTGAACGCAAGAGCGATTCATATTGGAGCATTGTGGAGGCTGCTTGTTTGTTTTTTTTTCTCATAATCATTTATAAGCATTTGTACATGCATTCGAGTGCCATTGCAATGTTGATGCAGCACTACGTATATATTTTTAGCTTTGTTTGGCTTTTATGACTACGTGAACTCGAAAATTGTGTGGTTTCTGATTTCAGCTGCAGCTCCGTTCCTACAATAGGATAATTCGTTTAAAACTTAAAAGTCCTAGACGCGTTTTAAACATAACATAGTATTCCTTTCTCGCACTATCTCATTCTAGGTGGACTCGCTCTTTGGAGCTTTCTAGACTTTGTGGTTACTCACCGAACACCTCTTTATGTGCTGCTGTTTCCACTGATTAAATACAAGGCAAGTCCTCAAATCAAGAGTTTGACGAAGTCCCGTATGGTTGGGGAATGGCATTGTAAAAAGCTGGGACTGAACTTTGACCATAAATAAAAAGAAAACAAAAGCGTTTCGGTTGCCACAAAAGAACCTTATTCACAATGATATTGTGAACAAGGTTCTCATGTGGGAACCAGCACATTTTTTATTTTGTTTTTATTTATCGCCATGCCTTCGATTTCAGCATTTTACGAAGGCAAGTCTCATACTATACTGTTGCATGAGCCTGCTGCAAAATATACCTTACCCATGATGATGCATGAGGCATGTTGCCTAAAAACCAAAGGTCATTCGTTCCTGAATCTGTACCATAGCAGCACAAGAAGTTGGCTTGTTTAGGTTCCATGTCAGGCCATGTCGTTTTGAAACAGGGGACGCACAGGCATATTTTCAATGCCACTTTTGTGTCGCTGTGGCATAACTGACAGGTGTGATGTTGGGCATTTGAGCATTTTCCGGCTTATCACTGTGTCGCGGTGCAGCCATACTACGATGCGTATATAAATAAATTAAGAAGAAATGTTTAAATAGGCCGAGTCTACATGTAAACTGCACATTGGTGAGTCAAGTACCATTTTCATGTTTCTAGATATTGCAGACCATTTGCGACAATGAGCAGGAATACTACTACCAGCAGCTAATCAGGGATAAGATCAAAGGAATAAACCTGCCTACTCCTAAGAGCTTTGGCTGTATGTTTGTGGACCTTGTGAATGAACTGAAGACGCTGAAGGAAGACCTCGTTGCCTGGAAACTTGGTAACTATCGCATTATTTCGATTTGCATTTATATCTTTGAGTAGTAACCACGCTCATCGAATTGTACATTGCATGCTAAATCAGACATGTTGAAAGTCCTCAGACCGCTAACTGTCACAGTGGATGCAAAATTTAGGTATTCTGTATCTCTGTTAGAGAAAACATGACATGAAAAATCCTCAGGAATAAATTTGAAAATGACAGAACTTGGACCTCAGGGCTCAATAATATCTCGCTTGCTAATACCAGTTTTTAGTTGCCTTCTAGCACATTTGTGTAAATTACATGATATCGTTTTGTAACTATAATAAACATTATTGTTGCCACATTTATTAGTGGCTGTGTAAATCAGTAAATTGACCTTATGAACAAGAAAAAAAAGATTACCCTCTCCTTTTCCTTCTTACTGATTATTACTTTTTCTCTATTGTTATGGAGCAGCAAAATGGAAAAGATGATAGCCATGACTATGGAGACCCCATTTTGCTTGTGCCCTTTGTATCAAATGTAAAAAATCTGTGAATGGTTATAGAATTATGTTATGTTCACATAGATTGCAATTTCTCCTTGCAGAGCACTTAGTATCACATATGAGGTGTTGTCGGTAAAGCTTAGATAAATGTCGGTGATTATTGATTACAATCCTGCCAACCTTGGAATGGCAGGAGGAGAACTGGAGCGTGGAAAGCCATCTGCGGAAGGCCATGGTGGCGAGATGTCCCAGTCAGTCAGCTTCACACAGTGCCATGGTCGCAGGTGGTGGCCACCGGCCCAGCTTCACTGAACTTACACCTGACCATCAGAGCATCACTCGACTTGGCAGACCACCGGGCATGGGCTCAGTTGAATCAGGTGAGCTCAGCTGGGTGAGTCTATGGATTATTAGTTCTTCTTGTGTTGGTGCGCCATGCTTTGTTGGCACTATACTTCATGTCGCTGTTCCTGTAGTGAACAGATCGTTTTCTAATCTGCCTTTTTCATGATGCCATGGACGCATCCACTCTTCTTCTAGCAGAAAAGTCCTGCAACGCTTTTTGATCTTAAGTGCTCTTGTTGTAGTGATACTGCTTGTTGTAGCCTCTACCAAAACACTACAAAAATTGACAGAGGGGCAGCACAGGAAAATGAATAAGGTGGATTGGGTGTTTGTGTATGCAGCTTTATCAAGTAGAGAGAGTAATAATGTTGTCATCATAGGTGTACTGCGAGTTCTGAAACTTGAGGAGCCAAGTATCATTGCAACCCTCCCCTTCACTCGTTGGATTAGTTTGAAAAAAAAAAAAAAAAAGAAGTGCTTTGCAGTGGGTGCAAAAATGAAAGCGAAGCAATATCATGCTTTTAATGCTCATGAGGCTTTCAACGGGGTGAAAGGAGAAGTAAACCATCCTTGGAACGCAGCGCGAAGGGCTCTCGGCCACCATTATCATCAAAAACCTGCATATCTATAACCCCGCATATTAAACAACAAATATGAATTAGGTACGACTGAGTGAGTGTAGGGAGCTGACCTGGCACTCCTCTTAGATGATTAGAGAATGGCCACTCCTCCAACACTCCCTGTGCACAGGCTTACGGTGCTCTTGCTGTTGCACTGCAACATTTTTGTACTACTCATTCCGGCATCTTTTCTCTGCTGTGAATGCCACTTGAAGTGCTCCCAATGGTCTGATTTGCTGCTGTGGTTGATGCAGCAGAAGGTGCAGCTGGGGCGGTGCCAGCAGGAGGCCCAGCTCCAAGACCTCTGCCTATCATGCGCTCCGAGTCGCAGAGAGAACCTCACCGGGAGAGCCAGCAGCAGCGCGACTCACACCGGGGTCTTAGCATACGACTTCAATCACGCGAAGGTAGCAGCCGAAGGGTAATGCAACGCTTCCTCAGGAGGACCAGCTACCCTGAGGAGGAAGGACCTACCCAAGGTAGCCAGCTTGGCCCTCACATTGTAGTCTTGCACACAAATGTTTCCTTTTCTGATTGAGAAGCACCTACAGACTACTCTGATGGTTGTACATATGCTCTTTTGCTCGTACGTATGTCCTGTGAGTGCAAGCACTCGTCATGAATAATAGCATAGAATTCGAGAATGAGCTGCAGTTACAGGTGCAGAATGTTTGTCTACCAAAAAAGCAACAGGATGTGATATCTTTTAAAGCATGGAACAAACAGAGTGCTACTTTATATATTCCATTGGGGAGTCAGTGGCCACGTTGTATGCATATTAAATTATTAATATGTGATTGCACATCCGTGCAACAGTGCTTGTGAGGGTGCTCATCCTTGAAATGCATTGCCCTCCTCCCAATGCCTTGTTTTTCGAACATGCGGGAGCAATGTGCTGCGTTGATGTGCACGTATGTGGTCGTTATGCATGTGTAGTGCCATCATCACCATCATCATTTCTCAATCACCGCGCCGCGCCTCTCGCGCAGCTGATGCTAGCTCGAGCTGCGTGAGGATTAGAACAAGCTAGCGCACTTGGTGTGTCGGACGTGGAAATCCACGCGGCTTCGCTTCAGGCGTGGAATAAAGTGGCGAGAGAACGACACGACCACGTTGGCCGCCGTCCCATCTTCCTCTCTCGCTACAGTTTTTTTTTTCGTGTCGTTCTCTTGCCACTTTATTCCACGCCTGAAGCGAAGCCGCGTGGATTTCCACGTCCGACACACCAAGTGCGCTAGCTTGTTCTAATCCTCGCGCAGCTCGAGCTAGCATCAGCTGCGCGAGAGGCGCGGCGCGGTGATTGAGAAATGATGATGGTGATGATGGCACTACAGGGTTCGTCAACGGTAATGGTGTATCGGGAACCAGTAACTGTCTGGTGGGGCCACGGTGTCGCGTGCCGTCGCTTTCGTGGAAAACGTGCAGGTAGCAAGCGTGCCAGAAGGACCATCGGCCGAGGACTTCGAAAAAACGCACTTCGTGGTGGACAGGTCGTCGGCAGCAGGAACGACTTCAAGAACCTCGTCGGATCTGTGACCGGGTGCGAGAATCACTGCGCTAGTGGCCAGACCAAAGGTGGAGGGAGACGCTGTCGGGGAAGTTAGGTTGCGGTCAGATAGCACGCTGCGACGCAGGGAAAACCTGAAAGTCGCGGGTAAACGGCAGCGGGTTGTAGGTGAGGCCAAAGCTGGCAAGCACCGCAGAGCAGAGGTCATCGTAAGGCTGCTGGCTGGAGGTTGAAGTGGCAGAGAGATGACGCAACTCTACCGGAAGGGCGTCATGAAGAATGGCGTGCATCAGCGGCTGGTCCGTGACGCCATTCAACGCAAGAACGGCATCGAGCTGCATGAACCATACCTTGGGGTAGGTCGATTGGAACGGCGGCACTGGCGGGCAGAGTTGCGGGAACATGGCAGCGGACCGCTCGGCGAAGGGCGTGTTCTCCGGGCCACCAATGTAGCGAGAGAGGAAGATGGGACGGCGGCCAACGTGATCGTGTCGTTCTCTCGCCACTTTATTCCACGCCTGAAGCGAAGCCGGGTGGATTTCCACGTCCGACACACCAAGTGCGCTAGCTTGTTCTAATCCTCGCGCAGCTCGAGCTAGCATCAGCTGCGCGAGAGGCGCGGCGCGGTGATTGAGAAATGATGATGGTGATGATGGCACTACACATGTATGTCAGGGCAGATGTATGTGCTGCATTGATATGCTCGTATCAAGGCACTTATTTTAGTACAGCGAGACTGCATAAATGCACATTGTTGTAGTAAAGTGAGTTGTTGGAGCCAAAGCCTTTAGCCCGAGAACCATTTATACTGTAGCAGAATGTTCTTGTACCATATGTCCAATTTCTCTTTTTTTTTCTGTATTATGTGTCGCTCTAGCCCTTAGATGCCCTGTGACTAAACTCTCTAAATCATAAAAAAAATTGGTGGAAAGTGGAAATGTGGTAAATGGATTTGATATAAGGTGATGTACCTTTTCTCGCAGGCTATGCTGAAAGAGGAGAGGGGGCGTGGGGATAAGGAATTGTTTTATAGTGTTTGGTGTCTAATGCCTGCTGTAGATGTCTACTGCCTCTATAGTATTGCCGTAGCTAGTTGTCTAGCTGCAAGCCTGATAGGTTCGTAGAGTATGTACATCCTGTGAGCAAAAGTAGGGTATATAGATCACGGAAGGGTGAGCTAAAATTGATGTTTACGCTGTCTAATCATAAGCTGTCTGCTGTCGAGAGCCTTACTTTGACGAAATAGCTGTTGGGAGCATTGCTCTGATGGAATTCATCAGAGAAATGGCCGCAATAGCAGATGGCTCACCACTGGAGGGTGCAGAGGATGGCAAAGGTATACAAATGGCAGTGGTCTGTATACTTTCGCTGGCAGTGGAATGTATACTTTTGCTCACGGGTGTTCATTATTATTTTTCAATGACTTCTAATTTTCACTTGCCCTATACAGCACGAAGTGAAGTATAAATAAAAGGCAGTGTAAGTGGAATATATCAATCTGTAATGACGTAAGTCTTCTTGCATGGTGATATTTCTGATTTCTCTTGCAGTATATCGACCAATGGAAGCCCTGGACATGGAGCATTCTGCCGCATCTGAGCCTCGCTTGTTCAGAAAATCCACGCTTCTCATCAAAAAGAAAGGCAGCAAGAAGAGCACTGGCAGCAGCAGCCTAACATCTGTAGGGGTTGCCGAGAGTGGTGCAGCCACCGATGAGGAAACTCTACAGGACAGTATGCCAGAGGGGGTCGACTCCACTGGTAAGGGCAAGGCTCTGGGCGATGCTTTATGCTGTGGGCAGCCCTTTCAGTTTTGCAAACATGACCGCCCTTTCAACATTTTTACAATTTTGTTAATATGCTGTGAAATTTTTTGAACCATGCTTGAAAAAAAAATTTCTCCCATCTCTGAGCCTTCTTATAATGGCCTAGGTGGGCTTTAATGTAATGTAATGAAATGAAAATCAAATTAGTAGTCTTCTTATCTGCATTCCTGGCTAGCTGTATTTTGAAAACATTTCGTGGCCATAATTTCATGTTTACAATGTAGCAGTGTCGATGCGTTGTCATTTTATGGCTATGCTGTGTTCTTTCTAGGGGAGGGCCCGCCAACCCCAACTACCTCTAGACCGCAGTCCCCTGAGAGCGGGGAGCCGCAGCGGCCAAGGCACCGGCTTCAACGCCAGAAGGCTCAGAGCCGTAAGACATTCAGGTTTGGCAAGTCGCGACGGGGAGCTGGCTGGGCTGCGGCCGAGGTAGGAATTGCCACTGGGGACGAAGCGCCGCCCCCGACACTGGCCGAGGAAGAGCCCGAAGGTCGGCCTCGGCCTACTCGGGCATCCTCCATTCACGGATTGCCCGCCAGTGCAGTGGGTGCTCTGGCATCCTTGACCGGTGAACATAAAGCAGAGGATCGGCCAGGTAAAGATTAGGAGTGTACGTAATGAAAAAAAAAAAGGGGGGGGGGGGGTTATGTTAGGCCGTGATCTTGGAATACTGTCAGTCCGAGCTTATGTGAGCGAGGCTTTATAACTATAACTAACAACACAGTGTAGCTGTCAACCATATTTGTTGCTGCATTGTCTGTGCGTAAGAAATGTGCAAAGTGAAAATATGGATGACGAGGGCTTGTAGCCTAGATGAAGAATGTTAAGCTTTGTAATGGTGCATAACCTAATACAAACCATTTGTGCAGCTGTTACGATATGTTGTGTAGGAAATTAATTGTTGTATAATTATACATGTTGGTAATAGCAAAGAAAGGTGCAAAGCAAATGAAATAGACTCAGCATTAATGTTTAGCCTCCATTTTGTGCTTCCTGTTGATGAAAGCTTACCTTGGAAGCGAATTTTCATATCTCAAGGTAATTTTAGTTGGATGCAGTTTTCTGTATTTGCTTTGAACATGTACTACTGACCTCACAGTATCCGAGATCATTGCTTCATTATCTTGAGAAGCAAGTCACACGTGAAAATTACAGAAGCTCACTTGATTGGTAGCAATGTAGTGTTCAAAATCTCTCTTCTGCCAAGCTGAAAAGATTGCTTTAGTCAGCTTGCTATGGCCTTGTTTGGACAGAAACTCGGTAAAATGGTCCCCTTTTAGGTGCAGTATAGGTTCGCTGTTAGATGGAACACTCATGTGTGTAACCCATTGTTGTAGGCCCATGTGCAAACGATAACTGTGCACAGATGCGTTGAAGAGCAGTCGCACCTGCCAAGTACTAGTTGTGTGTGGCAATGGCAAGCCACTGTGCTCTTGTTACAGAGCAAGATCCGGATGAACCCAGTATGTGATTGTTCCCTTTATCAGTTTTACAGTACACCTAGCCTTAGAGCAAAATTATTTTTTTTTAGGCTAACTATCAGTTCAATGTGCCAAAGTACTAACAAATATGAACTTTCTTCTTGGGGGGAAATAAAAAGGAAACAAACATTCGAAAATGGCAGAAACAAGACCAATTTCTCTTTGTGCAACAACATGTTTTCACCTTGCCTTTTAGCCGCATGGCTGGCAGTTCTTGTCCAAATCGTTGCGCCTATTGTATGAACAAAATGTGAGCACCTTATCGTCATTGCTGTTTGACGTTAACCACTTGGAAGAAATGTTCGGCTTGATGTCGCATGACAGACATGTGAGCGTTTGACAGACACATGAAAAATTTACGACAGTTTTAAACTGTTTGCCTCAAACAGGGTACAATGGTCGTCGGGCATTGTTGGATTTTATCATTGTGATGCACACAGAGTGGGGCAATTTTCATTGTCCGTGAATTTTGTTGTTATTGTATGTTTTGTATTTACAGGTCACAAATGATTTTTATTATGGTTGTTGTTATATTCAGTATTGTAATTTACACTAAGCATGTTACTTTTATATTTTTTTTGAACGGCGCTTTCACCCTGATCTTTCTTGTTATGCTAGAGTCGCACAATTCTCGCTCTGGACACTGTGAGGCTGCATTACCAAAGAATTAAGAGAATTTTATGAAGCATGTTCTAATGCTGTGGCTCTTATAGAATGCCCACTGAAAGACATCATCAAGTGCGAAATTGTAAAATGTGTGTATAGCCGATTTGTGCACTCATATAGAATGCCATAATTTACTTTGATTCGCATTTCACCCATTCTGCTTGTCCTTTCCTTCTTCATGAATATTCTTATATATATAATGCTATCTTCCTTTACCCTAGAAATTCTGTACACCAGGGGTCTCAAGCTCGCTTCAAACATGGAGCTGCAAGTGTTACGAGTGTTGACTGGGTAAGACATGTCAGTATGCATGTGCAGCCAAAATACTGTCTTGACAACAGTGGCACTAGTGGCAATGGCCTCTGATGTGTTTTATGTGAGCAGACAGATGGCGTATAGCCAGCCATTGCATCAAAAGTTTTGCGCACTTTGGTTGAACATGCCTTCAAAATGCTAGTGTGTCTCCTGGTAAGCCTCTGTCATGCTAAGGCTGTTGTTTGATGTGTACAACTATCCAATGACTGCACTGTGGTGTGATTGAGGGACAGGCCACGGAAATGTGTTAGCCTTGCATCACTTTAGAAGTGGCACACACTTGTCCCCACGAGATGCGAGTTTTGAGGTCTTCGCCCTAATTAAAGTATCTAATGAAAAATATAATCTTTGCGCAGATAGCACGGCTAACACTAAGCAACTACTAGAGTGAAAAGATGCCAAACATCTAATTTTTCATGACAACTCTTTCTCTGTCCACCACCTATAATAGCCAAGTGTTCACACATGCTGTCCTTTTTATTGCACTTCTACTAGAAAGTAAGTATGATGGACATTTTGTGAAGCTGGCATGAAGTGCTTGCAATGTCCTACTTGAGGCTTTTTTTAGGGCTTGTATTATCACTTATTGTTATGATAGTGCACCAAATTAAGAGTAAACAAAGTGGTCTTCTGTGCCAGTTTAAGCTCTCTGGGGTGTATGAAAAAATAATATATTGGCTGAATGCTGTGAGAGTATATATTTATTTCTTGCTCCTGATGCCCATCTTATGTTTAACTTTGCAAGTTTCTACTCTAATTTGCAAGCTGAGGAAATTGAGCAATATGTACACTTCAATGTGCTAAATAATTACCTGTATGCGACTCATACCACACAGCTGCGAAAGATGCAGCAGTTGTTTCTTGACAGTCAAAGATTTCTATCTAAATGAGTTTTGCCTGGTTAATAGAGACAAATTGGTCTTTGCTGACATATGAGACTCATCAAGTTGTAAGGCTTGGTGGGGTCTTTTTTAATGCATTTGTTGTGGCAGAAAACAAAATAAACAAACAAAAAGAAAGGAAGAAGGCCATATCACATAGCTAAAGGTTCCACAACATGCATTTGACAAGTTTTGAAATGCAAGTGCTTATTTGGATGTTTAAATTTGACCATTAAACTAAAAGATACATGGTACATAACTAGTGTAACATCTCGATCTGCACCTATTTTACTTTGAATGGTAATATTCATAGGAAAAACAGAAAAAATTTTGTGACATAAGTTTTCTGCAGTGTTCTCATGCAAGACATAGCTTATGAATTTCTGGTGACCAATGTTCTTAACATAGTTTAAGTAGCACAGCGGGACTGATGGTAGGATGAGCTCAGTCAAGTCTTGAGAGTTTGAATAATATAGGAGCACCTGTTTTCTTTTGCACTCATGTAATTGTACAGTAATGCCAACCTTACGCATAAAACTGCACGTGAGAACTTGCAGTGCCACAAGGATTTGCTGTGGCACATAGCATCTGGGAGTCCACACGTTGAGGACATGAGGCAACTAACTGTGGCAATGAGGATGTCCCATGCAAACTTCATCAAACAGAAAAGGAAGGTCAGCTTTTGTATACAAGTACAACTATAAGAATTTGGGAAGTATGATGCACTGGTTAAACACGCTTGAACCGCACATGCTGGCACGAGTATAGTATTGTTGGGTTGTGCTACTGATACACAGTGGATTCAATGATGAAGTTTATCTAGTGAGAAGACAGCCCTGAAAACTTTGCGAATGCTCCAACATGTTTTTCTTGTCCACTGGACAGTATCCAGAATATTTACAGCCACTGGGTGAACAGTCAAACCGGCGCTGTACGCTATAGCTCTTGGCAAACTAGCTCATTTCACAGGTACTTTTGTAATCATAGCAATATAGTACTATTATATATTTAGTTGGCAGATTCATCCAATAAGTGGTGTCAGGTGACTATCATGCCAAACTCCTTTCTTACCACATGAATGCATCTTTCAGATCCTGTCAGGGGTCACTTCACAATGTGACGGTTTTAGCTAGTTTGTGTTCCACACTCAATACTACTAAGTGCTAAAGCTTTTATACGAGAGATGACAATGTTCATGTTTGTTGCAGTCTCTTGACAAAAGGATTTTTGCACTTAGCTTATGTTAGGGACACTACTTAAGAAAGTCTAGTGCCATGCCAAACCAAAGAGACATTCCCATCCATAATATTTAAACAAAAATGTAGCTGGGCCTAACTGAGCTGGACCCTAATGCATCAATTTTTGTGTAGTTATGCTGAGGAGTTCATAAGTACAACGCATTGACCATCAGTGTAAGACGTTTTATGATGCAAGCATATTCTAAATCAAAGTGTGGTCTTAATCATTTTCCTGTGCCTGCCTGCATTAGTTCCATTTTTTTTTCTTCTTAAATTGCCAAGGTGTTTATGAGGGCAATCATATCTCAATCTGGCGCATTTACCTATTCCATAAGAATATTTCCACAGAGTGACAGTGCATTATTTTTCTCGATTCTGTGAGGAACGGTTTTTGCTGCAGTTGCGTCAGCTTCAGCAAAAATAACAGCAAATGGAAGTGGTGAATGAGATGCTTTGTCATTGTTGGCTGAATGCCTGGTTGGCACCCCTGCACTTGGTAATCATGTGCTAAGAAATATTCAAGAGGGTTAGGTGTTAACCACAAGCAAGTATGTTTATATATTTTTCTGGGTGTTCTTTAAATATTGTAAGTGCTTGAACAGTCCCCCATGTCAGGCCACATCAAAAATATTGTTTGTATATTGGAAGTGTACTGCTGTCTGGGGAGTGTTTCTTATACCAATAAAATTGTGCGAAAGTGCCTAGTCCTAGCAGAAATTCATGCAAATAAAATGTTATGAGGCAATGGTATGAGTATATGAGGTAAGGGCCTCGTAATAGAGTTTTTCTTTTTTTGCTTCTAAGTGATACTTGTAATCTCTACATCCTGTCATTCCCAACCCACCGTGTTAGCCCGGTGGCTAAAGTTCTGATGAACTGCCGAGCTTGAACTCATGGGTTTGATTGCTGCCCTGGCGGCAGCGTTTCGACGAGGTCAGAATACAGTAACATTACGCACTTACATCTAGGTGCACATTGACAAACCAGAGGCAGGCAAAGTTGAACAGGTGGCTACCCCTACGGAATGCCTCGTAATCAAATTTTTGGGGTGGTATCTAAAATGCAAACATTTAACCTTAAAAAAAAATCTACTTTTCTTGTCTTTCCTTGCATTTGAGCCGAAAGCTCTCAAGATGTTTTGTTCACAAGCTCCTCTTACGTACTTTCTCTTGCTGTGTAAAAAAAAAGCAGAAGTTGCTTACATATTCAAGTTTTGAATAGTTGAGCAAAGAGGATGCCGACAAAAGAGTAACAAAGAGGACTGAAGCACTTGTACTGTCCTTTTCATGTCTCCAATTGTCTGCAAGTAATTTTTAACCATAAAGCTTCTTTTATGCAAGTTGCATTTCTGGTGGCTGCCTTGCATCTCATCATTAGAACTGCTTAAGTCTCTATTGTGACTAAACATTTTTTTGTGATTCTTCTAGTTTTAAAGTAGCCCCTGGACTTGATTTATTTTACAACTTCTAACGCATAAGCAAAATTTATGCACGCTATTAGCATTGTAGTACTTCCCTGGTTAGTTGCACACGACGCAGTTATTGTTACAGGGGATAACCTTGATGAATCTTGCCAAGAAAGAGTCGCACAAGAAGGGGTTGTTCATCTTCAGTGCCAAAACTGCACTCTTTAGGTGTTGAGCATGTTTCACTTGTTTAATGTTAACATTGCCCCTGTTCAGGTGGCGATGGTTACATTTATGTATCAAGAAGTTTTTCTGGCTTCACAGCTGTCGCAGCAGGTTGCCATTATAGCTACTTTTGTAGTTGCAAGGCCAGGTTTTCATTCTTAGGGATTGTACAACTCATTGTGAAGCCTTTATCCGATTTACTTGCGGCAACAGACTTAGGAAAGTCTGGTGCCGGGCCTCTTGGTACGTAGCTTGCAAAATCGACAAACCCAACCTTCAAAGATGCGTGCAAAAGAAGAGAAGTTCAGATGATCACACAACTCTGCTTTCAAAGATACGTACACAAGAAGTTTTGGTGAACACTACATGCTGGGTGTGTGTGGTCGTCTAAACTTCTATTCTTGTGCACGTGTCTTTGAAGGCTGGGTTCGTCAATTTTCTAGTGAACTTAGTTGCTTCTTAAATGTGGGTTAAAGGGACACTAAAGGCAACTATTAAGTCGACGTTGATTGTTGAAATAGCGGTCCAGAAACCTCGTAGTGTTACATCGGGTTATCACACTTCAAATTACTCACCTCAAGAAGCGGACCCACCAGACCGATTCACGTCACTGTTGCCGTGCACAATGTTGCTCAGCCTTACTGCGCTAGCAGCAGCAGACTGAAAGCAGCGGGTGCCATAGCAGCAACAACAGCCATTGATTAATTTCCCTGCCATTAGCTTCGAGATCGCAGACCTGTTTTTTGTTTCAAATGCGCTCCTCTAGATGGCACCACTTGTCCCGTGTAATCATGCGAAAATTGAATTTTTGAACCACTCGCGCCATTCCCCATATAACGTCCGGCGGTTATTTTTTCCAATGACTCAAACAGAAATGAACAAGAAGCGCATTTTATTGCGTCTCTTGATGTACGGAAGGCCCTTTATTTAGTGCAGTTAGATAGATTACTAGTGATTAATTGTAGGCGGTTCGTCTGATGTCATCGTGATCATTTTGAAAATGTCCTACTGTGGCGCTTGTGTTCTTGTGCATTTACCTTAATTTCTCAATAAGTACTGCACTGTTGTTGATAATATTGTCGTTTTAGATACTGTCATGCATTGAGGTTTCACTCCGACGTAACTTGTTATTTGACTTTAGTAGTCCCTTTAAGAGGCAACATAAACTAAAATGCACTACATGCCATTTCACTTGAGAACTTTAACATCGTGTTTGACTAGAGACGCAATGTTTCTGTAGCTTGGCAACTTAATAATTTCTGATGTTGAGCATGTACTTCTGTTACTGACTTGCAATAGGTACCATCTTAAGCGCTACTTGTGTAAAGCGGGGCTTTTGTTGGCAGTTAAAATGGTTTGTGATAAGGTTGTCACAAATATGAGAAGCAGTGAAAGACGTGTTGTTAGCGAGCTGCAATTATGTTTGCTCGTCAGATCGAGAATGATCACATCTGTGATGCACACTGTTTTTACTTTGGAGTGCTAGCATTACTGACCAGCCTTTATTCAGGTAATCCGTTGATCTTTCCAAGACTTTAAGTGGCTGGATGCTAGTTATTTTCTCAAAGTATGCTTTACAGGGTTAATAATAAAGTCTCATTCTTTGTGATATTTTACCAAGCAAGCAGGCTGGTCAAACTTTGATTTCTGTGTTTCAGTTAGATCGCTGAACCGGGTGGTGTTAGATGAATGCATTCGCTTCATAAATACATGTGCTTCTACTGTCATCACCTGCTTTGCAGTTTTATGTTTGCACTGCAGATGCTTTATTTTATCAACAGGACACTCTCTACAAGCTGTGCACAATTTTTCATTCAGCATGTACCAAAGCACATGATCAGGTTTTATTTTGTTGGTGATAAGTTGGCAGACATTTTCCTGAAAGGGTTATACCACATTTCATCCACTTCAAGCACTTGTGCCTCATGTTTCGTGCCAACAAAAAAATTATTGCAATATATTCTGTCCAGGCAGCACTTGGGGAAGGCTACACATGTCCACACTAGAGTTACATCGAATTCACAATAAATGTGCATTCTCTTCATATGGTGTACTGAAAAACCACTTAGGCGAGTAGCCATAGACTGAAAGGATTTTTTTTTCTTTGTATCTGCCTGACTAAGATTCGTTTGCTTTTAAAATACTTTTTGAGCCAAAGCATCCATAGCTACTCAGGCTCTGGAAAAGGCAGTTAATCCAGACTTGAGATTGGGTGAAATAATTTGACACTGATATCAAGCTTCATTGGTTCCTAATGAACATATTCTGAACTTGTTCTATCTAGGCCATTTAAGGGAATTGTGCCGGTTTTGTATTATAGCTATTTTGTTAATTTCTGTCAGCGCAACTAATAGAAGTGTAGTCAGTAGTGAGCAGCATAAAAAGAAGCAGTAATACTTTCGAACATGGAACTCGCATATATTGGACGCCGTTTTAATTTATAAGAGGACTGTGCACACAGCATTTAAACTACAGGAGGGGAACATACAGTCGCATTTGTGCGATGTGTCGGGCATGTGTATATAAGTGCTCCCAGAAATTGTTGCCCCGGGAGGAGTTGCAACATGTTTTGGTTGTTGCTGTGTACGTATGACGTTTCTGACATTGAATTGTTGCCCCGGGAGGAGTTGCAACATGTTTTGGTTGTTGCTGTGTACGAATGCCGTTTCCGACATTGAAAACAAGTCTTTTAACCACGATGTCTGTTGCAGCTGCCAAAATCCTTTTCTGAAGTGCAAGCAGTTTAGTTGTGGAAAAGAGCTGGTGTGGAGTTGCTGTCGCTGTGTGAAAAATTGATGATTTTTGTATGAAGAAAGCTTCACAGTCATGGCATTGCAACCTGCCTGACTGAGGTGCCAATACGTATGGTATGAGGGAGCTCTTGTTGTTGTTACTTGTCAGTCATATTTATCTGTAACGTGTCAATGTTGTGTGCCTACGCAGTGTCTTCCTTGTATCGTGATAGAGAAACAAAAAAGCAGCTTAGCACTAGGCAAGATAAGAGTTGTAGTGTTATGCCTAGGCTTTCTAGTTGTAGTTGCAATCAGTACCTGTTCATTGTTGCTGCTGTGCCAATGGTGTTCTAGTGGAACTAGGACTTGTTAATCAATGTGCAAAAACCCGGTAGCATGTTGCTTGGCTGCTGCTAGCTAGTTCAGACTGCATGTTTTACATTTGTAGGCCAGTTGGCGAAATGTTTGCCTGGAGCTGCTCGTTGGGAAGTTTGCACTTGGCTTACGAAGTGACAAGCTTGGCATATTGGTGCCAGTTCTTCCAAGCAGGCACCATGCCACAGCTTCTGCCTCGAGAATGTATTGTCACATGCCAATGTTAGTCTTAAACTGTCCATTCTTTATGCAGGAGCCAATTTTACAAGCATGCCATAATGTAACATAGTATATTTAAGTTTATCAATGTTGTGTAATATAAGCTAGTCATGTGTTTTCTAGGCATTTGTTTTTCTATTGCAGTTGGTCTTATGCCTTGTATCTTGTATGAGCATTCCTATTTTGAATGCTTTTGTACAATAAAGCTTCTGCAAGAGAATGCGTGTGTTGACTTCATTTGTGAAGCCTGCTGATGTGGTGATATTTGCATATTTCTGAACTCTAGGTGTGACGTAGAGCATGAATGAAAAATAGATGTTGAACACTGGTTGCGATACACAAGTAGTCATTACAGTTCCTATTGCGGCATATTCATTTCTGTTTGCAAATGTTTATCATGGTGCAGTTAGTGAAATTATGAAGTAATCAAGACAGAACATTGATTAACCTAACTATGAAGAATCGGCACTGCTAGAAGCACCTTACTTTTGTACATGTGTGTACTATCTGCGTTCAATGAAACCTGAAAACCGGCAAGCCTTCGCGATGGTATAGTGCGTGCTCTCCAGTTACCACCATTGACTGGGGCGCACATCCTGTTTGGCAGCTCCACGCATAAAACGGCGATAAGTGGACGGCGTGCACTCAGACTCTGGAAACCTGGAAAACAGGCACAGTATTAAGGGGACTCTAAAGGCAAATATTACATCGTTGTTGATGGCGGAAATATCGATCCAGAAACCTCTTAGTGCTACTTTTGTGCCAAGGAGATACTTATTTTGAAATAATATTATGTTTTTGTGGTCTGCATAGCGTTAGCACACTTCAAGTCACACGCCTGATAACGAGCCTCTCTGACGTAGCAGTTGCCTCGCCAGATGTTGCCTGCCTATACTGCGTGGCCGCCAACATACACAAAGGGTTGTAAGAATGCAGGGCTACTAGACGACGGTGTCGACATGTCGCGATTCTTTGTGCAACCAGTCATAGATGCACTTACATTTGCCTAGCAATTTTGAGGAAAAAAAGAATGATTGAAAATGCGACTTATTCGTAATTATGTCGCTGCAATGCATTCACACCAGAAGTAAATTGCACGATGTTTCCACAATCAAAATATTTTGCTTGCCTGGTTCAAAAGGGCTCCACTAGACGGCCCACTGATCCTGCCTAACCAGGTGAAAACTAACTTTTGAACCAGCGACACCATTCCTCATGGTAAGACCAAGCAGTTTTTTTTAATGCGAATGCATTCCTTAGTCGGCCAATGCCAGGCATCCATTGTCCGCAACATCGCTCTCACGCACTCTCCCGTAGCAACAGCTGCGGGTGCGCGCGCTCATCTTTGCCCCTAGCAACCAGAGCAAGTGGTGCGAGAGAGTGTAGGAGAGGGTAGGTGCAGTGCTCACCATTCACTCTCTCTCCTCCCTGCGCCCCAATTTCCTGTTCACTCGCGCCTCTTGACTGTTGCTGGCTGGGCGCCTCTCAAGAACATCCAAAAATTTGTGATCGAGATGCCGCTGTGAAACCCCAATGCCAAGCTGACAACGCTGTTTGTTTTGTTCACTTCATAGTTTTTTAACCTTGCACACTAGCTGAAAATGCATACCCCGTTTATTGCGACAGAAAAACGCCACATGCAGCTAACTGGCTGCACGGTGCAAGAAAAAAAAAAACTTACTCTTCTAACGCTGGGTTCTCACGTGCGAAACACCGATATGGATGCTACGCAATGCATTCGCATTTCCTCAAGATTCCCTTCGGGAAGGAGGGGGCATTTTTTTCCATGACTAAGCATAAACGGAGAACCATTTTGTGTTGAGATGATATGCATAGAAAGTTTTCTTATTGCAACTGTTTGATTATTAGTGGTTATTTGTAGTGGGACTCTTTGAAGTCATTGGTATCATTTGAAAATGTCCCATTCGTGGTACGTATAGTGTCTTACATTTATCTTGGTGTCTCGATAAGTACAGTGCTGCTGTTAATGACGAGGTTTTAGACATTTTGTTTCACTCTGACATGAATTATTTGCTTTTGCATTCCTTTAAAGTGTAACGTGAGCAATTTCGAAGTGTAAGAAACTGTGTTTGCTTGCCAATAATAACCGCTATCAGACATGATTTATAATTCTTAGCCAGTGGCTTGGCTTTACTACATGTTGCTAGCAGTAGTTGCTAAATAATGAACATGACAGAATACCATTCACAAATAATCTACCTAAGATATGCAAAGGCAAGATTAGTACTTATGCTACACAGGCCTTCAGCAATAGTTGGAGATTTCTTGATGCATTCGTAATGTTAAGGTCTTGTTAAGTATGTTAAGGTCTTGAGGCAGATAACAAAAAAAAAATTGATCACAGTGTATTAGCAGGTCAAGTCATACTGGTCACTTTATTCGCACACTTCGTACAGAATAAAAAATACTACTGGGCTCAGGTTGACGATTTGCAGGGAAATCTGGGAAGGAACGAAGTCCTCTTATCTGCAAAGCAAAAGATTAAAGTGATATAGGGTGAAACGATTTGTGAATTGTATCATTTGTAAATGGGTGCAGGGAGTTCTCTCCGACACATACCTTTTGGCTAAGGCGATTCCAAGACCGACAAGCCCGCTAACAGCAAGAGCAGCACCGCCAACAATAGCCATGCCTTTTATTCCCTCTGGAATAAGTAATGCTTGTAAGAGCTATTCACAAGTAGCTAAGATATTCTACTGAAAGCATGAGTGCCTAGCTAAGGCCTTGGCCTGCTGACAATCACTTTATGGTTATAAGAAATACAATACAAAATAAACAGATTGATTGATTGATATGTGGGGTTTAACGTCCCAAAACCACTATATGATTATGAGAGACGCCGTAGTGGAGGGCTCCAGAAATTTAGATTACCTGGGGTTCTTTAACGTGCCCCCAAATCAGAGCACACAGGCCTACAACATTTCCGCCTCCATCGGAAATGCAGCCGCCGCAGCCGTGCTGCGAACCCGCACCCTGCGGGTCAGCAGCCGAGTACCTTTGCCACTAGACCACCGCGGCGGGGCACAAAATAAACAGTAAGCTTTTTGCATAGAGGAACAGGAACATGCCTATGTAATATTGAGGGTTAAGTTTGAGTGATTCTTCACATCGTGTTTTAATGTTTTGCACTTGGCTTCTAACATGTAAACTATGACACACAGTCTGTAAGAACACGTGCACCTGTAACATTAGCAAGAGACTACGCGTCCAGTGAGCCTAACCATTGAACACTGTATCGAATACTCTGGCTTATTCACTGAATCCCATGCTATTAACATAAATGTCTCTTTCATATCTTGCCGTGACAGCAGACCTGTCAACACTTGATTTCGCCAAAAAAAATATAAAAAAAGAATTTCAGCCACATTACAGAGCTTCTCAATGAAAAGCCTGAGAACTATATACAAAGCTTACCTTTCTTCATGCGATTTTTTATAGTTGCTTCAAGTTCCTGTGCTTGCCTGTTGGCTGGCTCAACATGAAGGAATGCCTTGATGAATTTTAACGCCTTTGAGTATTCCTGAAGATGAAAAGATTGTTTACAAACAGTCAAAATGCTAGACAGTAACATGCTCCTGTAATGCTTATTCAACATAAAAATATTCTTATTTTTTCACATGTGTTTTTGCTTATATCCTGCCTCTTGTACCTGTCCTGCTTGGACCAGTTCATGGTCTGCAGTATTCAATAAATGAATAAATAAATAAAATAATACAAACAGGACTAGTGACAAGCTTTTACTATTAACTTGACAACAAGCATGCAAGAAGCTTCATTTAATATCTCTTTCCCATTCGCGGTGAAGTAGATTTCTCTGGCATAAGCGAGGAACATTTGTTAGTAATCGAAGCTATGTATTATGAGACCATGCGGTGGTCGGCGCACCACCAAGTGGCGAGCACAAGATTAGAGAGCAATGCATCATAAAAACATTTCCTTGCATATAAAAATTTCTTAGCACTAAGTAATCGCGAGACCCACTGTCAGCCTTGTGCTCCACTTTTCAAACATTTAAATTACACATCATGTAAAAAACTGGCCACCCTCTGCCTATAACAAAAAAGTAATGTTTCTAGTTGCAAAGCTTTCGAGTGCATTTCTGCTATAGATTGCCAACAGACCTTAAGCTTGGTGCTCCCGACAGCCAGGTAGAAAAGGTAATCTCGCTTGGCTTCTGCATTGCCATGGTGAAACAAGTCTGTTGAATCAAACACATGGTTGTAAGGAAAAACGAAGCATCAGAAGTAGGCCGTCAAAAAAGGATGAAATAAAAATTTAGGTGTGCCGTTGAGTAGTCTATGTAATGGTAACTAAAAAATATTCTGTGTGCTTAACTTCGAACAGTGAAGTTGGCTTAAGCTCAACTTGACAAGATGGGAAGAACTACTGCAATGCTCAATTACGGTAGCGCCAATAGCATGCACTGGTAAGGGTCCATGATTGTGCAACGATGCTTGTCTTCGCGTCTTCTTTGTCAGTGCTTCATGGCTTTGTGTTGCACTGTTGCTTATTATTCCATTTCTCTGAAGTTTTCTTAATGCAAACAACAAAAAATGAACCATTGCTTCATTTGAAAAATATCAAGTGCTTCGCTGCATTAACAAACTGGCACTGTACTCTTAAAAAAAATCATCAGATGCAGCACCTCCAGGCTTATATTTCAAAATGGAGCAGTTGGTAGGAAAGTTTGTGATGCGTGCATCTGTGAATCGCAAAAATATCTTTCCCATCTGTTATCGTTAAGAAGTACATATCCACATCTAATGCCTAGAAAAAGCTGTCACTTCGGGTAGTGTGTACCTCCTTTCTTCCTTCACTGCTTGCAACAGTGTGCACATAAGGATAGGAAACCCCACCTTGCTTCATGCACTTTATAACACTCATCTTAATAAACTGCAAATTTTTCTTGATTTTGTTAATAGTACTCTCACGAAGAACAGAGTCTGAAACTAAGCAATGTGACTGCCACATAGTAGCCATATACTGCACAGCACCAGAACCGCCTCTACTTCGTATTTTTGTAACTGCTTAGCATCACCGATTGAAAAGGTTGTGGGAGCGGCAACTTTTGTTATGTAGTATAAAGGCCCGCAGCTTATAACCTCCAGCAGTTCGTATGACATCATGCAAACACTGACTGCATGACATGTTAGCGCCTTATAGTGGCAAGGAGCAGCACTATCGTAATGCTATGAGCCC